CATAAATAATCAGCCCAATCTACAAAAACAACCAGGAAAAAGGGTTTAATCCTGTTATGGCCTGGCCAGAAGTAAGTTGAGGTACAGAAACAGGGGCTTGATAGCTCGAAATAATAGCCAGTGCACACAGAGGTGAAGAGTAGAGACCAGAAATTGCTCGAGCTAGTGCCTATGTGCGGACCACTCTAGTTGGAGATAGTAGTGTGTGCATTCATGAGTTGGTGCTGCATGGCTACCTGAGACAGAAGCACTGATGGTCTTCTTGGAGGCTCGCCATCGACCCAGCAGGTAGGGGATGAAATTTGCGCCCACATCTGAGAGCCCTGAAAGGGGCAGCGAAGAGAAGTGCCAGTGGGCCAGCCTGGGCTTCCTCTCTGCATCTCCCATCCCCAGCTTGTCCATTGCCCAAAGCAGCCGCTCCTTCATCCACCCAGCATCTCCAGCTGCATCCACTGCAAAGCACACAAAATACTCCTAGGACATGCCTGAGGTCATGCAAACGAGCTGGCAGATTCTCGAATCACACTATGAGCAATATGGTCGTCCTGCATTGCTGCGTTTCCCACCCAGAATGCTTCAAGGGGGTTCGGCAAAACCCAGCATGCCCTCTCAAGAAGGTACTTGCCCCAAAGAAGGTAGCATCACTCACATCCATATGATGCGAAGAAGTAATGAATCTCTGCTGGGGCCTCCGCAACAAATTGGAGCACAGAAGCATCAGAGGTCCACATGTAGCGTAGGAAAACATCTGCGATCCCCAAAGAGACTGAGCCATCTTGATATTTGCTGGCATTCCGGGCAGTAGCATGCTCAGACCACCACTAAGCATCACCAATTTCTGTTGCTGCAACTTGTAGCCAATTCAGTATGGAAAAGCAGATCAACTAGTCATCCTGGAACAATACCTGTCGGCTCATATGCAAAGATGATGACAGGCAAAGACTCATTCAGAGTAAAAGTGCCATCCAACGTTGGAGTAATAAAACCTGCAACCATGAACACACATGTCACAGAAAATAGATCCAAGCTAGATGATTGCATTTCCCGTGGAACAGCTTGAAATATGCTCTTGCTTCGAATTTCGTGCTCTTTCTAGTACTGTGAGATGTAGGACGCAGTATGCCTTGCTCACCATATGGGATACGGTCCCCTGCGCACGCAAAATTTGAAATTTAAAAATTGTTGATTCAAATGGATGTGAAAAATCTGGTGGTAAGAACAAATTTCGCCGGATCAAGTTGATCGTGATCTAGATGTCAACAAGGTACCTGGGGCCGGTCTCCACTCCGGTGGAGTTTTTTCTCGAGCCAACACTGAAACTGAAAATGTCAGCAAGATAAAGCAAAGCATTGTCACTGCATTCCATAGACGGGATCGTAGATGCGCATTTCCAGTACCAGATGCCATGCCCTGGGCGATGTTCATATGAATCTGGTCAAGCAGGTGTACGCAGGATCTTTCGAATTCCACATTGACATTTAAGCATGTCTTGAGAGATCTGAAAGAAAATTTGTTTTACAGTCTTCATCAGATGTCCACCTCATTTACTGCTGACGTCATTCTTTCCAAAAACGGAAAAGAGCGCATTCCCAATCGCTGGCAATTTCCACAACCTAAAACGACTGTATTAAGGACAACTACAGCACACAGCATCTCTTTGCGAGATACTCTATGCTGGAAATGCTCATTGTGTGGTGGGTGATGCTGTAATCATCACGCCACATTGGACGTTTGGCAAGAGCTTATCAGGCTCTGGAGGAAATCTAAACGCCTTCAGGATGGTTCTGGGTGTGCTAGGGAATCGCTTTTGTTCCCCTTGTGATCAGTTAGTGACCTTCGGGTTCGCCCATCGACCCAGGTACTTCGGCCACTTACCTTTGTGATCATTATGTTCCACATTCTGAGATCGTACTGCTGCAGAGCTTCATTGCTGCATATTAAAATATGGAAGACTTTGCTGCTGTGGTGAGTGCTTCGATGCCCTGAACCGGGGGAACATGTTGATCAGATCCTTAATCTCTGTACATCCAGGGCAAGACAGAGCCAATTGCGCCTTTTCTGCTCAGCTGAAGGAAGATACGACGCCAATGAGAACTGGTACAGCTTTTGGTCACGCTACAAAACGACCAGGTGCGCCTGTCAAAAACTTATTGAATGAAGTAGAACTCCATTCCTTACTGTGTCTAATGCTTGCACATCAATCCGCAACAAAATGCATCAGATTTGAATGTCTCCATTATGACTGAGCAGGCCAGAAAACGCATCAGGCTGGCTGGGCAAATTTGTGAGCTTCTCTCCCAGCGGCGTGTCTGAGGACGACATACGTTTCCAGGACATTTGGCTAAGAACATTCCAGGAGCGCGACGTGGACGGCAAGTTCCGCATGAAGATGATCCGCACGGCAGACCAGTCCGTCAAGTCCTGGCCGCGCGCAGGTGACCCTTGATTGTGGACATCCCTGCCCTTATCGCTCCTCCTTTACTCACAGATTTGGGGGCAGAGTATCGCAACCCCCTCGAATTTTAGTCTGCCCAATCTAGAGGAGCAGCTGAGTAAATGGCGCGGAAGAGATATGGCCTGCCCAAATCCAATTTGAGTTGCAGTATGAGGGGCTGGGGAGCTCGAAACAACTGTACAATCACACATAACTTATGTAGATGTCTAATTAAAGACCCACAGATTCATAAATTCATAGAGAGTAGGGACTAGGGATTCTTCAAGCAAGCGGCTACGAGCGGACCACTCAAGTTCTTATGCTGGTGCCAGCAGGGCGTGAGAGGGCGGACGGCAACGATGAGACGGTGCTAGAGGGCACCAAAGAAGACTCCTGCTATCCTAATGGCTTCTGGCACCCCTATGGCCGGGGGGCCAACATGCCGCCCACCAGGGTGGTCTGCCTGGCGCCGGAAGCTGTCGCGCAGGTCACGCTGAAGCTGCCTGATGCTGATGCCATCGCTGCCGCCCAGGTATCGCCTTCAAGGCCCAGATGTCTGGTTTATGCGGCCCTTCAGTAATTGTCTCCTCACCAAGAAACAGAGTGCACAGCTGATTGACTGCTGTCTTTGCTGTGTTCTTTCTTTTTCGCCTGCCTGATCTTTGACGCTGTCTGCAGTGGTCACATTGCTCAGATGCACCATGTATGTACTTAGGGGAGAGACAATAAATTGACTTTGCAGCTGCTGTGTGTGCCCAGGCCTTTGACTTCATGGGCGGCAGTGAAATTGCTTTCATGCACAAGGGCAAACGCTCAATTCTGACAGTCACCTACAAGGGGGAGGGCGGCGGCTCAATTCTGTTCCATCAGACCAGCTGGGACCCTGTCTTCTTGCAGGACTTTGACCCAGAAGCCCCAATTGATCTACTTGGCAAGCTGCAAAGCCAGGCAAGCCATTGCCCACACTCGTTAATTAATTCTTGAAGGGAGGTTCACAACGTTTTTGAACAGCAGTCACACGTCATTCAGCACTATTTAGTCTGAACTTGTCATCTTCATATAGGTGCCAGGGCCAGTTCTAGAGCCCGATATGTCAGCATGGCTGCCCTGTGGGAATGGCAAGGGGACGTCCACTACACTGAAATTCTTGAAGGATGAGGATGCCTGGCAGCAGCTGCCACCAGAGCCAGTGACATGGAGTCCACCATCTGTGTCAACTGAGCAGGTGACTTTTGATGAGCATTTCCCTGCCATTATCAGCATGCCGTGTAGATACAATTTATTTGACAGATCCACGCATGCGTCCTGATGCACAAGGACTAAGGACTTTGCTGCGAGCAGGTGTTGTTCAGATATGCAGATGGGGCCTTTGGAGTGTATCCGAGGACCTTGACCAGCGGAGCACCGATGGTCTTTTTAGCAGGGGTCTTGCTAGATCCTAGCAAGCTGTGGGTCTATGAGGCCAGATACCATGATGATGGCTGGGTTGATACCATCACATGGCAGGTATATCAGGCAGAAGCTTGAGGCACTCTTTCTGGTCTCTGGGCAGAGTGACTGTTGCCAGTGTTCTTGTATATGAATGTACTTGTGAAGAACTGTATCTTGCATTGCTTCTATCTGTATATGTATCCCTTGCCACGCTGCGAGGGGCTTTGCTGGTCAGACACTGCCAGTGTGGGAGAGTGCTCACGTGAGGCACAATCTGTATCTGTATTGTTGGTCAATGCATTAGCAGCCCAAAGAGAAGGCTGCTGATGAAGTCAGATGCTACTGATGCTTGAGTAATTCGATTTCAATTGTTCAGCGAGTTGTCGTCGCTGAGCAGCTGCATGCTGTGTGAGGATCGAAGGACACATGCAGGTCATGACCATGATCTTGGTCATGGTCATGGTCATTGCCATTGTGGAGTCGACATGCAAATTTCCTACTGCATTGCCATGATCTTCATGGCAATACAGTAGGAATTTGCATGTTGGCTCCACCAGGTCTGCAAAATGTAACGTGACACACCGTGGCACAACGATATTGCGAGGCGCCATGGTATGGCCCCTGCCAGGCCATGCATGACATGCATTGCATGATGATGATGACTGCGCGCAGGCCAGCCGTTGCAACTGCTGACACGGCGCTGTGAGCACTCTTTGGCATTATGCATGATGCCAAAGAGTGTGCATATCGGCCCCGGGTTCCGGCTGCAGACGGACCTGTGTATGCCCTATGGCCCTCTGGGCTCTGGGTTCGCCACTCATACAGATTATTATTATTATTATTATTATGATGGCATGCACGGCCTGGCAGGGGCCATACCATGCGTGCGCGCATGCAGGACCTGGGTGCACGCACACAGGCTGAATAATACGTTGAAAGTCACCAGAGGTGAATGCGGGCCTCTAGAGACCTGGATTGCCAAAAAGTAGTGAATTTATTAGGTGCATAGCGGTCCACTGCGGAGGGCGCTTGCATGGAAGCTATTTGCCTACTTTGGCTGAGGGGGAGACCTGCTGACCTGCCCTCCTGGCTGGGGTGTAAACCTTTGACTAGGTAACCTCTCGACTGACTCTCAGATGCAAAGCTTCCATCCTCCATCCTCCTGATTGTTAGGGTTACATTCGATACAATGGCTCGCACCAAGCAGACAGCCCGCAAGTCTACTGGCGGCAAGGCCCCCCGTAAGCAGCTGGCAACAAAGGCAGCTCGCAAATCTGCCCCTGCCACAGGAGGTGTCAAGAAGCCTCACAGGTGAATTCCCTCTTTACCAAGCCCTGTCACGACTGTTGACGTGTCAATCGAACTGTTTATTCTGTGCTCAATGAAGTCAGTGTAAAGTTGACGATGATGTTTCCACTGTTCAACTTTCACCTTGGTGCTTTGTAACTCAGTCAGTGCAAAGCCAAACACCGATTTAGGTTTGTATGGAGAGGGATGTTCTTGAGACGTTCATGACTGGCAAACTGACCTCGTTGCAGAAGCCCAAGGCAGCTGACCCTGTGCCCTCTGTACCAGCATGATAGTATGCTTCCCTGCAGGTACCGCCCTGGAACCGTGGCTCTGCGTGAGATCCGCAAGTACCAGAAGAGCACGGAGCTGCTGATCCGCAAGCTGCCCTTCCAGCGCCTGGTTCGTGAGATCGCCCAGGACTTCAAGACCGACCTGCGCTTCCAGAGCAGCGCAGTGCTGGCCCTGCAGGAGGCTGCTGAGGCCTACCTGGTGGGCCTGTTCGAGGACACCAACCTGGCCGCCATCCACGCCAAGCGCGTGACCATCATGCCCAAGGACATCCAGCTGGCCCGCCGCATCCGTGGCGAGCGCGCCTAAGCTGACATAGGTTCAGGTGATTTGTGCCTTCTGTCTAGTTTTGATCACAGGATGCAATTGTACTTCAAAGATGTAGTGTGTCTTGCACTTGCTTGGGCACTCACTCATCTTGTCTTTGCAGGCACCAGTACCAGGGATCTTCGAAATCAATGTTGCGCATGGATGCGCAAGCTGCTGTTAATCGGCTGCTACTTTCTGAGATTGAAGGTTATGAGGATGCCCCGTATGTGTGACAAAGACACTGTACCTTTTGCGACAACTCATGATACATTATGACATGGAGAGGGTGCTCCTTGGGTTGACAGCCCCTTTTGACGTTGTAGATCATAGTGACAGCAATGTGACTTAGAAGCCGGCTGCGCAGTAAGAATGCATGACCTGGTGTGTTGCATCTCTTCGGCCGATTGAATCGTTCCTTTGGCCGATTTATAAATTATCACGGTTGCAAATTGTGGGAAGAGATTTCCCAGAGTGTCATATTGTCTGGTAAATTTTTGTTCATGGTCGCATGCAAGGCCTAATTGTGAGGAACGTCAGGGTGCACACGTGTTAACATTGCTGTCCTTATTTCACTCCCACTATAAACAATGTAAGAAGTCCCAACAAGCACGATTTGGAGTCTCAAAAGATCTTAGCAGGGATGCAAGCGGAGATCCGAGATGCATCATGATACACGCAAGGCAATGCGTTGACAGTGATCCTTGATCATGGTGTAGCTGGCTACCAAGTGAACAAAAAGAGGGGAAACTCAATGCTTCAGACATGCCGCGAGAAAGCATAGGTGTGTCTGCAAGATATTTGCTACTATTGCTGTTATACAAGAACAAAAGAAAGAACTCCTCATTATTGAGGCGGTATGCTCTCACTGCGACAAGCAGCACCATCACTCGACAAGAGGGAAAGCTGCAGCAGATGCTACTAGCTGAGCCACCTCATGACCAGCATGGCACCAGCCAGATTTGCCTCCTCGATTGTCTTTGTCATGTCCTCCAGTGGATTAGAACCTGCATGACAGATGCAACCTTGAGCACATCTTCCTTTCCAAAAAAGCAGTAATAGTAGGGTGTCCGCCACATGGATCCTTGCAGGCCCGCAGCCAGCACCATGTTGATGTACAATCAGCTGCCAGGTCCATGTCAGGACAACACCATGCTGCTAAAAGAGCAAACACGAACCATACTGGCCAAGCCAAAATTCCTGCTTTGATTTGCATGTAATGGAAAGGCCCGAAGTTCAGGTCAAGCTGGTGCCTTCAAGTCCAGGTTGTTACACACTGATGTACACAAAATGTTGGAAGGGCATGGTTTCTCACCAGGCATGGACTCCACGATTGCGAAGGGGCGCCCGGCGGCGGCCTCCTCGGAGTGGACGAGGCAGAAGGCGCGCACGACGTCCAGTGAGGCGCTGCGGGGGAAACGGCGCTGCCGGCGTTGGCCGTCCGGGAAGCGCACAAGCACGCCGCAGCCGGCCGCGTCACCTGCACCCGGCTCCGGCGGCAGCTGCTCCTCAGCCTCCTTTGCCACATCCGCTGCACTCTGCACAGACACGTGCACACATCATATATAGGTGGCCACGTTTTGTGTATGGCAGTATAGTAAGCAGAGAAATTGCTATGCAGAGACATTCTTTCGCGTATGGCGATGTCCTAGCAAAAATTTGTCGCAGCAATCTGCGATTGCGACTCTTGTACCCGTGGCTGCTGCAGCAAAGCTAGTTAGCGCAATCTGAGAGCGGTGCAGTTATGGTGCATCATCAGCGCATGCTTTGCATGTCAATGGGGTATATCAATACTGTGATATGAGGGCCGCTATCAAGCAATTGCTGTGACCCGATCAATGCATCAAGTAGGGCTCACCTTGGAGGGCATGGGTGCCTCTTCTGGAATATCGTCATCAGCATCCTCGGTTACAGGCTCTGCCTTGGACAGCGATGCATCTGCGCTATAGCTCGGTGCGTCCTCGGCCGGACCGCTGCCATGTGCATCCTCTGCAGACATTGCCAGAGCCATGGCCAACTCCTCATCCTCTGTCAGACCCTGCACGTCCGCCCATGCGACTTCACCATCCCTGTTGCGTGCATATGACTAACGGGAGAGGATCAATGCTTCAAGCAGCAAGTCGAAGCGCATTACCGCCCTTGCAGCATGTTCATCGTGTTGCGAGTTTGGAAGCAAGAGCTTGATGCATGTTGTGCGGACAGGACGGCAGAGACCTATTCAGTACTTTCTGGGTACCTTGGCGTCTTGGGAAGGAAGATAGGATCATCAGTATTTGTGTTCGCAATGAGTACAAGAAAGTGCTAACCTTTGGAGGGGGGCTGCTGCGCTTCTTGCGCTTGAGATGGCTGCCCAGCTGCAGGGCTGCAGGGTCGTGGATGTCATGGTCCAGGAATGGCACCAGCTCCTCTATCAGCCTGCTTGCACCAGCATTGTTTCGCCAATCGCCTTATGTGCGCACATCCTTTAATCAACACCCAGTAGAAGGGCAGAAGATACCTTGTAAGAGAAGGGTGCATCTCTAGTGAACTAAGCAGGGTGCAGTGGCAGCTCACCTTTGGGGCTCAATAGCCCCTGTCCACGCCTTTGGGGAGGCTCCAGTGACAGGGTCAATGACGAGCGTGACTGGCAATTCTGTCAGCCTGTAGAATGCTTTCACTTTGCTGCCATTCTCGCTCGCATCATTTACCTGCAGCACCACTCCAGCTGAAGCAACCCACCAAGCTCCTGCCCTCTGTGTTGCATCCCGTTTGTTTGGGGGTCAATAAGAGCAAGGCTGCGTGTATTACACAAAGAGGAACATGAGCGGACCTGCCAGAAGATGAAGCTGCCCCTGATGATGGTCTTGACTGTGTCGTCACTCCATGTATCCCGATTGAGCTGGTGACTGGCAAACTCTGAGTTGGACTGGACATTGATTAGCTGCAGGCACACATCAACCATGTGTCATGCGTCAACCATGTGCTCTGACGTTGGGCATATGCCATACTTCACACAGGGATGCAGGCACCCTAATTGCCTGATGTTGCAGCATTTCATTTGTTGTGACCCGTTGTCTCATGTGCTCACCAGCCAGCGGCTCTGCTCCAATGCGGCTGCCTTTGCCTCCTCAAGGGTGCCCTTGAACATCAAGTCATGCGGCGGCTCAAACAGCCCTGCCAGCCCAGGCTGATTGGACTTGCCACCTGCTCTGCTCTTGCTGGTTTCCGCCCTGCAGGTACCACAGAAAGCTATGAACATGGGTCAGTACCATATAGAAAAGGGGCGAGTAAAAGAGGATACATGCCTCAAGACAGATGAATGCCAATGTAGGTAGACGCATGCCTGCACCTACTTTGGAAGACCTGCGGCTTTTGGTGAGCATTGAAACTTGATGAAGGACACGTGAACTTACTTGAAATCACGAAATGCCTGGACTTCTTGCTGATGCGACTGGGATCCAGAGGCGCCGCGAGATGTGAAGGTCTCTCCATACAGCCTGTCTCTCACGGCGGGCAGTGGCGGCCGCACGTGCTCTTCCATAGGGTGAGGCATGGGTCCCCCCCTGCAGGGGGTCATGTTTCAATCAGTATGAGAAAATTGTGTGCACTCTATGAATATCGACATCCTTCAGGCACAGAACAATTCCTTATCAACCAGCACTCCTGGATGCATGTCCCAAGGAAGAAAATCTTATAATCTGCATTGATGGAAGTGTCATACCCGGTGTCCATAGGAGCGCTGGGGTGTGAGTGTGCAGCGCCACTGGCTGAGCCAGCGGCCTCACCATGTGTTGCAAAGAACAGCCCCACAGCTTGTTCCAAATCATAGTTGGTAGCCTGTACGGGCAGTCCAAAAAGAATTGGCATCCACTCTTACGTGCAATCCTTACACACGGTGGTGCATAGACAGTAAGTCCTCTGACGATGGAAGCTTCCAAAATTCAAGCCTTGTCTCAAGTTATGCAACGTGTTAAATGGCATCTCTTCTGCACTTAAAAGATCTATATCCTTGAAAAGTGTTCCTCAAGTACAAGGGCGCGGATGAGTACCTCCAGTAAGCCTTGCGCAGTGGAATGATCGGCACCCGTGATATCCGTGAAATTTGCCATCACCTCGTCCATTGCGTTGATATCTGCGACTACAAAGTCAGCAGTATTCCTACTCCTCGCGTTGATCCTTGATTACTATTTCAGCAACGAGAGTTCTAGGATGTCTTGAACATGTGTAAGCTCGAAAACCAAGTTTTTCTCAAAGAGTTCTCCCAATCTCAATGCACTTTTAGACTGGCATCACCAATGCCACATACAGCAGATTGCGATCAATTTTTCTTCTGCAAGAAATAGAAATGGCATTTTTACTCGCCAACGTAAAACCCGAATGAAAAGTTATAATTCAGGGGTTTGAGCCCAGATTTCCCGCCAGATGGAGGAGACTGGCGGATGTAGAAAGATAGAAAGCGACATCGTTTTGGATAACCGAGCTTTCATTCGTCTTGGGTTTTACCGAAGTCTGCGGTACCGAGGGTGAGGCGGCTGCATTTTGAGCAAACCACACGAAATAAGGGCTTCCTTAAATTGAGACATCTAGTGAGAATAGTGGTGTAAAGCTGATCAACGACCACACACGCGTAATCATCACAGAACGGTGAATGATTAAATCATGAGGCTTCGATACTGGGCGTTAATCAGTGCCCTGGTCGGTGCTCACTTCGCTGGATATTCACCGATCGGTGCAGCATTCGACCTGTGTGGCCAGTCCTGGGCTGCCTGGCGCTCCTCAAGGGTCCCAGCTGTTGTTGATGAAAGCTTGACAGCGGCCATCAGGAACGTTACGGGCGACTTTGAACAGGTGAATCAGCAAGGAAGCTGCTCCCCAATATTCATCAGGGCTGTCTTCCCTGTCTCTTTACAATGGCGTAAGATGCAGTAAACGGAAGCCAAGATCCCAAGAAGCCTGATCAAAACGTGTGCCTTCGGGATGGCCTGCCTGGATTGGGGAGCTGGTGAAAAAAATGTCCTTAGTTGTGGGATAGAACTGAGTAGATCTCCGTGTCCTGCAGCTGGCAGACATTGTCAAGGACTTCTTCAGACAAAGCGATGGGGTGGATCCTGAAGCAGAACAGCGCTTCAGGTACTTCCTACAGGAGAAGGCCCACAGGTATGTACATTCTTAGGCACACACAAAGCAGCAGCTCCGCCTGTACAGCCAATATGCACAAAGAAGTCTTTTGGATAGGCACACTGTCTCTTCCTATGTGCAAGCCTCACATCGCAGCATTACTTCATATCTTTCCGTCTGCAGGAATCATGCCAAGCTTGAAAGGGTGCTCGATTGGCTGCTGGCGATCTACAAGGTCGCCATCCCAATCCTGGTGAGTGCAGCTTAGATCAGTTGCCACATGGGGCTAATTACTTTCAAAAGTCCAATGTCTTCCTGTATAGGGCAATGGCCGACCTTTCTTCTGGACCCTGCAGATATTTGTGATCCTGGCGAAAGGGCCCAGCAGCAAGAATGGGGACGGTGGCAAGCACGACAGGATCAAGGCCATTCACAGCAGGAGCCCTTCCAGCGGCAGCTTGTACAAGTCAACCAAGGACAGCTTCTCAAACTCGTCCTTGTTGGACTCTTCTGCTCCGTACAGCATCAGGTCAGCTCCCCTGCAGTCCTAACCCTCATAGTTGGAATCGACGGGAGAAAGTTGTTGGTTTTGGAAGGGCAACATAAGAAGCTCTTGCACGTTGCACAAAGATGTCATAGAGAGGCAGCACATCTGCTGATATTGGAATCAGTGGAGTGATAATCAAAATGGATTGCCCCGGCTGGCAGGGGCGGTATAGTTACTGAGCATCCGTGCCTACGTAAATTTGGTCCTGCTAGGTCTGGCGAGTCCAATAAGGGGTAGGAATACGGCAGCCTTCAGCTGCAGCTTGTCTGCAGGACGCACCTTGCCTCCTGGCAGAAACCTCTTTTAAAAAGAGCAATGAGGAAGTGACTGCCCTGCACTGGTGGGTGCAGGGGCTCTTCGTCCCACAGATCACACCATGCTCTGGAGCACACCAAGCGGCAGCGCTCCACAGACCTTGCCATGCGCGCCTCCGGCTTCTGAGCTGGGCCAATAAGAGCATACCTACTTGGGAGTTGGACGCACCGGTCAGCTGGCGTACCTCCCACAAGGGACATTCTCTCTTGGTCCTCGTGTGGCTGAACTTATGCCCATCTGCCAGGGGTTCCTGGTGCTGACCTTGAGATTCAGCTTGTGGCGCTGCTTGCGTGACAATGGGCTCAATAAAAGCATCAGCAGCACACAAGGATGAACAGATGTGCGCAATGATGCTTATCTTCTTTCCAAGGAGATTAGAGCACTTAGTCTGACAGTGGCGCGCAAACATCAAGGCTGATTCAAGCTACTTATGGGCGCATGCCTCACATGCAGAATGCAGACTCCTGACCAAGACAGTGCGCCCCACATGCTCAATCTACAGTCATGGGAATGATACATCCTGCATAAGGCAAGGCAGATGTGAAGATTGCTCTCGAGACAGGTGTGGCATTTAATGGCTTTGTGTGTGCCAGAATGTACTGCGGGCAGGACCCAGTGAGATGTACACTTACAGTGTGCCATTTAGCCTGGGACAAATCTCCCCTGGGCATGCTGTTCTGCATCACCTATTCTGCTTGGTTTTGTCTTTGATGTACGGCCCCTCAGGTGCACCGCACTCAGGGGAGAATGATTGTCAGAGCAGTCCGGCTCCACTATATTATGATCGGCTGCATCCTTGGATGTACCTTCCTTTGGTTTTGAGTGTTGCTGAGAGAGCTTGACATGTATTTGTACCATCGATCGATGACAAATATTGGAACAAAGAAGCCTTTTCGTGTGTTTCTGTGCTCATTGTTCTGGATATGAGTGGCCGCAGACAGCCGTTCCTGTTTTTGTGGTTCTTGGTGCTTTACTAATACATAGACATGCATCTGGGAATTGGCAGAGCTGCCTTTTTGTCCACAGATTTCTTTTACGGAGCTATAGCCTTGGGGGTACTGGTCTGATCAGATGTGCTAGATCAACGTGTGCATTATGTCTGCACCAGATTGGACAATGCCGCGGTTTGCCATGATGTTTTTGTATTGTAAAGATCATGCATGCAGCCAGTTGCAACCTCACCAGCAAACTGACAATTGCATCACAATGGCGCTTTAAAGCTTCACCCCCACGTCCATGCATGCGTGTATCAATATATTGTCAAGATTCCAATATTAAATGGATTTCAGGTTTCTCTTGTTTACAGGTCTGCAAAATAGCTCAGTGGGTAACCAGGCCAGGCTGGCTGCAATCTTCTTCCGGCGCAAATGCATTCAAGCATACATTCACGCCTTCCTTGCAAAAATGTACACATGATTTATTATTGAACCAATTAAGTTCTTGACGCAGTCAGGAGCAGCACATTTTTTGCTAATCAGTATACCAATATCAACAACAAGTTCTCAACTCCAACAGTTCAACACATATTACACAGGCTGTCGCTTGAGAAATTGTTCCTTTTCTCTGTCTTTGCCGTGCTGCTTCATCTTTGGTGCGCGCGGATGTCCTCTATGGCCGGCAGAAGGCACTGCGCAAGTGCATCCATGCCTGCAAGCAGCAGGCAAATTAATAATCAACATGCCTTGCTCTCTGACCCCAGCAGCATTTGACAAGGCGCCATGGGCAGTGTCAGTGACACTGACGTGTGTTTGCACAGACATGCATGGAAACTTCACAGTAAGAGACAAGCAGCCACAGCTATATTCTGAAAGATGCCGCATGATAAGCAGGCTCATGGTCTGCCCCTCTAACTCTGCTGAGGTGCAGGTAACTAAATGTCTCTCAACCAGTTTGGCCCATGCCTTGCTGACCAATGGGTGTTGCTGGCGCTCCAGTTCTGCGCCAGGCTGTCTTGTCTGTTGCATCTCTTTCTTGATGGCATGCCACTGATATACGGCTCATCCAGATATTACGCTACAGTGGTCTGAAATCTGCAGAGTTGGGAGCGCAAACCTGCTGCATTTGGCTGGACACCGTCGGGCAGCAGCTCATCGTCGAGGCGTGACTCATCCTCGGCCAGGAAGTGCGCGCCACAGTCTACAAAGCGCACATGCTTGCGCGAAGAGTGCGACTCCGCGAACGACGCCAAGTACGCGTTGATCTTGGCCACCGCCGCCGAGAACCTGCGCGCGATCAGTCACTGCCACATCAGCATAGAAAGCAGCGCTACACACAGTTGCACATGGTCCTCGCATCAAGGAAAGTGCTATTCTGTGACAATAATAGAGCTGTCCGGTGATCAAAAACAAAATAACCAGCAAGCCTGTGCCTGACGTCGAGGAATTTCCCTCTCGGCTCTGAACACTTGCACCTTGAGCCACCTTGTTCAAGCTTGGTAAGTATGAAATCACCGCAGAAGCGTCAGTCCTCATGCTCCCGGCAGTACAATGAGGGCAGCAGCTTCGTTGTACCATAGTGGTCATTGCGCAGAACAACTGTGATTGTGAGAGGAGTGCACTTTGTATGGCGAGACTCACTTGCTGGGCAGGGCGAAGGCGGCAGGGTCAGGGTGCAGCGTGACATCTCCCCTGGGCAGCAGCCCCAGAATCAACACCGTGGTCCCCGGCAGCGCTTGAGACAGGTAATCCGCGATGCGCGCCGCCCTTACCGCCGTTGTGTTCGCCGCGCTGTTTATGTGCTCGTCACCCTGCAAATGGTGGGTATTATGATTTTGATTATGATGATTATTATTATTATTATTATTATCATTATTATTATTGTTATTATTATTCTTATTATTATTATTACACGCTTTCCTGCCAAAAGGCGAGGTACGTCCTGCCGACAAGCTGCACTTAAAGGCTGCCACAATCCTACCCCTCGTTGGACTCGCCAGATCCAAGCAAGACCCAATCAACCGTGGGCACTGTGCTCAGTATTTATACCGCCCCCCGCCAGCCGGGGCATGGTGGGTATACAAGATTAAATACCTGGTTGATCCCTCTGGAGCGTGCAATCCATGAGCAGCAAGCTCGGATGCACATATTGAGACCTGTGCTTCTGCGCCTCGAGGCATGGTTGCCCAAAAGATTGCAGGGCTGTTGCCATTGGTTTCAGAAAGACAGAGCCGGGGAGAATGCGAGAAAAGTATCTGCTCTGAGTTGCCAGCCAGATAGTGACCATAAGTGGCGCTACCAGAACACACAGCGTAGCATTGTAATGGAGGTGAAAGGTGAAGTATCATGCTCAGAAAGCGCACGATCTCCTCTCATGTGTGAGATGTTGAGGTGGAAGTACCTGGAATGAGGCATAGGTGAGGTCACTGAAGCCGATGTGCAGCACCACTGCACCAGCCTGCAGCCCTGGCACCACCTCCCCGTTCTGCAGCCTCCACATCATGTTAGCCGTGGTGTCCCCTGCCACACCATTCTTTTCTTCAGCAGCCCATGGAGATCTCATGCCTGGGATGCTGCTCTCTGTGAAAACTAGCAACCTAGTATGGTTGAACGCCTCTCTATGTCACATTGCATATACCTACATGGCAAGTCAGCCCTTCCTCTATGCTTGGTGCCTGCCCTGAGAGGTCAATGCATCTCCATGGCAGAAGCATTACTTACGTAGAGTGCCTCGAGAGCTATTTGGCCAAGCTAGGAGAGAAGAACAATGGGCAGCAGTACCTGCTATGCCGAGAGCTGCTGCGCGGTACTTGAGCCCAAACTGGTTGTGGAAGATGTCTGCGCAGCCCTGAGCCCGCAGTGATGGCTCCCCCAGGAACGTACCCCTCCAAGCCTCCACCAGCGTGTCCCCATACATCAACACATCCAGCCCCTGGAGGCCAGTAGCCAATTGTTCCTTTCAAAGTCTTCTCCTCATCAGTGACAGGCGACTGATACAGTGTGCCAAAGGACAGCGCAGTCACACGGCCTCTGCACCAGCGCCTGTGCTGCCCCTTGGAAAGCGAGGAGACCCCAGAAGAGGTACAGATTGCGCGGCATCGGCACAGCATAAACCCATTACACTGCAGACAGTATTAGCATGTACAGGAAGGTGCTCCTTCTGCACCCTTGCCACCGCATGAAGTCTTTCAGAAGGGACATTAGACATCCTTGGCCGAGATCTGCATGATCAGGAAGGGGAAGGCGTAGCTGCCCACCTGGCCGGCACTGGCCTGGGCTATTTTGTCTATGTAGGACATGTGCAGGGCTGCCCAGCCAGGCACGTCCTGGCGCGACTGGGGCCACGGCGGCTGCATGATGCGGCCGTGGCCGAACTGCGCGTTCCCGTTTGCCAGCAGCAGCACAAACATCATTCCCATCGCAAGAAGGAACATGAGCCCGTACTCGCCTGTTGGAAGACGCATAAAGGTCAGAGCAACACACGGCAGAAGACAGGGCACAAAAATATCTCATGGTCTGGCATCCTAGAGAAAATTGCACGGCGCAAGTAGTTTCCTCAGAAAGGCAGCCAAACCACTTATGTTGGCGCGCGATTAAGGCCCTGGTAACGCTTTCCTTCTCAGCAGGAACGTGAAGATATACTGTGATTCGATGATGAGGCGCAAGGCAGAGACATACCCGCCCTCTGCCACAGGTTCCCAAGCTCCCCTTGGCCCATGCCTGCCCTTTTGCTATCGTCCGGCGGGATGCCGGCGCTGCTTGAGAAGGCTTTTGCCCATGTCTTTGTTCCTTGGCTATCTCCAGATGTCACTGTGACCGTGCCCCACACAATGTGTCAGAGCCTGTCTGAGTTGGATTGCCCTGGGACGCTTTAAGAAAAGTGAGGCAGAACCCGATCTTGTGTGAAATTACCTCTAGGTGTGAGGAGAGGAGCCAGCATTTGCCAGCGTTCTCGATGATCGCGGTTCCTTCCTGAAAAGGCGATTTGCTGAGGACAGGCAAGGCTCGGTTTCAGCAGCTCCTTCCTTGTCTCACGAATTTGTACAGGAATGGATCTCGTCAGATCGCTTGACTCATGAATATCTGCAAGTCAAGGCTTCTACTCGTGCCCCTTTTAATGAACCTTCAGCTGCCCATCACCCAAAACGTGTGCACATATTATACTGCAGACAAAGAAAGAACTATCACCGCAAAATCAGATTGATCCAGCCCACGTTGGATTAATCAAAGGCATCTATGGGAGCGTTCTACATTTAGATCTCAGGCCAACCTTTGCAAGGCTTTTAGTGCCTGTGACACAGAGAGAGCACGAAGCAGAGATGCCTAATCTTATGTTGGAACTGCACTTGCTGCTACACCAGATTTTATGATTTTGACAGCTGTTCTGGTGATCTGGATTACAAGTGGAAGGAGTATGAGATAGCGGTCTGTCCCGAGAGTCCGCCAAGATTCAGATCTGGGCGGGACCGAGGGGGTCAAACATCTATTCATTCAACCATGCAAGACTTCCCTTCAGCAAATCCAGACCCAAGACATGGTGCTAGGCCAAAATATAAAGAGGATGCCCGATATCTCTACCTTGGGCAAAAAAAATGTAAGCTGGGGCACTTCACAGGAAAAGATAAGAAGAAAAATTGGAAAATAAAGTCGACGCCGAGACTCGAACTCGGAATCTTTTGCTTCGGAGGCAAACGCGGTATCCATTTCGCCACGCCGACAGCGGATGTCAAATTCCATTTTTTATACGTTATTATAGGGTATCTGACGGGCGCGGTTCCCATTCACCACAACCCTGGCCGACTGATTGACATTTTCACTTTTGCAGACATTTTAGATCTCCATAGTCTGGACAGATCTGAGAGTTCGGACGTATCAACAGCATCACAACCGTTTGGGGCCCCAGTTGATCCATTAAACTGTCCGAAACAGTGCGAGAGGCCATCATGGTATGATAGTGCCTCATGATCAAGATATTGGGAATTCACAACAGCAAAATGAAAGACTAGCGGTTGGCTCACTTCTAAGCTTGACTTCAGGATATCTCATGCGTGGAAGCACAGCAACTGCAATACGTATACCTGCCTCTCCAACTAGGCATGCCTATAGTAAAGGACAGCTATGGAAGTGACACATGCTACATGTACACTGACACTGCTGGCAGCATGACCAACCCGTGCATACACTGAAGGAGCGCTGCTCCTAGCAGCCCCCATCCCTCTCATGATCATGCCCTGCAGCGTATTGGTTTCAGCATGAGCATGGAGCTACAGGACAAGTTGAGATTTTCTTGGAACATAGGTTTATAATCAAAATTACTGCCATTAATCATACGAAGCATGACCTTCATTCAACTTGTAAATTGACAGCGCACCGCATCACCTGTAGTGTGAGGAGTTTTCTTAAGTTACAGGCGCCCCAACATCCTGACAGCTTGGAGCAACATCATAGCAGATTCCCTTCATCCTTCAAGGAAATAGAGGACTCTTGACTATAAGGGCCTCTGGCAACTTGAAGCCAAAATTCCGCTTGCTTATGGACCGACTCTCATTGCCACATTCGATACGAGCGCGCGTGGCTGGATCAAATGCAGCCTGTGAACACAAAAGGTGATTCAAATGTCTGCTCTTGCCCACCATGAATGCAGATCTCACAATTAGACAGCTGATGTCTGGGGTAGTCACCTGCAGAGCAGTCATCTGACGCAAAGGGGCCACTAATGTATCCTGCACATCGTCACTACACTCCAATATCCCTAGCGCCCTGCCGCACCCAGACGGATGAGTCGTCATTTTCTATAGCCCCATGCAAATCAACTTTTTATACCAAAATATCTATACGGCAACCAGGAGGATGCAACCAGACCTTGCGACTGCTTCAGCAGTTGTCATGCAGCCCAAAGCTGGCTCTCGTTTGAGTGCAGTGTCCCAGTTAGCCAGCGGGATGCTGTTCAGAGGTAGGTGGACAGCAATGGGCTTGAAAGCTTCCAATGAGGGCATCAGCATCTGCACGCCCAGCACACCACGCTGTTGAGCACATGTGCAATACTGTTACGGCAGCAGATCCATCAACACACACTGACGGAGCCCAAACAAAGACTGAATACCTTGTACATCTCCTTGCCTTGTCTCCATGTGCCATCTATGGCTATGAGCAGGTACTTCCAGGGCACATGCGGACAGCTTTGTCGCTCTGTATCGTCCTCTGCCACTGCTGTCATCTCCCTCAAGTGCTCTGAGGAAGCGTGCGCTTGGCTGTGCAACTGCACCATGTCAGCGAGATCTCTGGCTTCTGGGCCCGGAAATAAAACATAGATCGGGGCTCCCATCTGCTGCGCTGTGTACAGTGCAGCTTTAAGATCATGATCCCTCTCCACCTATACAGATCACATGAGATTCAATAAGATCCTGATCAACAAAAGGCATAGCTTCAGATGGAACCGGCGCTCAGGCACCTGGCATCTGTGGGGTGAAATTATGAATGCAATCTTTCCCATCATGGTGCTTGATATAGTGTTGCATTTACACCTCCATGCTGACAGTGAGCTGCGCACCGAAAACTTGCGGCCTCGAAGCAAGGTGCACTCCTGCAAGCAGAGTTCTAAGAGAGGAACTGTTGCCATGCGCTTCCTGCGTTGCATCCAGAGTTCTTCAATAAGGTAGGCAATAGGTTAGGTACCCAGTCATGAGAAGATTTTGATTAACTTGCTTCAGGGATTACCTGAGCTCCAAGGGATGCTGCAGTACCACCAGCTTGCCATGCAACTCCACAGGCACTTCTGGCAATACGCTGCAGAGACAGACCGTCCGTGGCCGCCTGGACGCCAGGGATACATCTCATGTGAGCTCCGATTGTTTGCTACAGGCTGGCACTCTCATGGGAGGGCAGGACAAAAATGCTTTGGCGTGCAGAACAACAAGCCCTGCTTACCTGCATCGTGGGCAGTCTCGGTAATCTAGAGTTTCTTGCAAGTTTTCATCCATTTGGCAGATGTCAGGAAGACCCTCGAAACCAAGACCATCACTGCTGTTTGGCGATGATCCTTCCCAAACCACTCTATGTTGTACCATTTTTGTCTTCTCTACTTGAAAAATAATCCTGTAAATTATATTTTATGCACAATCAAGATAAAGATTTTGAGTCTATTCAGAAATAGGTAATCGATTTTGACCTGTGACTGCTGTGTGGACAGGAAAAAGTCTTGTGGACACAATTGTACTACACCTTCAATCTTATCTTGGCATCAATTTATTTCCGCGATCATATATTTGTTTTAAGACGATCCCATTATTAATTTGGCGAGCAATGGCGTGCAGATCTCTCGCTAGGAGAGCTGTGCTCGCGGCATGTCAAGTGAGTCAGAGGTTTGCTGTTTGTGCTGAATCGGCATCAGCAGGGGCATGTACCAGTACTAGAAGCATTCCAAGATCATTATTCTCGTCGATTCAAGGGCCAAATGTTGGTGAGCCTTCTCATGCCACTGTTTTTCCTAGGACCAGTTGCTGTTGTGTCTGGCTCATTCTGTTTGATCTCTCGTTGCATCCAAGGCTTTTCTGCGCATTTTAACTTGATCCTCCCTTGAGAAAATTTTAGTGCATTGCACATGTGAGAATTCGTGATCTGTAGGACCATCAGCCAGTGTCCCTCGCACCATGCTGCAGCGGCAGTTTGCATGAGAAGCAAAGCTGGATCGTCCTCCACCTGACATGGTGTGATTCTAGGTCATGCAGCCCACAATATCACTGGTGCACCTGTACCAACAATTCTCCATGCACTCATTTGGTACACAAACATAATCTCCACAAGCATTGAATGTGTGCTGTGGGACACTGGCAGGTCATAGTGGAGTACAATCCGGCAGATGTGGATCGGTTCATTGAAATTGCTGACGCAATTGAAGAGAGGTATCCGAGCCTCATGGTGGATGGCCAGGAAATTGAGGGGGACACAGCAGACGGGGACCTGACATTCGAGGTCAAGGCGCAAGATGGGCATTCCCTCTTTTCTGCCAGGCAGACAAAGAGGTTCCCAGACAGCGCAGAGATCCTAGATGCCATTGCGGCCGCTGGGGTGTCAGAGTCATAGAGTGCAGCATTCCGGCCTCATGCATATTGATCTGTGGCAGCGATGTTGCATTCTGGGGAAGTTCGAGAGCTGTAAATTGGTGTGGACTGTATCAATGGCACGCATGCAGCTGGTGGCTGTGGAGGTCTGATATGACGCCTGAGCTCAAATGCATGGCTGTGCACAGCTCAGTGCCGAAAAGACTCCCTCCACCTGTGGCTGTCTTGGCGTGCCAGTACTTTACCCTTGCGTGAGAGGCTCTAAGGGCTCATTGCTGTAGCACTGCAAAGTGTACACGTTGTCTGACACTGGCAAGTGGTGTGATATTAGAGACGAGAATTACTATCACAACAGCCCTTACGAGGATGCTGTGATCGGCATGAAGTTCATACATTGTTGGTCCTTTATGAGATTCCTATGAGTGCAGCAAAGGCACGTTTGTTGATCAGACAAGATGCTGTCCAGTACTGAAGCGGTCAGGAATCGATGCTCTGGGCTCAAGCTAGTTGGGGTCATGATTAGTCCTTTGTGAGTCAACTTATGTTACATATCCGAGCAGGCCTGTTTTTCAAGGCCACGCCAATCTAAGACACAAGCTTGATAAGACAATGGACTGAGACAAAAGGCCCCAGCATAATGCAACCCAGGTCCAGCAAAATTTGAAAGCTGTACTGTTCCTGATAGTCATAGCTCATGACCATTTCTGAGATCACAATATTACAGGCTCTGTGGGCCATTACGATGACTAAATTGATTGAATCTACGTGTCGTCTCACGATCCTTAGAAACCAAATCCTTAAAAACCTTGCTCTTACTAGATTTGATCATTATAACATGCATGGCCTTCCAGAATTTGGCAACCAGACTGGCATGGTGACAGATCCTCGGCTGCCTGATCTGGATTTACAAGTCGAGGCACCATGGTCATCTCCGAGAATCTACTGTGGCGTATTTATTAAGAGAGCAATTTAGCGGCCAGCAGTGGTTGGGGGGAGGGCGCCCATGGCATTTTGCAGGATGGCAGTGATGGGGTCGCGGCTGGTGAGGTCAGTCAGGAAGGAGTCCAGGTTGGTCTGTGCAGTGCCACCCAGAGCGGCGCCCTGGGACACGATGCCGGAGATGACTGTCTGCAGCTCCTGCAGCGCAGTGGCCAGCTGGGTCTGCGCACCCAGCACACAACGCATTCAGCAACACCACATGCGTGATTGTTATAAGCACTGTTCCACGCTGCTCCTGCCAGATGCAAGGCGCGCCTGCAGACAAGCTGCAGGTACGGGCTGTAGGTGTCCTGCCCTTTGATGGACTCGCCAGAACCAAGCAAGACACAACCATTCGTGGGCACATAGTGCAAAGAGGTCAGACTCTCAATAGCTTTTGGGTCTGAGCCAACCAGCACACACTGCAATGAGGCCACATTCATGCTGATGCATTCGATGCAAGTTGCGGGTTGCCTGGCACGCATTGCAATCTTCTACGCCTGCTGCTCGTAAAGGAAGGGCTCGACGAGACAAAAGCAAGCAGCTCAGAATACAAAAGCTACCAGACAGCTGCAGGGGTTTCTATGTTCCTCTGCTGTACAGTTGAGACACTGCCCATTGGCGGACAACCCATGCAGCTAAGCTGACAGATGAGATGTGGCAAAACAGCGTACCTCGAATGTCTGCACCAGAGGAATGGAGGAGACAGTGTTGTTCACTCCCTCAGCTGCTCCATTGATGGCGCTCTGCAAAAACAGGAGAACGCCGGTAAGGGACCAGTTTAGCAGTGGCCTCATGTTCCTCTTCAAGACCGCCAATGCTGCAGTGCAAAGTTAACATTGATGTTTCTCAGCTCCCTCAGATTATCTACAGGTGTCTAATGGAGAGTAGACAAAAAGCACCTGCAGGCTTGCAGCGTCGCCCTGCAGGAATGACACCATCCTAGAAAGTGCCGACATGAATGGGTCAGTGCTGGTGCCGGCAGGGAGTGTGGGAATTGTGGCTGCTGGTGGCAGTCCTCCCGCAGCAGGAAGCGTTGGTAGTGCGGCCACAGTTGGCAGTGGTGTGACCTGCTTCAGCTCCCTGCCCATTGCCACCCCTGTGCCAGGCCCACCTCGATTTCAGCGCATAATTGCAACCTGGTGTTCAAGGTATTCTGTCGAGGGATCGGTGCAAATTAGCCCCATACAGGCGTGCAACGAGGTTTGGGAAGCATGTATCTACCAAAGAAAAGATTGAGGGTCATTATCGTCGTTCAAGATCGTGGCTTCGGACATCCGAAAAAGCTATTGTCATGTTCACGACAACAAACGATGTACTCTTAGCGAGACAGCAGCTGGAAAGTGGATGAGGGAGCTTCTTTCAACAAATTATAACCAATAGTTGCTCTGAAAAAGTTGCAGTGCTAGGATGAATTGCTTACCCGTGCCCCGAGACGCAGATGCTGTGACAGCAAGAACAACGAGCATTGCCGCAAAAAGCGTCATCCTTTGCGTGGCCATGGCTAGATGATAAGGATAATTTTCTAAAGTTCGGAAGCGTGAAAGGAATGAATTGTTGCAACTCAGTTGACGCCAGAGCTGTGATTCTCAACTGGGGTTCGATCGTCCAAGGTAGATTACTATCATAATAATGTAATTTTCGTGAGTCATGAGAGGTTGAAAGGAATGGAAGGGAGAATTGTCGTTGGTGTTGGTGTCTCCCCCCTTCCAAGAATCTGCAAGCTGCTTCATCCTATGAAAATACTCAGTGCACTAGCTTGCATGGCTGACCGTGGCTGCCGCAGCCGGACGGTCCACCGGTGGTACCAGCGGGCGTCAGAGCTCCGAGCTCTAAGTTAGAGTCTAACTTAGACTCTAATATTGAATGGTTGCCAGAACTGCTGGCAGCTGTTGACATCAGAAGCACTGCCTTGCAATGCACAAGTGCTCAGCACCGCAAGCTCTGTGGCATTCTCTGCAAGATCTCAAGGCATTGCACTAACTCAACATGCTGGGCTTATTGCCGCAGTGCGTAATACTGCAGCCTGCCCTAGCATGCTACTAGCTACATAGTATGAGCTGGATAGATACGCTATCTGCATATCAGTTGAGCTGCAAAAGCGTCACATCTGCTGTCCATGACACACTCATAAATGAAGCAGGGGGCTCAACCCATGCATGACTGATAAAAAAAAGGACCTGAGGTGGACACCAAATTTGTGACCTGATTTACAAGAGCAACATTCAGGAGTCTGCGGCACCAAAGCCATCGTTTGCTGCCACATTTGAGCTTGCTATTCAATCTTGAGAGCCCCTATCTGCTTATCCAATGAATTGAGGCGGCATGCTCGAGCCTGTGCAAGCTTGTCAGATACACTGCCTTAATATCAAACTCCATCACACCGCAGCATCTGCTGCACAGAAGGCGCGCTCGCTCAACCTAATCATAGTGAGGACCAATAACAATCAAGGAAAAAACCAAGCTGCAGGCAGGCAGATACTCCTCTTATATCTTTCAGGCCCATGCAATAATGTTGCCAACAAAGTTGCTAGAAGCTCTTCACATATCTTCTCCCACTCTCTCATTGCAAACATTCATTCCCGCCACTACAAAAAGGTGCTATATGCTGTTCTCAGAACTCGAAGCCCAGTCCATTGCCCACTGTGAAGCCAGCCATCTCAAAGATGCCCTTGCCTGCCAAAGCCTCCACCAACAAAATACCAAAGAAGCCCAACTGCACATTTGCACAGACAGCGGAAGTCATGCGTTGTGACTTACAGCCAATCTGTACGAAGCACAATGCATGACATCACTACAATTTCTGCCTGGGTATCATAGCATTTGTGGAGACAATTGCGCACCATGGCTGCTCGACTGTTCAACCGCTCCGCTGATTCTACAAATCCAAACTTTGCAGGTGGGACTTCAGGCTGCACTGGTGGCTGTGTGACCCTCTGCATGGATACGATGCATTTTAGCTCCTGCTCTCTATGTCCATCAAGTTCTTGAAAGATTAAATCAAGCAGATGATCAGGACTTTTCGGCCAGCATGGTCACTCACCTTTGGGGGTGTAGGTACCCTGAACTCCCCTTCTGCCCTTACTGTCAGCCTTCGTTGCCTTGCTGGCGTGTTTCTGCATGATGCAAGTTGCGGAGCTTTGCTGCTGAAAGCAGGTGAACATCTGCGGATCATAGGAATGTCCTTCAGGTTTGCCATCTTTGCTGGCAACAGATCATCTTTACTATACGTAGCTATTCAGATACCTGTATCGATTATGTGCCCATCGGAGCAAAAAAGCTATTCACTTGCCATAACCAACAGTTCTTCACGAGTATGATGAGGTGTGACACAGGCCCCACCTGTTGTTTTCCAAGACAGAAGAGCTTGTAAGAGGCTTGCACGCCATCTGCGCCATGCTGTGGTCGATGGTTATCACTTACTCACCGGGAAAAATGCGTCTCTTGTGCTAGCATTAACTTGTGGAGGGGTAGAGGAACTTTCACCAGCGATCTCTGAGGCTGATGTGTGAACACGGTTGTACGGAAGAATATGCATGGAGCCAATCTTGGCTGCATGCAATACGGGATCCGTATAGTGATTCACCCAGCTGGACACACAAGCCAAATTGCTCGTATCAAGTGCAAACTGTCAATTTGGACTCTTTCAAGGAGGAGCTATGCACATGAGGAGCTCGATTGACGAATGAGGATATCTCTCGTTGTGGTGCTCGGCTTGATTTTCACAACAGCGATGGGAGGTTCAGGACAGCTACTTGGTGAGCTTGGGCGCTCTTGTGTTGGGTCAGAGGGGCACTGTGACCGTCCAATGATATAGCAATTGATTCTTGAACTCTATGTCCTGTAATGCTCTGTCACTGAGCTGTGCTGGCCAAAATGCGTCCTGTGTCCATGTTCTCAAGGATGCGACCAGGTTGAGGGACCCTGCACCTTTATGCTTATCGTGCATGATCTGTGCAGGTGGCTACAAAAAGCACGATGACCACAGCAATGATGCACGGGTTCAAGAAGCTGCAAAGTTTGCTGTGGACAAGGCAAGCTTACCAACACAACATCGTTCTATGCAAGCAGTGCCACTCTGAGAACTTTAATTTGATATAATAAAGACAAGTAGCATCTTCATAGCTTTGTGATGAAGAATTATGCTACCGGTCCAAGCTCATGACTTGACCGAAACTGGTTGTTGCAGTTGGGGGAGCAGAGAAATGAGAAGCTGGACCTCATCAAGGTCGTGAGTGCCCACACCCAGGTATATATATGATCAATCCAATGACACGCTTTATATGGCTTATATGCATTCATCTATTCATTCCTCTGATTGACTATGCTCACCTTGGGCTTTCATACTGTTCTGAACGAGGTCCCTGGCTTCATCAGGTGGTGGCAGGCACAAACTACAAACTCCTGTTGGACATTGCAAATTCCGACAACAAGATGGAGTGCGTTGAGGCAACAGTCTATGGTGAGCAAAGCCTTGCTTCTGTCAGCATTTCACACTCACCGTGACGTGGTCCTGTATGGGCTTGTCTGAGGAATTTTGTGCTCTGTCTTGCAGCACCCCTGGGCAACCAGGAGAAGCAGCTCACCTCAACCAGGAAACCCACGCCTGATCAGGTTCACACCACGGCCTTTTTCTCCCTCACACTGCCATTCCCACCTGCCTGGGAAGTACACAGAAGGGCATGGAGATTTCTCCTAGAATGATCATGCTCATGTGCTGGGAGATGTTCTGACCGATGCACTCTGTTCACTCCACGAGGCAGCTGTTGCTCCTGCTTTGGCGCTCGCAATGCCTTCTTGTATTGCATTATGCCTTCTCTCAATGAGTACTACAAGAGTACAGGCGTGTGAGGCATGGGGCCATTGCGTGCAGATCGAGCAGCAGACTGAGGCCACATCAGAGAGGAAGAACGGCGGGCTGCTGGGCGGCTACAAGGAAGTCAGCACAGATGACGAAGAGGTCCTTGACGCGGCCAACTTTGCTGCTGAGCAGCTCTCCCAGCGCTCCAACTCCCTCTACCCCTTCAAGGTCAAGGAGGTGACAAATCTCTCCCCCCTCTCTGATCCCATGTATTCCTGTGGATGCCAAGCTACCAATTGACATTAAGGTTGGATATTTAGTACAGGCCTTTCAAAGCAGGGATGCACACAGACATGCCTTGCTGAGTGCTTAGTGGAACTTGTCTTTCTCAATAGCTTGAAAGAAGCTTGGACCTTACATTTGTTTTCTGGATCTTGCTGTCATCAGCACGCGCACTTAGGGTGATGAGGTTCCTTCAATCTGGTAAGCAGAGCAAGTCGTAAGGTAATGCATGTAATCGTTCTGGACTCTAGCATGTCTGGTGTGAGCAGGTCCTTCAGGCCAAGACGAAGGTTGCCAATGGCCGCGTGTTTGACCTGGCCATCAAGCTGTCTCAGGGAGACCTCTCCGACCAGATCATGAAGGTGATCCTGCATGCCCTCTACCTGCACTGAACCCAAGAGACAACGCAGACATGAACACAGAGCGAGGGCCAATCAAGGGATTTATCATCATCTCACTCCTTGCATGTGATGCCAAAGTCTTGTGGCGTGACCTCTTGTAGATGCGCCTGTGACTGCATGCATTCTTGTAGATGGAACTGTGCCTTGCCTCGGCGGACAATTGTGTATTAGTCGCTGAGTCTGTCCCATCTCTGTGTTGCTTTCAGAAAGGCAAGTTGAGAATGATCATGGGCCCTCTTGACAAGGTTTGTGCCTGGAACAGGTCGAGGTGTCCCGGGACCTGAAGAACACCTACCTGCTGACCAGCTCATCCCCAGCAACCTCCTAGATGGATCTGCAGCTGTGGACGAGGCAGACATGTCTGTACAGCTTGAGAGAGTTGTGCACTGAAACGTTCCTGCAGCGGGTATGTGTTGATATCATCGATGGACAGTGGCTTTGACGGTCTGATTGTGGACACGACTTGCCCCAGTCCTTGTAGCTCCCCCACATGTGTACATGGTGCGAGGCCGTAGATGTACTTACTCGCAAGCTTAGATCTAGAAGTTCCCGCACTGACTGAGCATCCAGCATTTAAAGATGCTTTTCTGTGGCAAGAGTTGGTCTGGTATGGGGATCAGGGCTGTTTAGGCTAGTGCTGTTCAGTTTTGCAGAAATCTGCTCTGCGCTTACAATGCAAATGAAGGCATGTAAATTGAATAGATCATAGCTCATGATTGCTAGCACAAGCGCTTGTGTGGCCTCCGCGGAGAATTAAGGGATTGCCATGACGGACATGTACATTCATCATAATGTCTTCCAAGCCTAGGCCTGTTACATATTGTGAATTATGAGCGCAGAGAGACCGCGAAGCTTAAGCACAGCTGTGTATGTGCAACCCATCAAAGTACAGTGCCTTGTCACTAAGCAATCCCTGAACATGGCAGAAGTCAAGACCAAGTTGGACTCTGGCACAATGCTTCTCCGAGTCATAAGGCACAGACACTCAAAGCATCAGTCAATGCTGCTGTGTGACAATGTAAACAGATCGTTCTACACATCTGGTTGCAAGTCCTCCAGTGCTGTGCGCAAACACGCATCAACAGATCACGTCAGCTGTCTGGAATCAGGGAGACAAGTTGTTTTACTTTGTATTGGTGTGATATGTAGAAGCAGCAATAGAACGCCATGCGTTTGGCAACAAAACCCCAAAAGGTGTGTGCAACCGTAAGGCTCTGTCAATGTCATAGGACACACTGTGACAACAGAAGCGCTGACACGCATCAGCGTTTGACAGGTCACATGACGGTCAGCATTGTTGGCAGCCCCTCTACTCCTTCTTGGGAGCAGCAGCCTTCTCCTTCTTTGGTGCCTTGGGCTTGGCAGCAGCCTTCTTGGGGGTCTGCATATCACAGTAAGTAGTTCGACAGTTTGCCTGTGCATGCAGGGCTGCATATTTGCTGCATGCATGGCTGCAGAAAGCTCATGAGCCACACAGTCAACACATCAGATCAGGCAAGTGAGTCAGCACGACAATGTGTACATGGTTGAGCTGCAGGAGAGCAAAGGTAAACAGGTATTGCAAAGATAAGATAGTCAGATCACCTTCTTTGCTGCAGGCTTCTTGGCCTTGGGGGCAGCGGCCTTCTTGGGGGCAGCAGCCTTCTTTGCCGCGGGCTTCTTGGGAGTCTTGGGCTTTGTAGTCTGTACAAATTATCACGATCAGAAAATTGACAAAAGCTTTGGAGTCTGAACTGAGTGGTGCTCAAAGCAGGGCATGCATTCCTGGAATCTGAAGTGCATGCATGCTCACGGCTTGCTCGGCATGTGGACAGAAAGGACATGAGCTGCTTTGAATGCTGGCTGCTTCAGCAGATTGCCTTAAGCGCACCTTGGGCTTTGTGGTCTTCGGCTTGGTTGCCTTGGGCTTCTTGGCCTGCAGATGACAAATGCAGACAGGATATCACAATATGCTCGAGGACCATCAACACATTTGAATAACTCAGCAAAAGGAGGCCAGCCAGATAACGTATCATGCACGAATTTCAGTGGTAGCCCAAAGGTGTGCCCTACATGTTTCGCTGGGCAAGCGGGGTAAAAGATTGCACCTTGGGCTTCTCAGCGGCTGGGGCAGCACCCTCTGCAGCAGCAGGCTTGGGAACCTTGGGCTTCTTAGCCTGTCACATCACATTAAGCACAAGTCAGCAAAGCATGAAAGCTGTATGTGTCCTTATCACACCGTTGCTGATACAGCGGTGCTCAAACTTTTTGCACAGCCGGAATCTCTTTGCGGTACCTCGCAAGTGCATGCAACACTGCAGGTATGCTGTATTTGTTTGCCCACAGTGGAACAGGGATGCAAAAGTTTGCCCCACCTTGGGCTTCTTCTCCGTCGCTGGCTTCTCTGCCTTGGGTGTCTTCGGCTTCTGAATACAGGGCAACACACGTTGTTATGGTCAAATCCCAGCTCTGTTTCAGCAACAAAACCGGGCATCTCTCTACGATTGAGACAAGAGGACTGCTGATGGGTCTGAAAGTAGCTTCTCCAACACTTTTCCACTTCCCACCAAGGCAAAGGATTAAACCTCACATTGTCAACACAAACAGGGGAGAAACAACAGATTCAAGTCACCTTTGTAGCCGGCTTCTTCTTGTCAGCGGCGGGCTTCTGCAAGCACACGAGGAGAGGCGGTCAGGCAAAGCGTCACTTCCATTGTGAAGGGTCAGTTGCTCCACGATCAGAATAAATGCAACGTCCAGGCTCCCCATAGCAGAAAACAAGCCAATTCTCTCCGCATTCCATTGTACAACCGCGTGCATGCACGGTTTCAGGGCAATTATACTCCTTGGGTGAGGGTTTAACGGTGACAAGGCTGCTCTCGAAGAAGTCCCATCCTGAACTCAGGAGAAGGCTTTCAGCGCTCAAATTTGTACCTTGGGTGCCGCCTTTTTCTTCGGTGGGCCCTTCTTGAAGTCGTCGCTGAGCTTGTAGCTGGCCTTCACCTGCACAGGCAGGGCCAGCAGGGGGTCACGCTTGGGTTCTCCATGGACCCGTCAACGGACACGAGCTGGGCCGCACTGCGGCTTTTTTCCTTCCGTTTCTCTTGCGCTGTCGCTTCTGAGACGCTTCTATACTCCTCGGCTTTCATTTGAGCTGGACAGCGCGGCGATACCACGGACAATAGAGCGGAAAAGCCACTCCAGTCCCTCCACTTTCTCCGGCTCCGTGAGCCACCTCAGACCAAAGACTGGCACGCACAAAGCGCCGTGAAACGCTCTCCTTGTCTCCTCTGAGCCTTACAGAAACGTTCAGAGGTGCATTAAGTGGCAGAGGCCACGCGAAGCACGCTGCTGCTGCGCCCCAGTCCTGCTCCCTCAAACGTTCCTCCAGGGCAACAACTGGGAGCCTGGATTATAACGGATTGTCTTGCAGCTGTCCCTTCTTCCGTCCTCAGAACGTTTCAGACGATATGTCCTCGTCACTGTAAGGCAGCGTGAGTTCTTGCGTGGCGCCCACTTGAGCTTGCAGGCAGGTAACAACGGGTGTGCTCACCTTTACAAGCTTTCCACTGGTGCTCAACTTCTTGATGTTGTTGCTGAGGACCTTCTTCCACGGCCCAGGCAGGCCTGGGTGCTTCTCACCAACGAATTTGCTGATCGCAGCTAGGGATGAACCATTGCGCTCCTACAGGCAGCACACCAACAGTCCTCATCTGGGGCACAACGATGTTATTTTTTGAGATTGAGCAGGTCTGGGCGGTACCAGGGCATCCCGGGACGTCATAAGCATGCCAGCAAAAAATCTTGTCATGGTCCTGCGTAGTTTCATTGCACAAGGGGGGCATGTACAGACAAAACAGGGGCACATCCTCACTTTCAAGCTGGCGATGGCCTCCTTGATCAAGACTGCGTACGGAGGATGGGTGGGTGCTGCCTTCGGAGCCATCTGAATTGTCTAGAAGGACGATAAGTGCAAACTTGCGGTACTCTGATCGATGATGAGAGGGATGCACGCTCGCTACTCCAGTTTCAGGAATGACCAGGTTGCAGCCTGCGGAATGACTGTTTGAACGTCTAGGGTTCGGGGGAATATGGAATCCCAGGTCTTCAAACCCTTTCACTTGTCGGGCATGCCGCATGCCAAGGTTTTGTCCCCACGAACGACAGGCTTTATACAGCGCCGCTAAACAGCGGTCACCAGACGTCCATTTGGTATCTTTAATGTGATGGCGGTGATATTACTCCGGGATATGTGCAGGTGTTGCCCATGAGGTCATTCTGTCCCCACGGAGTCGAGATCTTGATCAACCTTGAGGTCACATAACATCTGTCAACGTAGCTCACCTGTAAGCACAAGCTAGAGTTAATTGCCGTCAGATTAATTAGTTGATGATTGGCCAAGTGCGTCCCTGTGCTATATGCAACATACTTTGCTTGCAACATTCGTTCTCACATGTGAATATGACTAAGTGCCATTGCTGCTGCATTGAGCTCAGAGAAGTACGAACGTTTAATACGTCCCTGTGGATCTGTTATGATAGAATTCTACAGTACCATGGGCCAATGTTTCCCTCTTGTTCTGGAACAAGCGCTGCATGGCACTTGTCAGTCTCGGACGTCAGTCACAACACCAGACCACCTATGTTTTCTCGACTTGCTTTGATTTGCTCCTCCCACACCAGAAACACATGCTGCCGCTCCGGGGCACACAAGAAGCTATCCTCAGTTGCAAAGGACCCGGGCTTCCAATCCTCTTCCCAACAAGATACAGTGTCATCCAAACGCCATTCTTCTCTGATGCCGCCCATATACTTCTACCGGCCGCTCTGGTCACGGCAGCTGACATCAGCACCGGCCGCTCTGTCAGCTGCAGTGCAGCCAGTGGGGGGCCCCCAAGTTCTCAAACACCTTAATCTCGCCGTTGTAGCCTGCCGTGAGGATGACCTGGCCTAACGCGCGCTCTGAGCGCACAGCCGCCTCTCCCACGCGCGCAGCGTCCTCCTCCTGCTCCTTGGACAGCTTGCCTCTCAATCCCAGCCTATTTAGCTGCTCCACCACACCCACCTGCACCCCTCACCCCACCCAATCAGCAGAGTTTGATGCTATAGCAGCTGACAGCACAGAAAGGCCATTTCCGAAGTTGTAGCTGAACGAAATTTATTGGAGGTGCACATTCTGTTCAGCTCAAGCATTGGAAGCTTCTGTTGAAAAGCTGAACAAGAGCTTTCAACTACATCTTAGACATAGCTAAGCCAGGCTCTCAGCAGGCCCCTGTGCTAAGACAATCCTTAAATCCTCACCGGTCCTCAATGGTTACACTCCCGCACTCAGCATACTCTTCCTAGAAAGCAGGGGCAGAGAGGAGGCAGGGCAGGACACGAGCACAGTAACCCGCCTACAAAGCAGTGCTGACAGTGGACGAGCAGACAAACGGGCTTGAATTTACATACTGATCTGCCCAGGATGAAGCAGGGGAACACTAGAAGCAAACCACATGGCTGCGCTGATGCGTACCTCGCACCTGCAGCATCAACATTACTTTCTGAAGGATACTGCAGAACAATGAGCACACCTTGGCAGGTGCGTTGCTGCCACGCGAGGGGATGCGGTGCACGCGGCGCGCAGTCTTTGGGGCAAACAGCGCCACGGTGACAATGTCGTTGTGAGCGTGGAAGCACTCGTACGACGCGCTCTTCTCCTGCGTGACAGCAACACAGTATTTGTCAGGGCCAGAGCACTCACAGGGCATGCTAGGCTGGGCAGTGGCAGATGCAGCTTTCTTGTTGAAGATCAACTGCCTTCGTTTGAACTGGCATGCCTAATCCACAGCAGGCATCCATTTGGGAAGGTAGGCATGCCAGCCACTGAGATCCATGCTTTTGAGGGAGGCATACTTGCAGGAGGCCCCTTCTGCATTATGAGAACCAGGCTGGACATAGCATCAAGCCACAGCCAGGGAACTCAGCCCGCAGCACTGCTTGAACAAACCCAATATCAGGCCCCAGACACGCATTCAAAGGAGAGTTGGTACCTGCAGCCGATGCCAGGTTCGGCTTGCCCCTCCAGCAACGGGCAGGCGCCACTGCCAGATCATGCATGGGATTTTATATTGAAATTTACTTTGTACTATTTCGACCAGTCATCGCCCCTCAACACCTAAGGTTTATACACCATTTCTCTATGCCCTATTCTCTAATCCATCAACCTTTGTCAATGTCACTAGGACACTCAGGATAATGCGCGGGTGAGTCACCTGCACGGCGGCCTTGTCCTCGTCAGCTCCGGTGGTCCACACGTAGACCCAGCCGTCGTCCGAGCCGCAGATCAGGAAGGCACCGTCCGAAGAGAAGGTTCCGCGGATCTGCGTGTTGCGGTTGTGGTGGCCCTTGTACTTGGTGCGCAGCGTGAACCCTGCGCGCCGGCACCAGGCAGCCTCAGGCACGCTGCTCCAGCCACAAATGGCCAACAGCGCATTTGGGGCACAGGAAGAGGCTGCATGTCTCACAAGTACGGCTGCAGATGATTTCTTCCAGGGGTCACGCTCACAGGGTGACTTCAGTCTGAAATTCAAGATGCGCTTGTGACCCAGGCATGCGCCAAGTTCAGTCCAATTGCTGTGCATACAACTGAGGATAATCAGAGGACTTTTGCCAACAGATCGCAGGCGGCAATGCTTGCAGTTTGCAGGACAGGAGGCTCACCGTCGTAGAGGCGGACGCGGGAGTCGTTGGAGGTGATGAGCAGCTGGGAGGGGTCCTTGGGCATGAACTGCATCCCCGTGATCTTGCGCCCGCGTGACGTGTTGCCGCGCCGATTCTTCACATCTGCGCAGCCCGGCCACCGCATGTCAGCTCTCGACTAAGCACTGATCCATAGAGTGCTGCATCGCCAACACAGCCCACAGCAAAACGCAGCTACAATGTGCCCCTTACTCCTGGCACCAGTTCACCAAACTGGCCAGCTTTTCCCAAGCCCACCATTCTCTTCAAGATCTAAACATGCGCAAATCGCGTGTGGGACAAGAGATGCAGAGGGCCAAGATGAAGGCCTGCAGCTACAGCGGGTCTTTCCCAGAGTGCCATCGGGCGATTTATATGACCAGGGGGTACTAAAGACCAATATAATGTAGTCCTTAGAACCCCCCTGATATGACACCTTTGTGGGTGAGGAAAACAGAGGGGGGCGCACCGATCTGGGCCTGGTACTCGAGCTTGAAGCTGGGCTCGCACTGGTAGAAGCGGCAGCGGCCCTTCATCGTGCCCACCACTGCGCGGCGCCCGTCCGGCGCGAACGCAGTCGCCGTGACCATCTCGTGCACGTCCGCCCAGTCCACCACCCGCTGCTCCGGAATGTTCCACACCCGCACCTGCGCACACAGGGGCCCGCCATGTCAGCACCCTTGCATGCGCATCATGAGTGCACACGATATAGGGTAGCAAAGATCAGTAACAGCACGTGTGCCAGCGTGCACGTCCATGTAGGAGAACGCTGGCACTGCCCATCTCCATCTCTGTAACATGTGCGATCATCCACATATATGCACACCACATTCTAAAAATGCCCCGCGTGCACACATGCACAAAGCGTGGTAACAAACGGCAATGAGTTATGGCAATGACACAAGTGTTCCAGACATGGTGCTGCCCATGTAGAAGGACATTTCAGCCACCAGATTTCCTATGAGGTCCAGAAAGGATACCTTGCCATCGATGGAGCCGCTGATGAAGTACTTGTCATCTACGGGGTGGAAGTCCAATGATGTGACAAAGTCCGTATGCCTGCGATGCATGACCAAACAATTACTGATCGTATTGCAAATTTACACTGGCCGACAAGAGGCATGACAGCGGCCCCTGCAAGCTGCTCCAGTGCTCTAAAAGTGCCCACAGTGACATGCAGAAAGGCCCTGTATGCACTCTCAGGAGAGCATCTTACTTGAAGACTCTGAGGCAGTCATCCATGCTAATGTGCCACAGCCGCACAGTCTTGTCCATGGAGGCCGTGAGCAGGAACTGTGACTTGGACCATGCCAGATCCAGCACGTCCGCTGTGTGGCCTGCAAAGGTCCTGTAGGGCGCCACGCGCAGCACTGGACAGTCCAGGTCCGGCGCGCTCGTGGATGCCCCATCATCCCCTGCAGTCGTCAGTGCACAACATGAGCTCGCACTCGCGCAGATTGAACACATGAAAATGCGTTGCAGCCGGGCCATTGATCAGACAACTAGAGCATCCAAGAGCTGCTTTCCTGACACAAAGCATGAAAGCACCCGTGTGTATGTGCAAAGATTGCGCAAAATGACCTAGCTCAGTCTGCGACTAATCCGAAGCAGGGTTGCATTGCTGATGGCTTGTGCCCATCGGTCAGTGGGATGTTTGGGAAGGGCTCTGACGAGGAAAGCAAGTGATGTGATGCAGGGTTGTGGTTGCGGACCTGAGTCCCCATTGGCTGCACCCCTGGGCCCCTCCTCTGCGTTTTCAGTCTCCCCTCGGTTGAGGCAGACCTCCCACACCCTCACTGCTGCGTCCTGGCCGGCACTGGCCAAGTATTTCCCATTCTTGCTGAACTTCATCGTCCATATCACGCCTGCACAACACACCAGGCCTTATGCCCCAAATCCACCGACCATGATGCACCTGACACTTTCCTTCCCATGCATGCACAGGAGCCCAGAGCAGCCCCTCCCAGACCCATGCATGCCTACAGAGACCAGCAGGGTTCTAGGGTGTCAGAGGTACATGAGCAGTCATGCTATCGGTGCAGAGCAGGGCCACAACTGTGGACTGCTCAGACTATTATTACTAGTATTAATATTATTACACTCTTTTCCTGCCAAAAGGCAAGGTACGTCCTGCAGACAAGACTGCCACAACCCTACCCCTTGTTGGACTCGCCAGACCCAATCAACCGTGGGCACAGAGCTCGATATTTGTACCGCCCCCCGCCAGCCGGGGCCATCATCAGATTAGGGACCCCCCAACACTATTGTGAAGAGGGCCGGTATAGTAATGCAGGCAGTAGCCGCACCGTTGTGCGCATTGAGCTCCTGGATGACGCAGAGGTGAGTCAGCTCCTTGACCAGCTTGGAGTGCGCCTGCACCTTCACCGGCTTGTCCGGGCCGCGCCCTGAGGGGGAGGCAGGGCCGCTGTCCATCCGGCTGAAGGATGACCCTGTATCCATCTGCATCGCCCACACACATGCCCCATAAGCCATTGGGCAGGTGAAGACAGGTGAAGGGGCGATTCCATTTGGACATGTCCCTTGTTGCACAGACGCCGACAGAATCTTCAAGCGTGCACACATGCTTTGCAGGCCGTGGGGTTCCTTCTGGGACACTTTATATGCCTGCTGCACTTTTCAGTGCACCCATAATTATGTTGACAAAGGTGTCATTGTGCTGGCCAGGCCAGTAGCGCATGTGCATGACCAGGCACATGACATGCATGAGCTTCAAACACTTGAGGGGAACAACGAAATGGTGGTCACGCACCGCGTGTGAGGGTGAGTTGGAGACAGTGCTGTCGTCAGATTCGATGCCGCTGCTGTTGCGCGGAGGACCAAGACGGCTCCTGCTGCCGCTGAAGAAACGCCGCTTGAGCCAGCCGGTGGCCGACTTCTTCTTGTCTCCCGCCGCGCTCCCATTCTCGCCCCTGCACAAATAGTGTCGGGAGGTTGATCTTGGGAGTCTTCCACTGCAGCCATCGTTGTACGACGCACAGAAAAATGTACACCTGCTCAGGCCGTGCGCTGAGGCTCACAGGGCTTGGACATCAATCGCAGGCTGGGCAACACCGCATTGGTAAGCTAGTAATGCACTCAAGAAGGTTTTGAAAGATTATCTAAAACAGAGCACCACAGGGTTTCACTGGTGAATCTGAGGTCCAATATATTAAGTGGACGTACGATCTGGCAGGCCCACTCCCCTCAGAGGAGCCAGACATTGATCTATTCATGCCATCTTCCCTGAACTTCTTGCGCGCTGCCTGCAGGAAGCACATTGAAGCTCTGATGCCACAGCACAATGCTTACTTCTGTCCTTGAGGCAAATAAAAGCATCGTTCTGTAAGCGCATCAGGACAGCCCTGAGCAGAATGGAGGATGATGCCATGACATCTGATGCCATGACATCTGGGAGGGACCCTTGACAAGACAAAGAGTGCAATGGTCACCTCGAGTGCTGTGTGCAGTCCCAGCGCGCGATCAAACTCCTCCATGCTCATCTCTCTGCCAGAAGAAACATCTGTCACCAGCTTGTTGGGGGCAGTCTTCGGTGAACCTGGCTCTGACGCTGCCTCCGAAGCTGTTGCAGGTTCTGCGTCCACCACGAAGAGCTGCCCAGTATTGAGGTCCCGGATGGTGTATTTCTGCAGGCAAAGTCATGAAAATCCTGGTATATTATTCTAAAATGTATGCTTTCGATGTCTGTGTCAACCTGATGGTCCCATTTCCGCTTTCCAGCTCAGAGCTTTGCAAGGGTTCACCAGGGACAGCAACATCCGTCGAAGCTCAAACAACACTATGTATGAATTATTCCATGATCATATTAGAGCCAAGAGAGCAAAAGCGCTGCCGCAGCGGCAGGTGCACAGAATCAATCGATCGTTCTCAACATCTTGAACCTTACCTTCAGTACATTGATGGCCCTGCCCGTGTCTAAATCCTTTACAACCACCGAGTCGTCTAAGCTGTCCCTCGCCAGCCTCTCTGTTTGGCTCGCGCTTCCCTCCTCTGTCTGCCCGCTTATTTCAGCACCTTCTGGCATGCCTCCTTCTTTGTCCCCTGAACGCCCGTTTTGCGGCTCTTGCAAGCTTTTGGGTGATGCCTGTGGGTCTTTCCTGATATCTTCCTCTCCAGATGTCAAGGGTGTGCCCATTTTTATGTTGCTTGCTAGCGTTCAGGCCGGCTAGGTGGTGATGCTTGACTGGGCAAATAGTTGTCACACCCACAGCGGCCACAGCTGAAATGTAATGTTCACGACCCAGGTTAATGAAAAAGCCTTCTTGTTCGTTCAGCAAGACTCTACATCAGCTTGGAGGAATAAAGTGTTCGATGTGCCTAGGACTTACATACTTGGGTCCTCCTCAAAAACCCAGAAACAGCTCGTGAGCGTCAAAATGCTGTCAGAAGCGCTATTACAGAGTACTTTTGCTTCCTTCAGACAGCACAGACTGTGTCTCTGCAGGAAAGTTTGATGTGACAGTGGCACGTGATGCTTGGGTGTTTCGCCAGCTCTAAGATATGTTTAAACGTCTCAAACACATGGCATTTGCCATTGGCGAAATAGAGCCAAGGCTGAAGACTTGAAACTGCTCAAATTCGAACTGAGGTCTCACAACACAACATCTCCAGCAACGCGCTACCCCACGACAGCAAAGAAGGAATCATGGCGCCCAAGGCAGAGAAGAAGCCTGCCAAGAAGGTCGCCAAGACCGCCAAGACCGGTGGCAAGAGAAAGAGCAAGGCCAAGGTCGAGTCCTTCAAGATCTACATCTACAAGGTCCTGAAGCAGGTAGGAAATACTTACTTACATGCATTGGCAGTCTCAATAGCAACAAGATATTCCATGTAGCGTCTCGACCTGCATAGCATGGGGTGGTCAGTCTTGCAAGTGACGAGCAGAATAAAGTAGTTGAGATGACTTTGACTGTAAACATGCGAAGAACGCGCCTGTTTTTCGGCGATATCATGTCCACATATAGTCTCCCAGCAGCTGAACGCAATTGTGAAGTCTGATGAGCAGTAGTGAATTCCACGATGATGGCCAAGGTCTTTCAATCTCACTTACTTGTCCAACCAGACGAGGAGACACATAGATGTGGGCTCGATCGGTCTTTCCTCCAGGAAGTCAATTTTTAGGGATGTGAGCAACTATAAACAAAACCCACGATGACCCGAACAACCTACAGGACTGAGCTGCACAATTAACTCAAGTATTGTCGTAATGTCGCAGGTGCACCCCGACACTGGTATCTCTTCCAGGGCCATCTCCATCCTCAACTCTTTCATCACCGACATTTTCGAGAAGATTGCCACTGAGACTGCCCAGCTGGCCCGCTACAACAAGAAGCCCACAGTGACCTCTCGCGAGATCCAGACCGCTGTGCGCCTCATCCTGCCCGGCGAGCTGGCCAAGCACGCTGTGTCTGAGGGCACCAAGGCTGTGACCAAGTTCACCTCCGCTTGAGGCAACTCACTGATGGTCCTGTGAATTTCTCACATGACAAATCTCACTTCTGACCTGCATGTAGTGGTCAAGAGTTCATAATGTAAGGGGCTAATGGATGATCTGATGGCAGGAGCGGTACAGTTTAGATGTCCTGATGATGCTTGCAGCACTTGTTGCCTTTTATTGCTGTGCAGCATGCTGCAGGTTTGCAAATGCTTGAATCACTGCGAGTGTGCTTGCTTCTCACACATGTGATTCGTTGACCACGTTGAGCACTTCATGGGCTGCATCTTACCCACACAATGTACAGGTGGACCTGCTAGGTAGGTCCTGGAGCTTGTACTGAAAGAGCAGGCATGAGATCATGGTACAGGCTTATCAGCTGCTGCGATTGGCTCGTGGCCATGCGTCAAGGGGCACAATGCAACCAAATGCAGTGCCAATTCCAGCAAATCTGATAAGATAGGCACCTTGCGCGCATACGGAGTTCATGGAGCAGCCTTTTGCATACTGGACCAGATTTGGCTGGCTGCAAAGTAGGTCAGGAGCAACTGCTGGCTGATTTGTCACAGCTATGGTAATGGGCAGGTGACGATCAACAGTTTCATCCTCGCATGAACATCCTTGAGCTCGCCAAACTCACGGCATGAGCTGCACGGCTAGATCTCTGTCCGTGCAAGTGGAATGTGGTACCGTACCGTACGGTACCATGTGACATCGGCTAGCCAGCTTACCACCGGCTGGCACGGTGCTGGTCGACTGGTTCCCGGGCCCGCCTTGCCCGGTGGCATGCCTCATGAATTGATCAACTCTGTCATGATTGATATGATCAATTTAATAAGCATATCATGATAATCAGCTGACTGCAGTGCAACTCATGAGTCATCCAAGTTGGTAAACCCGGTCCGTGATCACCCGGTTCATGAACTTCATTGATCACTCATGCCATGCAGTGCATGCCATTGTGCCACGCATGCATGTGCGGCGCAGCTGCCTGTAAGATACCGCTCATTTTGCAACAAGAGAGCTTTGGCTGTATGATAGAAAACATCACGCCTCCTCAAGCCAGCGCCTGGTGAGTCGAGGAAAGGTGGCTTGCAGGCTGCAAGCCTGTGCATATATACTAGTATCATACTGATGCCCCGGCTAGCCGGGAGCGCTGCAGACGGACCTGTGTATGCCCTATGGCCCTCTGGGCTCTGGGTTCGCCACTCACAAAGATTATTATTATTGCAGAAGTTATTATTATTACTTATTGCAGAAGTTGTGTCCACCTGGCAGAAATTCCTGGCTTCCTGGGGTGCTTCCGGGTGATTGCCCTCACGTACTTCTTAGTAAGCGCAAAGAAGAACAGAATGCATTAAGGACCCACGTTCGGGATGCCCAACGTACAACCTTGGCCTTTGTCGTAATGAAATGAGCAGCATCACAGGACCTTTGCTGCTGCCTCATTACGCAACAGGTCCCTTTGACTGGGCAAACACAGTGACGTCGAGCATGCGTAGTGGTGCCTTGCAGCTACTCTCCCAGCCGTTTACCGCTGTCAGCGAGTTCTTGCACCAAAACGAGGCACAATCAGATCCGGGTCACATGGGCTGCGTGCACCCAGGGCGTGCACACAACTCTGTGATCGACGACGAGGGATACGTCATAACAGAATGGAAAAGAGCAGGGGCCAGTGCTCAGACGAGACCACAGCATTTAGATAGTGCGCACATTGTCAATCACAATCCCGCAGGAGTGCCGTACACACAGCAGCGAGACGGTGCCCATATTCTGAGCAGTTGGACTGACCAAAATCTAGCAAGCTCCAGCTCTTCACCAGAAGAGGAGGTTGAACCGACGCCACTTTGTGATGGTAAGAATTGACCACAGATGCTATATGCTCCTCACGGACAGTACTAGTATTTTCAAAGTGCATGCCTTTTCCTACTATACCTTTGAAAGTCTTGTCCTTCGATGTTGCTCTCATCGAGGTGATGTTCTACCATTGAAACGCTATTTTGAGAATTATTATTAGCCCAATGGAGCTTACCCTTGGCCTAGGGGAATACTTGAGGTCTACTGTCATAAGGCCCTGCCTCGAGTGCTAAGGAGTGTTGGATCACAACCTGCAACGCATGGGAATGACTGAATAATGTTCTCGTGCAGGCGACTTCATGCCAGAGCTTGATGAGGAGTCAGCGCTGCTGTCAGACCAGGATGTGAGGGCCCTTGTGCTGGCGCTGCCCCTGAGACACCGCTGGCGACGATGGAACCTCTTGTACAGCACAGCACGAGACGGCATCAGCCTGCAGACCTTGTACAGGTCAGCTCCTGCTGACATCTCACACAAGCCGGCTGTCACCCTCTCGCAACATGACTTTGCTGCAGTGCTCCTCTCATGATTGCACCCATGTGCATCGTGTACAGGTTCCTATCATGTGTGTCTGAAGAGGTAGGGATGGCTTTGTGTATAGGCGATCCGAGGTGGGGCCGAGCATTCTGGTGGTGAGGGACCGCAATCAGCACGTGTTTGGCTGCTTCACAACTGAGAGCTGGCGAGTTGCGCCGCGGTACTACGGCACTGGGGAGTGCTTTGTCTTCCAGCTCCAGGTGATGATCACATTGCGCAATTGAGTCCACACTGGCATGCACGTTGCCGTCCTTGTACTGCTGTGCGCGGCCATCTTGCTGTGCCCCCCTGCCCATTTGTGTCTGCTGCCCATCAGTCTATTCAAAGAGCACTCTCAGTGATTTCCAGAACATCTCCATCGAGGTCGGTAAATGCTGTGCCTGTGTCTTGCTGTCTGAAAGGAGCATGGGAGGCCGCCACTATCGCGAAGTAAACAACACAGGGGAGTGCCTGCAGGAATCACAACCACAAGTGACAATGCAGACCACTAGACAATCACACACTCCATTAGTCATCAGAGCCCTGACGTACTGTGGGATTTCCGGTGCAGCCCAAGGCGGTGATGTGGCCGTGGCATCAGAAGCGGATGGCGGTGGCGCGCAACGATTTCTTCCAGTTTGGCCGGGGGGACTGCCTGGCGCTGGGGGGCGCGCCGCACTACGCGCTGTGCCTGAATGGGGATCTGGAGTTTGGCAGCAGCGGTGACAGCGACACTTTCGGCAGCCCCTGCCTGGCCAGCAGCGAGGAGTTTGAGATCGGGCGCCTGGAGCTCTGGGGCCTCGTGTGATCAGTAGTGGCTGTGTCTGCACCGGCCCAGAGCCTGTGCCCTGTATGTATGCATCATTTCTGTCCAAATTGCGTGGTGTTCTGGTTGCTCTGTAGGTGGGGGCAGCGGTGCTGCTGTTGCCTCGTGATCTGAAACAGTGAGTGGCGTGAATCTCAAGAACTCCACGAGGTTCAAAGAAGCCTCATAAGACACCTCAATGATTAAGACTGGAGCTCTGAGGGCTCTTGTGATCATTGCCATGCTGCTGTACCGGCTGGAACCGTGGGCTGTATCGGTCTTGTGTATATGAATTAAATTATCTATCTTCATGGCCTGGATGCACACGTGTAAGGTGCAGCAATGATTGCGTCTTGGGCTGCTCCAAAGCGTCTAAAGGCTTCAAGAAAGATGCTGAACATAGGGAACCCCAAGAAATCCCAAGAGGATGAGACAGAACTTGATATCCTGGTAGCCGAAATGCAAGGAGCTCGAGTGCACTGTTTAAGTACGTGGTGTTCATGTCTTGCAAGGCAGTAATCATTTCAACAACTTGCCTGGTAAGTCTTGCCAAGCTTGCCAACTTAAGTACAGGAGTTTGCCAATTTGCTGGTGCCAGCGAGATAGGTATATTGATGCATGTGTCGGTGATCATTCTGAAGTCATGTCACCCTTGATCCGATGAAGCAGGTCGTACATGCGAGCATTCGACATCTTCTGAAAGGGCCCTGGGCACGTCCAAGGACACTCTGCCAAGCATGCCAAACAAATCATGTAACCAAGTCGTGACAGTGTCTGCCACAATCATTGCAAAATTCTAATTCGAGGATCCAGACACATCCGGTCTGTTATACCTTCATGATTTCTGTGCATGTGATGTGATGAGTGTCGACACGTCTGAAGGCAAGCTCTGTTCTGATTTGCTTACAAGCTTGCAAACTGGTCCAACTGAAAACACAGCCAGTATCATCATCAAAGGGGACAGGGATTCCTTTACGGGTGCCGCGACTGACCCCACATCAAGCATCCCAGATTATGCCTACTTAGCCAGACTGCTTCTCATTTCAGAATCCTCATCCATTGCTTCCTTCCGGCATCCGCGCTGGGCTCATTGCATCGGTGGCATTCCCCCCGCCGTCTGAGGGAACAGCTTGGCCATCTTCTCAAACACCTGCACTTCGTACGCGAGATTTTGCTTTTCAGGCCATTACAATTGATAGCGAGCAGTGAGGTCAACGAATCGCAAGATGTGAATGTCAGCAATTATCTCCCCAGCTTCCAACATCACAAATGTGAAAACTGACAAGAAACAATGACTCTGTAATAAGATACTGCTTGCAGCCAACGCACAACCAAACCTATCGACAAACTGGTTGCATGCTCGCAATTTTCCTTGTGTCTTCACTTGTGCCCCAGCGTCCGCTCCAGATCAAAGAGACAGACTCCTAGAACAAGGGGAAGTGGCAGTGGCAGGGTGGGCGCACCAGCATGACGTCTGGGTCGTCCTGGTAGTTCATAATGGCGAGGGGGTTGGACTGGGACTCCATGATGGCCTGCATGACCTTGGGCTTCTGAAAGGCGGCTGCCAGTTCTGGCTCGGCCATGATCTTGTTGATGACCTCGCTGGGGCTCAGGCCCAGCGTCTCCAGCTGCTTGTTCATCTCGCTGCTGTCCATGTCCTTCATCATGCTCATCATGTTCGGGTCCAGGTTCATGCCCTGCAAGCATTCGCGATACAGACAGAACCCGTCAGAACAGCACCAGGAAATGCAGCTAGCTTCAACAAATGAACAGTCTCGCCTTGGTCCCATGACCAACGAAATACAGTGAGACACTCAGCCAGTTACAAGTCCTGTTGAAGTAAGCCAAAAAAATTTGGCTATTCTCAAGGATGAACACTCCCACCCCAACAACTCCGGCATGACCAACTGCTTCCCGCCAGAAAAGGCTCAGCATGTCGGCCAATCAGCAGTCCTGCATGCAGCCCGTCTGCTGACTGTGGCACCACAACGAGCATGCAGATGACTGCCGCACTGTTAAGTGCAGTATCGCCGCAATGAAATTCAAATTCATATTTCCTATCAAAGCTCAAATTTCGATTGTTCGTCACCTGCTGCTCCATCATGGCCTCGAGCTGCTTGCGGTACTCGGGGTTCTGCAGCATCCACTCAAAGGTCTGCGGGTTGCGCATGGGCTCCGGCAGGTACTTGTACAGCAGCTGCTGCATGTTGGGGTCCTTGAAGAATTGGTCCAGCAGGTCCACTGTGAACTTGCTGCCCCCGCCCTCCGAGCTCGCCCCCGCCTGGGACCCCTCACCCACCACCTGCCAGTTGTGCAGTGTATGTGTCATGTGTGATGCATGGGATCAATGTTGAGGCCAGCAAGAAATACCCAAACTGTCTCCTGACAAATGGAAGCAGGTGCACAGATTAGATTTTTGATCTTAGCAGCTGCATAAGTGGTATTGCCCAGAAGCTTATACATGCGGCGATGCAGACTGGGAGGACTTTGTTTTATGAGGAATTTCCTCGGCATGCCAGTCATAACTCACCTCTGCTTGCCTGACGTCGCCGGCTACGGCGTTGGCACCATTGGATTCGCTCGTGCTCGCCTCCTCCTCATCCTCATCCTGCAACAACCATGCTTGTCTCAGCTTCCATGAGACACCCGCAAGCAGTTGCTCCACTTGAGCTCCACCACCGCTTGCTCTGTCCTCCACTCATGTTCCCATGTACACAGCACACCCCGGCCGACCAACAGAGCAATGCCTGGGCGCGCCACAAGTACTGTTAGGTCAGTCCATGCTCCCGAAGTCTTCGAGAAAGGGGCGCACCACGTCTTTGAAGGCAGCGCGTTTGGGTTTGTCGGCGCGCCGTCTGCCAGAGCTCTGCGCCTTCAGTTCCTCGAAGCGCGCGCCCCTCGGCGGCTCCGCGCTGGAACCCGTGGCCGCCTCGCCTGCCGCCGCCCTGTCTGCTGCCGCCGCCGGCTGACGGTCTGCATGGACCAGCCCAGATGCAAAGACCAGCAAATTGGGTTGTATTCTACTGAGTGTACTTTGTTTTAAGCAATTGAGTCAGGCTGTCATCATTTGCACGACCCAGAAAACTTCCATTTCCTGCTATGTGAGATGCAAGACCCCTGCCAAGTCCAACCTTCCTTGAGCAGCTGGCAATCGCTGCAGACCCAATGCCTGCTGTCTGCTATGAGGGAAGTGTCTATGCTTGCTGCTGGCTGCACTGGCTGCCATCTGAGGAGGTAAGCAGGATGCTTGCTGCTGGCATACAACGCACAGTAGTGCATGAGGAAAGGTACAGAGCATGAGGAAGGTGGAGGGCTGGTGAGTCTCACCCACTGCCTTGGCGGTGGTGTCAAATGTCTGGCCGCTTGCAGGGCCGCTGCTGCCAAAGCCAGGCGGCATGGGTGGGAAGCCAAAGCCGGGAGCACCACCGCCGTTCATGTTTGGGAAGGGCGGCGGAGCCCCCGGTGCACCACCACCCTTCCCCCCCTGGTTCATGGCCTGCTCCATTGCCTGCAGAAATTAGCACAAGCTACAAGTGCTCACCAATGGTAGACATTGTTGTCCTTAAGAGCGCAAATGAAGAATGGAGGATAAACAGCAGCAGTGAAAGTTCAGTAGATCACCGTAGGGCAAGGAAAGCAAAAGAGACAGCCAGTGGGGGCCCACAGATTAGTCTGGACAGTGGCGATTGTTGCAATACTGGACAAATCTATGCTTGAAAAGGGGTGCAGCGCTCACCCAGCTCATCATGCGGGCCTGCGCGGCCTGGGGGTTCTGCATGAAGCTGGTGACTTTGGTGTAGATCGTGGCGAGCACGGCGCCGATGGCGATCCAGATGAATGGACCAAACCAGCTGCCGCCAGATCTGGCCTCCTGCTGGGGCGCCGGGTAGGGCGGATAGGAGGGGTAGCCCTGGTAGTACTGCTGCTGTGGGTACATGGGTGGAGGCCCCGGGTAGCCAGGCTGCTGTGTTTGCATGCATCTAATGTCAGATTCCCCCCTCATTGATGCTATCTCATTAGTGGCCTTAGCTTGATGCTGATCTAAGCCTGTCCAAAGGTAAGAGATCTCTGGAATCAAAAGCTTGCGTGTCCTCACCTCATCTCCAGTCTGAACCTCGGGCATGGAGGTGCTCTGATCGGCTGTGTACTGCTGCTCCTCGAAGCGGTACCCACGGTCATCTTTGCCTGGCAACCCAAGACTCCAGCTTAATTTACGATTAAAGCAGCGACGGTCGAGCGCTACTAAGAGACATCTCAAAGAACATTGACGTCACAATGAAATCTTGCTTGTCCACAAGTTGGCCTGTGAATGGATATTTAATATGTCCGTTCACTGCCATCGTACATCATTCCGTACTATGCTGTCCACTTGAAACGCAAATCCCCCAGTCAAATCGAACTGTTCACTGGGGTGCTCACCTTTAGCTGCCCTCAACGAAACCTGTGACCTCCTCAAGGATGGTGCATGTTTCTGTGTACAAGCTGTCCTCCGATGCAGCCGTGTGGGGCATCTCACTATGCATATGTTAGTCTGAGCTTTTCCAAGGATCATCATAGTTGGATTTTATCCACAATCAAGTGCCGCGCTTTACAGAAAGTGAAGCCCCCAGCGGCTGATGGAGGACAGCTCAGGCTGAGATAGAGTTCCCGTAGAATTCCGCAGATTTACGGTTTCTGGTACTTAGAAATTCCCTAGGGACAGCTAACCAGTGTTTTTTTAGTGGCGGTATACCGTCAATGTGTCGGAATTAAAATAATTCGGGCCAAAAATGGGGCGGAAGGAAATGTTTGGGGCGGGCGAAGCCCGCCACAAATGGCGGACGAAAAAAAATTGCACCGACTCCAAACCGCCAATTTCGCCCGATATTCGGGTTTTAGAGCGATTAAACCAGGGAAAACCTGTTTTCGCCAGGGTTTTTACCCGGCGGAATGGCGGACAACGATAAATTCGGCCTTGCTAAACCGCCTCGTGGCGGAATTTAAAACTACCCTAGGAAAAACATCTGCCGCAGATCAGGCTAGTTAGCTGTAGCCTGATCTGGCCTTCCTTTCTTTACCCCAACACATATCACTTTCTTGGATCGGCAAGGAGGTGATCGAATAGACAGGGAACAGCAAATTACTTTCCCAACGGGGCTTTCAATGTGGGTTGGTTGAATTGGGTTGATTCTTTAAACTGATCAGGAAAGAGAATCTTTGAGATCTTGGGGTGTGGCTCTCAGGAAGCTGAGCTCCTGATAACTGCTGCTCCACTTCCAGACACAGGACCACCTGGAAGCTCCTAAGTCAAGCCCAACCCCTAGCATGCTTCCTGCCATGAAGTTGATTAGAACAGACGCAAGCCGTAGGCCGGCTGGCCAGCTGTGCTGTGTTTAACCTTCTGAGACAAGAGATCAAACTGTTAGGTTGTTTTCCACTTGCAAGCCCTCTGATGCCGCTGTCCAATGCGACTGTCAACATACTCCGCGGTATTGCGATCTAGATCTGCCATTTTGTGCACATGCATCCGGTCTGAAGGGCATTCCCCAACTAGCCGATAGTCCCAACGCTTGGGCTGCTGGCGCTCGGTGTCTGCGCGTATGACGGCCCCTGCGTGGGCCCCTGCGGTGGTGGCGGTGGCGGAGGGGGAATTGCCGGTGGCGGCGGTGGGGGGACTGCGGGGGGCGGCGACGGCGGCGGCGAGGGTGGGGGAGATGTGTAGGGCGGCGGCGGCGCCAATCGCGGTCCTTCTGCCTGCATGCCATGCCGGGAACCAGAAATGGGACACTTTTCTGGATCGGATCAGGTTTTGGGATTCCAGGAACTCATATCAGATCAAACTCAGAAACTCATGGATCGCTTAGATGTTCAGCTGCATTTCCAGCAACTTCAGCTGGCGGCTGCAGACTTTCTTCTATCAGGCACGCTCCCCAGTCCGGATAGGGACGGTGCATCTGCAGATCAGCGGAATTTTACCCGCCACATGCCGTGCCCTTTATCGCACATGCGAAATTTGAAGATTCTATTGAAAATCATTGTCGCAGCACTGGTCACCCAGCAAGCTGCATGTGCATGCTTGCGTCCGATACTGTGTCGACTGGGATTTGCTCCTGGCTGGGTCACGCGCATTTATCTGCAGCATGGGCTCAACTCACCGGTGGTGGCGGCACAGAAGGAGGGGAAGGCGGCGGCGGGGGAGGAGGGCTGCTGGGCGGCTGCTGTGAGCTGCGAGCAGGTGCTGGATGGGGTGAGGCAGGGGTGGACTCCTGGGGTAGCCCTGTTGTCACACCGCCGGATTGTTACACATACAAATTTCGACGGGCTTGGCTCATGAAAGGCTCAGCTACGATACAGACCAGGGAGCTTATAGCTCTCCAGGCATCAACTTCAGCCGGGGTGCTAGATTCTGCATATGTACTTATCAGGCCTAAGGCTTCGGATAACCTCTTGAAGGGGGCAACCTAATACATGATGTGCAAAAGAGGGATGCTTGAAGACATCCTACATACACTAAAAGGTGGCATCTGTGACACCTGTGGTGAGGTTGAAGGCCGGGGCCGACAGCACAGGAGGCGCAGCCGACGGCGTAGGGGTGAATTCTGGCAGTGGCGGCCGCGCGGGCAGCGCCGGCACCGGGCCGCTGACTGCGGAAAGGGGCGGGCTGGGGGATTGGACAACCTGCTGCACAAGATCCCTTTCATATTTTGGAAAGCCCCATACAGTGCATGATGCGCCAAAAACTTGCCTGATCGTATGTACTGCGATGCCCTTTCCAGCGCTCGCAACAGAGCGTCCAGCCAACCTGCCATAGTGTGGACTACACGGACATGACATGGCAGGATTCTGGGGATTTTGTGGATCTTGAGTCTCCCGTCTGTCTGTCTGGGGGAACGCGCCTCATATGCCGGTGGCAGCTGAGAGACTAAGGACACCAGAGGGGCGGCGCCCGCATCCTGAGAGCCCGCGCCAGTCAAGTTCCCCTGGTGTGCTGCAGCCATGGCAAAGACTTGTGATCAGTAGCTGCGGCTCCCACAATGTGCAATGCTCCCTTCTGCAATTGCACAGAGCTGATGTACACACAAATACTATAGGTAAGGATCCTTCAGAAAAATGACAGGTGACTGTTAAGACATTTCAAGAAGCCGAAGCTCAGTGTCTCACCTTGGGAGGGAGGGGAAGGCAGCTTGGGTGAAGGCGGCAGCGGAGGACTGGGCAAGGGAGGTGGAGATGGCGATCTCCCTGCAACAGAGAGACAACTGTAAGATAGAGCTCTCAAACTGCCTCAGTGAGAGTTGCAGTACAGTCCATAGAGAATTTATCCATCCCCTGGGGTGAGAAAGTAGCTGACATTTTCTAAATAATTTATGGGAACCCAGATTGAGCACCTGCAGGTGGTGATGGTGGCGGGGCTGGGGGCAATCCCACATTAAGTGTACCAGCTCCAGCTGATATGTCTCCAGCTCCTACCTGCCCCTGCACTCGTGCACAGGCGAGCACTAGAGCTGCCACGATACACCACACCATCCTGCTCGATGGGTAGCTTCGAGCGACAGTGAGAGATGGTCTCGATCTGGCCCTCATCGGACAAGGCACCCGTCAGCAGTGTGATCCTTGGACGACAGAAACAAGGTCATGGCGACGGGATGAAGTTCCGTAGGACTGTGGACAACATTCAGGGTGGGATAGATATCATCGAGAAAGGCATCGACGGAGAATTGCGATCACAATCGGTGCATCAGATTCAGGGTGGTCAGAAATCCTGCACCCGTCGGTTGCCTGATCAAGTCCATGTCACCACCCATAATTGCATGCTTTCCATAAGTCAACAACAATTTCGAAATTCAAGAGTTACATCCCTACAGATATTATACAGTGTCAAACATATGTACTTTGTAACCTACAGAGCTGTGCTCGATTCAGAGTGCACCAATGCTTTGATGCATGCACCAGCCCCGGAGGAATATGACACGTTCTGTAACTAGTTCAGACTACGGCTGTTTATTGATCATTGGGGTGCGTTCAGTGTTAACTGATTTTCCATGCATGATCAAGCATGCATTGTGACAGCCGCAAGCACCCAGTTGATCAAGGGCTGTAGAGCTTGCTCCAGCCCGGCACTGACATTAGGCCGTGCTCCGCAGTCGCATACTCCTTCCGCAGCTGCGTGCGCTGCTCGGCGCTCATTGCCGTGAGCTTTCGCGCCATGGCTGCCACATCAGCGCCCTTCCAGGCTGCCAGAGACTCCAGCTCCGACATGATCCTGCTCACCTCTGCCCCGTTGGCAGTTGGTGAGTCACCTGCATTTTAGCGCACGGACCAGTCAGCATCCATGTTGTCAGGAGCTGTACAACCGAGAACTTAGTCAATGTCAGAGCACTTTTGTAGCTGGAAGAGTGTTTGCACAATGCTTGACAGATGATCTGCAAAGCTCAGAGATTGAGACACTTGTCAGATGCAGCATTTGACAGGATTATCCCACCTCCGTATTTCTGCAACCGCTTGTTGGCCTGAGCAGCAGTCAATCCGCTGGGGCCGGGGGAACCGCCGAGCGCGGCAGTGGTGAAGGCGGCCGGCTCTGGAGGCTCCTCTTCCAGCTCTTTGGCGTGCTTCAGCTCTGCGCTGCGCGCCAAAAGCCGGTCCCTCTTGGTGCCCCCGAGCAGCCGGTCATGCGCGTGAATCCCCATCGCACCCATCTTCTGTTGGCCGGCCCACAGCACACAAAATCTTGATCTTTGCTACTTTTTGCCCCACAGCACACAAAATTTTCATATTTGGTCTTTGCCTCAAGGAGGAAGCTTCCTTCCATGCGTTATGTTGATGCCAGTACTACACAAGAGCAGCCAGCTGACAGCAAGATTATACCTCAACAGGAGGACACGCTCCAGCAGATCTGGACTCTATGTGCCAAGGACACTCAGCCAAAGGAGTCACCTTGGTGATTGATTTCTGTCAAAGCATTTCTTTCAGGCATTTGACACGCTTCGCAAGGCATCCTGGCAAATAGATAAAGGGGTGATGACTTGCCTGGAGCACAAGAATGCAAGGGTGGACGTGAAAGTGAGCCAGGTGTCAGTGCGACTGGAAGAGCACAAAGGCTATGGATTATTAGGATTCAAGAGCATGTCAAGGGAGCGCACATTCAGCTGGTCCAGCTCGCAGTCTTCCACAGGCAGAGGAGCAGCGGAGCCACCCTCCTCTTCCTGCAGCCCCAGGGCCTCGGCTTGTATGCGCTGCGCCAGCTGCTGCAGTCCTGCGTCCTCCACCTTGATCTCATCCACAACCTCTGCTGCTGCCTCGTCCGGCGCTCCCCGGACACCCGCATTCTCCCCAGCACCTTCAAGGGAGATACAGGTGTTACCTCATCCAGTCCACTCCGGGCCGGTCTGTATTTTTTAACAGCATTTCAAGGAAAGTAAGGAAGGTGGAAGCACTCTCTCATCTCCGTGCTACAGGCCATTGCTCTGCCGTGCTGCTGGCTTTCCACTTGAAATATGGTCCACACGGAGATTCTCATACACACGTGTATCAGCCCAGACATATCCGATCAAACCTGCAGTGGACAATTGCTGCATGCAGTAGTAATTTCCAGCCAGTCCGCCAAATGCGTTTCAGAGATACCCGCGACAAAGCAGTCATGCCAGTCATGCCTACCAGCATTGCTGTATGGCCTTCCAAGTCCCCTCTCAGCCAATAGCCAGCAAATTATGGCGGTTGCATGCACACACACTCTGCATGCATGAAGGAGAGAGGGGCGTTACCCATGTCTGCCGGGTCGCACTGCTGGATGCGGTAGCGTGTGGGCTGCCGCTCCTGGTCAAAAATGTCATGCGCGTTGACTTTGTCGGCCGTCTCCCTGAACAGGTTGGTGATGCCAAACAGCTCCCCCTTGTTCCCCTTATCGCCCTGAACACCTGTGCACAAGTGCCCCACCTCAACAGTCAGTTCATTGCAGATCGTCTTGATCATCGCTTCCATCCAAACTAGGGCTGATCTGATGCTCAATTCTCACCCCGAGAGGCAGCAAACAGCTGACCAAACACTTGAAACAGAATCGTTTGCACGAACAAGATCATCTATGCCATGCATTGAGATCTTGAGATGACAAAAGAGCTGCTCCGGATGCCGTTAGCTGTTGCAGAATGGCCTCAGTGGACTAGTGCCTGCCAGAGCGAGGGCAGTGCAATACAGGTCTATGAAATGGCAGCTTGAGGAGAGGCAGGAATGCATGCCAGAGGGGATGGTTCACCGTAGAAGTAGCGCGTCTCCTTGCTGCCCTCAGTGGCCACAGCGGACTGCTGCTGCTTGTACACCTGGCGCGTATAAATCATCTCCTCCAGCGTGCCTGCAACAAAGCCATGATTTCATCACCATTTCTTTGGGAGGCATGACTGGGAGGACCAAGTCCTTGCAAGTGGTTACAGGGGTTCAGGGTACTTGGGTTCAACGTATTGCAGGTTCAGGGGTGAGTAAAGAAAGAGGACGCCTGCTCCTTGGCGTTCTTTCAAGTTGCCACATGACACTGGGGTGGGAAATTGCATGCAATCGCAGGACCCCTCAGGTGCCAACTTGACCTGCTACAGATGAGACTACATGATAGGAAAGGCGGAAATGCAAAGACAGGCCTGGCTGGGGCATAGAAGCACTCAGATTACTGGGTATGAAAATGCATGCCTGCAGCGATGAGGCGATAGACTGCGACGTCGCGGCGCTGGCCGATCCGGAAGGCCCGGTCCTGCGCCTGCAGATCGTGGCTGGGATTCCACGACGGGTCGATGATCACCACCCTGCATGCGACAGCAGCCAGCTCAATGAGCGTCATAGACAGCGGAACACTAACTTAGACCTCCCTTCTGCCCGCATGCAGTCATTGCAATGTTACTGACAGCAGCAGGATCCTGGCGTACAGCGTGAGGTCTTGCAGTGCCCCTTATAATTTCTTCTCACATAATGCAAGGTTCCTGTTGCTGCCAGCATCACTTTCCTGATACCCTCAAGCTGCACCATGCAGGATGTCTCACACTTTGGCAGGAACAGAAACATCGGTACATTGCACGGTACACTATTCCATGGTCTTTTTCAGAGCATGTCCAGGAATCCCAGTAACTTAGACAAATCATTGGAATTCGAGCTCACTTGTTGGCGGCGGTGAGGTTGAGGCCCAGGCCGCCGGCGGTGGTGGAGATGAGGAAGAGGAACACTGAGGGGGACTGGTTGAACCCGTCGCAGAGGGCCTGCCGCTCCTCGCGTTTGGTGGAGCCGTCCAGGCGCGCGTAGTTGTAGCCGGCCCTCACCAGCAGCTGCTCTATAATATTTAACATTTTCACGCTGTGCGAAAAAAGCAGCACCTGCGCGCATGCTGCCCCATCACCTCTAGTGGTGCGTTGCCATGCTTTGCGCCATTCATCCGTGGTCTTCAAGATGTGTACTGTGAGGGTTTGATAAGGTAACAAAGCGCATCTCTGTAGCATTGCATGGCTGCAATTCGCTGCGATTCATGGCATTATTTGATCGTGTATGCAGGCTCGCAAATGCACAATGCCTCATTTCTCCTCCTATGCAGTCCATACTGGTGTCTTCAACATTCACCAGCCGGCATTGCCATACCAAGGGGACCAGCGCCTGTTTCACGAGAGAAAAGTGCAAATGAGAGGGCTTTCCCCCGTGGCCGGAATTCACCAAGGGTGTCTGAATCCAAGCTTATCATGAAATTAAATAATAGAGACATATAGGGCCGGGGCAGCACCTTGTTGTTGCCGGCGGAGGACCAGAGCTGCAGCAGCTGCTCGAGGGCGGCCATCTTGCCGCAGTGCGCGCTGCTGGACACATGCAGCCAATTCCGGTCCAGGGTGTCCCCCCCGGCCGCCTCCAGGTCCTCTCCAAACACCATCTGCGCCAGCTCCCTCGCGCGCGGCAGCGCCCACTCGTCCTCTGTCACCGCCCTGTCCGCTGGGTCCACTGCGCGGCCACAATAGCAGTTCATCTTTTATATTTAAAGTACATTGGGGGAGACTGCAAACTGCAGCGCCCAATCGTCCTCAGTCACCGCCCTGTCCGCCGGAAGGCAGAATGACGTTTTAGTGACTCCTGTATTTGTTCTGGCCAGGCTACAACTGCCGGATCAACTGCGCGGCCCAAGGCAGAAAGACTTTTTAGTGACTCCTGTATTTTGTTTGGCCAGGCAACAACCTCGCTTTCGTCCTTCAGAAATAATCCCAGAGGGGCCTATCATTCAGATCGATTGACGTCAAGCTGCCGAATGAACATCATGAGTCGGAAGTGGAGCGTACTCTTGCAAACACAGTGAATGCACACCACAAAGACACGGGCACTGAGCGACAGACTGCAGTGAGTGTGCAGATGGAGGTGGTGAAGGATAGTGAGTCTAGACACAACATGCTGTGGATTTGGTATAAGATTATTACAAGCAGTAGATGTTACCCTTGATGAGTTCCAGGTGGTTGGCGATCTTCTGCAGGATGGTGAGGCAGGGCAGCACCAGGCAGTAAGGGCAGCGCAGCCGTCCATACTCACACCCATTCGGCCTGTGCCGCTTGCAGCCCTGCATGGCAGGCATGGCCAGGAACGCTGTCAAATCACACCTTCGGTGCAGCCACAATTCAGTCCCTCCCAAGCACACATTCAGCCCTACTCACCAAATGGACGAGTGCAAGCTTAAGAGTGCAAATGGAGTCTCCTGAGCAAGTCACTAGAGAGAGCTGCCAAGCCAAGATTGCTTTCATCAGTGGAGACTTAGTTTCACGAATGGAGGCAGTGTCGATGTTGATACACTTCACTGGGTAATTTGCTCACTGACTGGCCGGTTCACAGCTTCCTCAAAAAGAATGACTCACCTTTGGATTGTCAAATTCGTCATAGATGTTGTCGCAGGTGCAGAGGTGGAAGTGGGGCCACAGCACGCCACCCTGGTCAGGGCAGGCTTCGGTGTAGCAGCACTTGGCGCGCATCTCACCACTGGCGCAGTCGCATGTCTCCTCTGCTCGCACCAGCAGCTGGAAGTCTGGGGTGTTCAGCACCCGCCTGCATGCAACACATTCCTCACTCTATCACCTAATTAAAACAGCTTTAAGTTCATCTCTCGACAGAGATGGCTTGTTGGCAACGTGCCGCGACCCCTCACAAAATGAGGGATAGTCCTGCATCACAGCAAATGGCTCACTTCTCCTTTTACGACGGAAATGGTCAAACAGAAGTGGGTGTGTGGCAAGGTGCTGCGACTGTTTACTTTGGGGGATTACCCTGCACCACAGAAGATATGCGAGATGCAGCATGCGCTTGCTTCAGGCAGCATCAAGATCCCTTCAGAGGCATAGCCTGCATCTGCACCTCTTTCCAAGTGCAAATGCTGCCAGAATTTGCCATGGCAGCACCAGCAGATAAGACTGAAAGGAGGAGGGCATGACTGGGAGCTTGCCTGTAGGCGCGCATCTGCAGGGGTGCAAGCTTGCAGAAGACGATGTTGTCGGTCTTCTTGGGCAGCTGGTCCTTGATGGTGGACTCCTTTGTGCGGCGCAGCAAGAAGCACTTCAGCAGCTTGTCCAGCTGTACCTGCCTCTTCTGAGCCTGCTCCGCACAAACAGCTTTCTGACATGACATGCAGCACTTGAGCGGGACTGAAAGCACGGCATGCCTGCCTCTTCTGAGCCTGCTTGTGCATGCACAGGATTGCAAGATGACATGCAAAACTTCAGCAGGATTGATATCACAGCATGCCTCATCATCTGAGCCTGCTCGTGCACAAATTGACAGGCCAGGTAAGAACCACTGCAATGAGAAGCAGCACCGCTAGTGCAGATGTGAAGACACTGCAAGAAAGAAGTGGGCATGTGCAAAGCCCACCTTGGCCAGCTGCAGATCAGTGCAGTCACGTTTCTGGCCCTGTTTCATGGGATTGACATAGTGCTCCAGGAACTGATCCCACGCTCCCATCTTTAACGGATTTGCCCAGTGCAGCAGGGACCACAGCTCTTGATAGTCATTCTGCGCAGTATGCATGTCACATCAAGACTAGGCTGGTACGCGCATGGATCTTGTATTAAATTCATTACATTCCTGAATTTCATGGATCCGTGAGGCTGCTCTCGCTTTGCATCCTCAGCACAGAGTTTGGACATCTCGATTTGGACTTGGGCTACAACCCACTGGACCCCCACAGCATCGGGCTCTGTAGTAATGGGCGTACAACACTTGCACAGAATCAGAGTCCACTGATGCAGAAATGCATGATGGCGTGGATAAGGCAATCCAACAAGTAAGTTGAGATTTTACCTGCATGGCAGTGCCTGTCAGCCCGTAACGACGCTTTGTGCGCAAGGAAGTGGCTGCCCCATAGGTGCTGATATTGTCGTTCTTTGTGCTCACCCTCTTGTTTTTGAGTTTGTGAGCCTCGTCAAATATGGCAACATGCCAGTCAATCTCCTGCAGTCGGTCGATGTTGATCCTGAACAGCACATATTTGATATCAGCGTGACTTGATGAATCCCCAACAGCTTTGAAACAAAGCAATGTGCATTCCTGCGCGATTCTGTACCTGAATGTGTCATAAGTTGTGAGCATGATTTCTGCCGTCCCATGCAGGATGCTTTGAACAGCTGCTGCCCTGCTTTCAGCAGATCCATGATAGATGCCCACACGGAAGGCACCCCACGTGGAGAACTCTCGTTGCCAGTTTGTCAGCACAGAACTGGGAGCCACAATAAGGATCAGCTTCTGCCTGCATGCAGACAATCAGTTCTTTCAGCATGATACTATATGGAAGCATTGCTGACGGCTTACATGCGCGTAGCCATTCAGACTTGACATGATCAAGTACACATCAAATGGAGGAGGGACTGATGTGAAGGATGACCTGGAATTGGCATCAGCAGGGGCAGGCTGCAGGTCAGCACTTGTGCCGGTCTTGCCGAGAATTGCAGCAACAAAGCCGATGGTCTGCACCGTCTGCAGCAATACCAAACAGCAGATAAAATTGGGGAGCCTTTAACTGCATGTGGCCCTTTCTCCAGTGTACAGGAAAGGAAGACAGATTTTTGCAACATGTCATTGGAAAGAAACGAGCTGTTGATCAATTGACTGTGCTCTGCGTGGTGTCATGCAGATCAGAACCAACCTTGCCAAGGCCCATGTCATCTGCCAGAATGGCACCCTGCTTGAGAGCATACTGCCGGAAAAGGAATTGGATACCCTCTCGCTGGTACTCGCGCAAATACCGGTTTATGCTGCCTGGCACTTTGAGCCTCAAGGAATCCCCTGCAGGCAGACTCTGTAAAGCCTTTTGCTGTGAAGCATTTCACGAGCTGATACTGTTGTTTCTCCTGACAGCACAAGAGAGTAGTTAAACAAATGAAAGGAAGACAAGCAAAGAAAGAAGGACGAGCAAAGACAGGAAGAGAGTGTCGGCATACCGTCATTTGAAGGCGAAAGCAACACCAGAGGCTCATTGGGACCATCAGTGGGAGCATTGGCAAAGTTTGGGGCTGCCTGCGCCTGCACTGAGGCAAGCGCCTCCTCATCACCTGGACAGCAATAAAATTGATACACTAATCATAAGAGACTACCGGAATGCTAGTCAACTAAGATTTTTTCTGACCAGCACCACAAGAAGCCTGACCTTGCGCCTCCCTCAGAGCAGCCTTCCTCCCTCGCTTCTTGGCAGGCGAAGTAGCTGTCTTCCTGTCCTTCCCTGCTGCTCGGTCCCTTTTCCTTCCTGCCGCAGCCTCCTTAGCCTTTGAGTCCCAATCGAACAGATCATCTTCGTCAGATCCTTCAGGTGCCTCACCCCTGCACAGCAAGAACACGTCAAATTTCTCTTCAGCCTGCAGAAGAAGGCAGCATTCTTGGGGCAAGAATTGCAGCGCTTCTTGGCCAGAGAGATCAGCTAACCTGTCAGCCACTGAAGCATGCAGTGCCTCGTGACGGTAGAGGGGATCTTTAGGAGCAGATGCCATGGCAGCAGGCTCCTCATCCTTCAGAGGGCGTTCAGGCTCTGGCTTTCGATTGATCTTCAGAGCCCGCCACTTCCGATCCCATCCCTTTGTACCTGGCAGGCCGCTCCCACCCTGCAAAAGGAGCATCATGTATTTGCTCATCTGTTATCTTGTTGCAGGATGGTGCAAATCAGCTAGAAATCTTGCAGCGGACCTGTATGCTAATGTCACGAGCGCTGCCTGCTCCAAGCTCCTCTGCCTGTGTGTCAGAGCCTGGGCGCGCATCAGGGGTGGACAACTGCGAGACAGCTGGTGCTCCTAGGTCCTGTGCTGGCTGACTCAAATTCTGTGCAGCAGCCTTGATGTCATCGCTTGCTCTCCGTGCTGATAGGCTCGGCGCCTCACTTGCGCTGGTCGATTTGAGCTGAGCGAAGAAAGCTCTCATGCTGCTTTATGCCCTGTACTTGTTCTCCTCAGTCTGCAACAAAGTACTGCGGGTGCCATTTCAGTAATGTCCACTCCCTCTCAGAAGGGATCTCTGTGTCTTGGTCCCTGCACAGGTCGAGAAGAAATCTCGCCTCGGGAAGGCTTACAGCATTGCAGAATCGCTCCTTCGATATATCGGTTGCTCATTTATGAACATAGGACATGCATAGGACTGCCCAGCGTGTACGAGACACCGAAGCAGGCACAGCATGCAGTATAACTTATGTCAACACCGAGAAGATGAATTAAGCCCACGCCAGATTAATCTTACCAATTATGCTATAAACTAATTAATGTGTATATTGCTATCTCCGAAATGACGCGGAGGCTGAATTTGTTTTTGGGACCTGCTTAACGTTTAGATCATAGTTCCAGTTTCAGCTTCGAACGCGATCTTGATGCATGCAAGTCATATCAGCAGTAAATTGATTTATTCGATCAAATATCTTTCATTGACTTCTGATCACAACATTGGGGAAGATCGGTCAATGAACAAGTCTACGGACCCAGCTTCCCTCTCGCAGGAAGCCACCAGACAGATCCGTTGGAACATCCAAGAAGTGCGACCCACACTTTGCCGTGACCAAGAGATCAAGCCCACAAAAGCAGCTGATCGCGATCAAAACCACCTGATGAGAAGCATATAATTGGATCGGTAATAACAGGCAAGCTCACGACTTCAGGACGTCTCCTGGGTTCGATTTTCACTGCTAGAAGACTTGCTGCGACCACTTGAGAATGAAGGATGTGCAATTGTTCGCCGTGATATGCATGATGGTGAGCCTGGCGGGGACAGCCTCAGGTCGTGCTTATGGTGAAGGTGCGAGACAACGAACCGAGCACATGTTGAACTATGCAATCCGACTCCACCTCTTTTGTCGGATGCAACTCAGTCAATTAGGTCAAAGATTTGATCAGCAAATATATTCGCGCAGATACGTGGTCGCCTCGCCAGGGCAGGCTGCTGCACCAGTCGGTTGCGAACACATCAACGGCCTCGGCCGTCTCTCCTTCTCAGGCCCTCTCCAGCCTGACCAATTCGCCCACCGCATCAGGCGCTTCCAACGCTGGCACTGCCGCTGCTCTGGCAGCAGGGAGAGCAGCTGCTGCGGCAAGTGCTGCAGCTACAGCAATTAGTTCGGTCCTCCTGAAAACGCTTTGTTTTTAGTCGCATCCCAAGAAGAAAGGTTCTTGTTTGGGTTTGCGTGAATAGATCGCAACTCTTGTAGATGAATATCTCTGTGCTTGATCAGGCACGGATGGAGCTATCTCTGCAGCTATCAAGGCGGCAGCTGCAAGCGGGGCCGCACAAGCTGCAGGTTTGCTTCTCCACACCCAGAAATGTCCATGCTAAAAAGTAATGTTGTGTTTAATCAATGAGAACTTCCTTGCAATGATTGAGGCTGTGAACACTGTCCTTGCCCTGTGCAGCCGAGGCTGCCTTCAACGGCACAGCCACATCTGCAGCAGTTGCTGCTGCTGCCGCAGCAAGCCACACAGCCGCCGCTGCTGCAGGTATGTCGACACATTTCCACGAGGAAGATTGCACGGGGCTCAATCTCACCAAAAATTGCATCTTCGCTTGCTCTGCGTATATGCTGGTGGGCACTGCTGACGGCCTTGTCTGTGTGTGGGATAGCTGCCCTGCAAGGCGATGCGGGTGTAGCCAGTGCACAGGCCGCAGCTGCTGGAGAGTCTGCAGCTACTGCAGGTCAGTCCGTCACCTCTGAACCTTCCCCTTGCACCACAAGTGAAGCAGGCTGCACTGTGCTGCTGGATCAGAATATAATGGTGTTCACAAGGGCGTCCCCTAACAGACGGATGGCATGCTGTTTCTAAGCCGATGTCACAAAATTGAGTGTGAGATTGTGCTGCAGCTGTGGCTGCCGGTTTGTCTGGCGCCTCGTCAGCGGCAGCCGGTGACATCACCGCTGCTGCGTCCACAAGCCAGAAGGCGTCAGTCAATGGTGCCGGTCCCCTTGAGGGTGGCAGCAAGGCCGTCACAGGTGAGTAAGCATACAACGCCCACCTCCTTCTGGTACTTTGAGATTGTACTACGCACTTTTCTGCCAAGAGGCAAGGTGCGCCCTGCGGACAAGCTGCAATTAAAGGCTGCCACAATCCTATCCCTTCTGATAATTCAAGAGAAGCACAGGCAGTAGGGCTGCTGTCAATTTATATGGTTTCTTGCCAGTCAAATGGCACAGGCATTGATCAATTTGTAATCTCCTGCGCAGACGAAGCAGCGGCAGCTGCCAAGAAAGATGCCTCTACCAGCGCCACAGTTTCCAAGAGTTCTGCTGCAGGTCGGCTCCTTACCATATGGACCCATGCCCTTAAGCCATGACCACCCCAGATCACATCGATTTCGTTACCTCTGCCAATCCTCAGAGCTCAATGCTCCATCTTACAAGTCACTCCAATGCTTAATGCTGGTTTTATGCGTGCCCGTGGATTTGCAGGCGCAGCGGCAGCGGCCAACGGCGCAGTGAGTTCCACTGCGGCGGGCGGAGGCTCCTTTGCAAGCGCAACAGGTGCAACAAATTTGCCGCGATTCATTTGTATGCAATGTGATCGTTTGTGTTTCTGGGCCAGAGGTGTCTTTTATATGGCACACATTGCATAAGAATGTGAGAGGCAGCCCTTTCTCCACACTACGCGACTGATGGTGGCTCGCTCTGCCTTGTAAGTCTTGCAGTCACGTTTGCTTTGTTGCTACATAAGTGAGCAAGAGAAACACCCAAAGCTGCAGCCACCCCAAATAGGTGGTATTTAGTCACCACCACGACTGTGAGATTCCTTTCACTTCTGTGACAGGCGGCAGCGGCCAGGACGCCCAGATCAATGCAGCCGGCACTCAAGGCGCCAGTTCAGGCGCTGCTGCAGAGCAGGCTGCCAGCTCAGGTAACGGGTGCTCTCTCATGTATGGGAATGCATGCGTGAAGGAATGTTGCACTGCGCACAACAGTCACCTTCCTAGACAAGGTGATGGTGGTGATCAGCCCGGTGGGCGAGGAGCATCCTCTCTCTTGGCATGCTACGCATTTGGCTTTTTGCAATGGGGATTGTATACATGCAATAAAGAAATCATTCAGTGACCGAACATTGCTGTTTCTTTTCTTGCAGCGGCGACGACGGTTGCAGCCGACAGGGCAGTGACAAACGTGAACGCCAGCAGACGGGGCGGCACGGCCACTTCTGTGGCTGTGGGAAACAAAAATGCAGCTGGTTCTGCTGCAGGTACATACCCTAACATGCTCACATGTTCATGAGGCATAGGCACGCCGTGCTGGTTGTCGACACGTCTGTGTCAGTGTGCTCTGGTCTGCGATTATTATGCAATGTTGGGAGAAATCTGGAGGAGACCAGCACACAATCTGAGGAGGCATCTGTGATGCAGCGGCCACCAAGGGCTCAGCGGAAGGCTCGGCGGCAGCTGCCGGGCGGCTGCCGAGTGTGGCAGCATCTGCCACAAGCAAAGGAGCGGCTACGGGCGCGTCGTCCACTCAAGACACTGCATCATCGGCAGCCGCCAACAGAGTAGCAGGTGAGGCATTAAGCGCGAATCCACATTCTTCAAGGGGCAGAAGAGCCATGATGGCGCAGTTGTGCACAGCTTCTTCAATGCACATCGCATGTTTCTTATGCCTTTCAAACCCGGGTTTTCAACACTGCCATCTGCAGTGCTAGCAGTGCACTGCATTGCTCGGATATGCACCAAAAGCAGGTCAGATAATTTATACAGCTGTGGGCTGTATAAGGTAGAGACTTGAGCAGATTTTGCAAATTAGTAATGTCAGTGCATGCAACAGTACATGCAGAGATTGGGAAGTAATGGCCATTGGAAGGTGCCAAGGCAGCTGGTGGTTTGCAGGTGCCTCCACTGCAGCCTCTGGTGGTGCAGACAGCTCCTCGGGCACCACAATCCCCAATTTTCCAATTGGAGGTTGAGTACTATGTGAAGCCAATAAATCTTGCGAATCTGCAGCCATTGTCACAACTACAATATATCATTCCCGTCTTGCTTGTCAACTATGCAGAGCCACCAGATGTCGACAATTTATTTAGAGTTGGTATATGCTGGAAATCTGCTGTAGCGCTGAGGTCTCAATATCTTGTCATTGCCACCAATGTCCACATTTTCAGCAAGAATCAATTATTTTGCTAGGATTGCCCATTTTCTGAAGCATCCCCATTAGCAGTGCCATGGCTGTCCTTCAGCACCCCAACCCATGTCTCTTCTGGGACGACTGCTGCCCACTTTGGCATGTAATCAATACTGAAGTTCTTCATAGCGCCCAGAATTGCTGTTCGCTTCTCCTCAGTGATATCCATTGAAGTGTCTCCACTGCTGGTGCCAGTTGATGATGTCACAACAACCTGGCAGCCATTGCCATAATGCTTCTCAGCCCCACATAAAAATCAGACGGTGGCAAGCGCATGCTCATTGACCGAGACTCAGCAAATTTGACATGTGTACAGTATCATTCAAATGTCATTAAGCCGAACCATGGCCAGGGAATACCTTGGGCAGGGACTGTGCTCTGCTGTGCTGTTGCTGACAATGGCCTAAGCTTGAAGCAGAACTGTTTCTGTCCTCCCTTACAGCTGCACCATCGCTGATTGTTGGAGTGCCCCATCCAGCAAAGTCCACTGGCTGGCAACCATTGCTCAATGCTCTAGCTGTTGCTGCCAGTGTGGCCACATCCACTGGTGACGCCGTGCTTCCTGCAATGGCGTCAACAAGTAGTCGTCCATAGGAGATCACATCATGCAGCAAATTTGCTGCGATTTCATGCGAGCCACCTCAGGACATCATTATCGTCATCGGCATGGTGACTTGCGTGATTGAATTCAGTCTTTCACCTGGCTCTGCAGGTGTATCGGCGCATGTTACGCCCCGGGCCTCTTGAGCCAACCTGGCTAGGTGAGCGGCTGTCCTATTATCCAAACCTGATTGAGGCACTTGTGCATCGATGCCGTTGGCTTTTCCATTTCCTTCACACAATTGCAATCACAAAGATAAGCTGCTTCGTCAATGGTGTTTAATTCATACTGCAATTGAGGCAGAAGAAGCAAGCGCTCTGTAACTGTCGTGTGACGTAGACACACACCTTCGTGAGAATGCTGAGGATCATTTGGATTTTCCTCGGTATCCAAAGGCTCATACCCTGACGTTGCTGCATCATCGTCTGCAACGCAAGCCTTGCTTCACGGGTGTATTCTCCAAAGGCGGATAGCGATCACTTCTGAAAGCATGCCGAGTATCTGCAGCATAGACTTCAACAAATGATATCCTGCATATCAGATTGATTTTACTGTACCTTCGGATGTATCGCTGCTGTTGGAGGCATCAATGCTGTGGGCATCAACAACTTCATCTTCTGTTTGTCCCATGACGTGCAGGAGTAAAAACACTTTCTCGGGACACTGATAATATTGGTAGATCACAATAAAACTACGGTGACGTATTTGTTAATTTGCCTTCGTGATCGTCACATAAAGTGTGTTGGAATGCATTTTCCAAGGAAAGGCAGCCTAGAATGACTAAGCACTTGCTGCAATGTCCACATACGAAGCTTGTGGAGGGACATCCAATGTGCAATAATTGACAATGCACAATGAGAACTTCCATGCATTTTGGGAAGATGCATGGCACGCTCGATCAGCTCTCCTGTGAAGCCTCTTCATGCCCTCTTTGAAATTACCATCGCACGATGAGCAAGGCACAAAATAAAAAGGATCTTGCTGAGGCAGGGCGTAGAAAGGTACGCAAAACAATTCTATAATTTTTACACATCTCACTTCTGTGGGTGACATTCAAGATTAGTCCCTGTAGGGTGCGAAATCAATGGCACTTGACACTTGTCCTCCTAAGTTTGCGTTATGTGATACGACAGGACCTCCAAAGCCTTTCTGGTGTATAGATAGATTTCATCAGAAAGGTCTAAACATGGCAAGCAAAAATGTGTCTCAAGTCTCTTTTGTAACATTGCGTGGGCTGCCTGTTCTTAGTCTTGAAGGGGCCTTCATTGTGGTGCAGCTCGAGGCTTTCCGCAAGCAGAAAGCCGAGGGGAAATCCAAGGCACCCAAGGGGGCCCCTCCTGACATTGCCCCAGCTGCGGACAGCCCCAGCCCCAGGAAGGCCCTGCCTAAGCAACCACCTCCACCACCGCACCAGGGATCTGGGGCTCTTGCTCCGCAGAGCAATGTAGACCTTGCAGACACCAGGGCTGTGCGACAAAGGAGCGGCAGCAAAGATGAGGAACCACAGCAGGAGGGTCCTTCTGGACGGGGCCCAGGAGCAAGCTCCCAAAGCATCCCATTCAGCCTCTCATCCCCTGATGTGGGGCAGCAGAATGCTGACACAGCTTTGGGGAAAGCCAGCATAGCTCCTCCTGCCACATCCAGCTCAGCCGCAGCAGCCGCAGCCACTGGCAGCCATGCATATGCGCCGGCAGCTTCTACGTCTACTCTCCAGCAGACCAGGCCTCCACGGGCCGCAAGGGGCCTCCTGTTTGGCGCCCTGCCTACACCGCCACCACTGCCGTTGCCCCCGCCACCTCCTCAGTTCAACTTCAGGGCGTCCCAACCGCCTCCAGTCTCGGCACCCACCAAGGACAGCCCACAGGGAGACCGGGGCAGAGAAGAGTCCACCCAGAGCAGCAGCAGCAGCAGCAGTGACAGCAAACAGCTGCGTGAGCTGCCAGCTGCGGAAGCAAGAGCGAAGCCTGCATCTGCAGAGGAGCACAGTCAGGAAAAAACAGTACAGAGGAGCAGTGCACAGCTGGAAAGGGATCCCTTTGGCAGCCTCTTCCGCGCTCCAGACCGGCCGCAGCAGTCGCCACCGCAGCCCAGCAGCAGCCGTTCTGGCCAGACCGCGCCAGCAGGCCCATCAGGGCTGGACTCGCCTCCCCCTGGGGCCTCAGCTCTGCAGCCTTCAGCCACCTCAGCGGAGGGTGCCTCTCCGCAAAGAGAACACCAAGGAGACACGCCAGCCTCAGCTGGCATGGTGACTGCAGTTGCTTCAGCAGAGAGTGGGCCACTTTCGGAGTCTATTGCGATACGCGCGGCCAACGGCTATGCAGCGCTGTCTGACGGCTATTTGTCTCCTTCGCGGCTGGAGGAAGCGACGCCCTCGCCAGGCAGGCAGCCGGAGCCAGATCAGGTGGAGGTGCTGCCAGTCAGTCGCAGCGCGGGTCTGAACAGGCTTGACAGCGCCTCTCCCGCGCCGTCTGGCAGGACCTCGGAAGCTGCCGCGCCAGCTTCACCGCGGCTGCGGCCCCTGCAAGGGCCCAGCAGTTCAAATGGGTACTCCGCACTGTCAGACGGCTACATCGGGAGGAGCCCAGGCGGCAATGAAAAGGCGGATAGCAACGGAAACCATTCCAATGGCGGCTTGAAACCCGGGGAAGGAGGCTGGCTCGGGGATCGAGGAAGTCCTTATGGCGCTGGGGCTGGGACATCTGCAGCAAAGCAGGCTGCGCAGACAGGCAAGGCAGGCAGCAGCTTTGCGGACCTGTTTGACGCAGTTCTGTCCGACAACAAGGGGTCGAGGAAGCCGCACTCATTCAGCCCGAGCCGCGGCACCGGCAGCAATGCGGCAGCGGTAGCACAGGAGCCGCCGCCGCCTCCACAGCATGCCACCTCAGGCAGCGCAGACACCCATACACCATCAGCGCCTGCTTGGCAGCAGCACACTGCCAGTGCTGCCACATCCTGGCCCAGGACATCAGGGCCGCCACCGCCGCAGTTGCAGCCGTCCGCGTCCGTCTCGGACGAAATTGCGCCGCTCGGGCGGCGGGCACCGGGAGACGCGGACACAGACACCGGCAGCAGGTTGGCCGAGGGGGCTCTAGACGTTTCCGGCCCCGCGAGTGCCCCCAGGGCGAACGGGGGGACCTCAGGGTTTGACCCCTGGGCGAGGCCGTCTCCGCCGCCGTCCTCCGGGGAGCCGCGCAGCGTTGGGCCGGGGAGCAACGACGGCGGGCGCGCCAGGTGTGTACCTAAATTCCTGTTCCTTTGGAATCAGGCAGTTCTGCTCGTTGATAATCTGGCCTGCACAATCACCATCAAGCATCAATCGCTCAATCGAGAAGGGCCGAAGCTTTTGTGCCCACCCTGTGCCTCTGCAAAGCAAAGCAAAAAGAGCCCAGAACAAAGCCTTTGAGCAATGCCTGCTTGAAGATCTGTCCCCTGATTGCTTCAGTATCTGTCCCCCAATGCCCTCTACGGGCGCATGGCGCACCCTTGTTACAGCATGCCTGGCAGATATGGTTAAGTAACAGGCCTGGCTTGGGCATGCAGGTTTGCTGCGCTGCAGCAGCACATAGACGAGCTGACGCGTGAAAAGTACGAGATGCTGCGCGGCATGGCCGGCCAGCGCAAGGTCACCGAGAGCCTCGAGGACGAAAACCAGAAAATTGCGGACGACTTCAATCGCCAGGTGCGGCCGCCTTCAGGATTTGTCTCAGCCTCAATGCTGCAGTATCCTTGGCGGCGCCATCACAGAAATGACCTGGCATGACCTAACCAAGATAGACACCTTTGCATCAGAGTTGTTGGTATGCTTGTGGCTGGCAGGTTCGGGCAGCCTTCAATGCTCTCGATGCCTTAGCACTGCTGGCCATGTTCAACTGAAGAGTATAGAATAGGCCTGGTGTTCTCAACTGAAGAGAATACCTGGCGTGGCCTATTCTCTGCAGCTGAGCGCCGCTATCAATGCAAGAACATTGAATCCCATGCATCTTTGTAGTTGGTATGCTGTGCCAAGAGGAATGTAGGTCACCTGACGGCTTCTGAGCCGGGAAAGACGTTTGAATGACCTGCAAGCTCCCGGAAAAGAGCCATACGTACATTCCTCGCAGAGGCAATAATGAGGTTGAGACGGTGCTAATGGAGAGCATTTTGGGGTTGGCTGTCAGCATGGGCACGTCTGTTCCCACAGTAAATTTTAGAGGCAGACTGGTGATTTGAACGAATCTGTCAGAGGATTTTCCTGCGCTATTTGGGCGATCATGACCGACCATGTTGTCAATGGCCCCGGGTGGCGGGGGCCGGTATAAATACAAAGCCCTCGATTGATTAGGTCTTGCTTTGATCTGGCGAGTCCATCAAGGGGTAGGATTGTGGCAGCCTTTACTTGCGAGTCGCCTGCAGGACGCACCTTGCCTCTTGGCAGGCAACGCGTGTAATGAATGTTTTCGATGCGGTTGTGCAGGCGGGCCAGGTGGGCGCGCTGGGGAAGCAGGTGGAGCAGCTGAGGGCGGAGGTTGACGCGCAGCGAATGGCGCTGGCGGCCATCGCGGCCGAACGCGACGCCGCGCGATCCTCCGCAGCCGACTCCTCCCAGCGCCTTGAGGCGCGCCCTTACTCTTGACAGTAAAATTTGGCATTTGCATGCACCATGCGCACGATCTAGTAGCCACACCAGCGTGGTAAAAGAGGTCTCTCCAAAGGTCTTCATACCAACACTTTAGAACAAAAGCACAGAAGCTTTCTTGATGCCTCGATGTTGCCCAAAGCCTATTGTCGGTGATGCGCGGCTGCTGCGTCCCCTAAGTCGGGGCGCAGCGGTGATTGAGGTCCTTGCCCACCCATGAGAGAGGACACACGGTACCCACAGAGCAATTCTACATTGGCCATGCACTTTGTTTACCAAACCTGCATTACCGTACATGACACTTTGACCGTGGTTGTGCACAGATGAATGAAGATATCCTCTGACGGCTGACATGGGTGGGAATGCGCGCAGAGGCTGGCGGCTGAGGTGGTGGAGTTGGAAGAGCGGCTGCTGCGCGCTAGGAGCAACGAACTGCGCGCCGAGAAGGAGGCCGCCCAGCAGGCGCATGCCGCGCGCCGCGCGCAGTCGGCCGCGCAGTCTGCGCAGCTCGAGCGCGGCAGCCTCCAGTCCATCATTGATACCCTCCAGGTGCGCCCTGCCTCACCCTGCACTCCCGCCCGCCTCCGCACAACTGATGCAACGTGTGCTCTGTAGCTTCACTAATCGCCTGCTTAGCTACCACCTCAAAGCCGGCATTAGCTTTACTATATTGCTCAGTTCGCCCCAAGGCACTGCAGGACAAAGCTGTTGATTGATTCGTGGCTTTCAGTCTTTAGGAGTTGCCGTGCGGCAGCATATTGCGCCACATGAACAGGCTACTGCAGGATGTTTGCTGGGACTCATGGTACATATAATGCCTGACGGCGGCTGCTGCTGAGACACGCAGGAGGAGAAGCGCAGCCTGCACGTGAAGCTCAGGAAGGCGGTGCTGGGCGAGCGGCTGCGCGCGGAGCAGCCACCCAAGGACGCCTCAACGCAGACCACCGCCACATCAGCCGCCTCCCCATCCAAGACCGCCGCTGCCGCCCCTGCCACCCCCAGGCAGCGCAGCGCACTGCTCGATGACGCTCCTTCAATGGTGTGTGCCTCTGCTGCATTTGCTGGCTGCAACGCCCCCTGCTTCCAGAACACGGTAGCCTTTGAACAGGGGGGGCCCTCACCAGCTGCCATGCAAGTGGCACCTTAGGGTCCAGTGGGATGTAGGATTGCAATGGCGTGTTTGCCAAATAAGGCCACATGTTTGGGGGGGGCTCTCTGCATCTTCTCACTGTGGGGGGTCACACCTTATATGGTGGTTGGACACACGTGCATGATATGCTTTTCCCTATCCCACAGGTTGCGCCCAGTGTGCGGATGGCTCAGGAAGCGCTGGATGCGCACGCATCTGAAGACGGTCTCTCTGATGAGCCGCTCTCCGCTGCTCTCTGCCACCTGCTGCCACCGCTTGTCTACCAAGGTAATAATTTCTCCTCTTTCCGCAAGGGACAGGCATTAGGTCTTGTCGGTCTTTCATCAAGCAGAGACTCACCTCCAGGCCAGGCATTGGGAGTGCCCAAATTGAAATGTGTGCAGGGAGTGTATCAGAGCTGCCTGCAGCTGCAAGAAGGCGCACTGGACTGAGGAGAGGGCGTCAGTAGTCTCGCGGTTAATGATCGGCGTGGTTTGCTATGAGCAGGCGGTGTGGCGGGGAATGCTGCGGAGCTGATCGTGCAGGAGCGCGCGGCCTTGTCAAACATTCACGCCATGCTAGCGACGCTGGAGTCGCAGCAGCGCTCTCTGCTCTCCAGCCTGCATGCCAAGGAGGTGGGCTGCTGCCATGATCCCTGCTTTCCCCCATGTCTATCAAGCAGCTTGCAAGTATGCAGCCTGAATGGCAATGCTGGTCATCTGTCAAATGTTTATGTGGCCTTCTGCCCTGATATTTCACAATTAGAAAGCTGGGTTGAGCGAGATGTCTGCAGTATTGAAAGGGAAACACGACCAGTTTCTGTCGTCGGCAAATGCAGGATACTGTACTGTATCAGGAACAAGGAAGCCCCAACATGCAAGAGTATATCAACTTGATGCCGCAACGGCTGGCATGTCCAACATGATTGCTCACTTGAGTGTTGCAACAGCCCAACTTAACACCGCCGCGTTCGAGTATGCATGTTGTTGTGGTGTGCAGGAGGAGAGCAGGGAGCTGGGCACCGAGAACGCGGAGCTGCGCAGCCGCCTGGAAGCTGCGCAGCAGAGGCTGGAGCTGGCGGTCTCGCGTTCCACCTTCGTGGCAGCCGCCCCGCAGCCGCAGGCAGCTGCTTCGGAGCCCGCAGAAGCCGCGGCCGCGTGCGGCGGCCGACGGCAGCTGTTTACGGAGTCGGCGCCCTCGACGCCGGCGCAGCCTCTCCGGCGACCCCTGCGTGCTCCCAAGGGTGTGTTATTTAAGCAAATTTTGTTTTACCTTAATTGTTTTAGTTTGTGCGCTAGCTGCTGATGTGAAGGATGTGCATCTTCGAGAATGCCTGCATTGCTGGGGCACCTGCTTGCTCGAGGACCACACTCCTGATGTTCACTGTCACTTTGTGCAGCACCCCAAATTGGAGATTCACAGGTTTGCCGCGTTGCACCTGCCCTTGTACAGCAGCAAGCGCAAAGTAGTACACCATTATAAATGGTTGTGATTGGCGTGCGTTTTGCCCGCTGATGGTAATGGTGGTCTGTGCGCAGCAGAGGAGCCAAGGCGAGGAGCTTTGAATTGGGTGCTGGAGTTCCTGGTGCCCCATCCACAGACCTCGCAGAGGATCGGCCAGTTTGGCTGATGCACTGCAGCCCATGCCGTTGCCAGAATTAAATCTTGTGCTTATTGTCAAAGCATTTGTGTGTCAGGTGGTATCACATTGTCTGTCTGTTCACAATATTGGCGGTATGAAAGATTGAGGTCGGCAGCTGGCACAGAATGCGCCTCGTTTCCTCATACAATGTACATGTCAGGCTCGCATTAGAAGTAGCATTGTAGTTCACAAGGAGCCATCTTTCTGGCTGTCCAAGCTGTACTAAAAAGCCAGCATGTAATTTTCTGGTACCTGTGACGCTGTGATGCACGAATCCAGTGCGATCAGTTGCCTTGCTCGCAACTGTGTGTTTGCATCCCATGCACCATAAGTTTCCCAGGGGCCCTGTATGTCCGCTGTCAATCGTTATGGATGCATAAGCAGGCATGCATTGAACAATCTCATAGTGGTGCCTGTATCTTGTGAAAGCAGTGCTTGACGTAAAAAAAAATACAGCCAGTAGCTTTCAGAAGGCTTCCATCTTATACTGCCCATTATCTGTCCCATCCCGATTTACACTGATATCATCAATGCCAATTGCACCTATCCCTTGTGCCCGTATATACTTGCCACTTGTTCACGTGCAACTGAGTTCTACAGCAGGCAAGCAATACCTCATTTATGCGCATTCATGCAGAGAGCATTCCTGAAGAAATTTGTTTCTTCTTGCATGCGTGCTTATGCCAGCAATCTTGATACGAAATCGACAAAAAAGTTTGGGCAGGAGCTCCTCTCAGTACAGGAGTGCCCGAACAAATTTAAGCCTTAATGCCTGCTTGCAAGATGAGCTGAAAGCAGAAAATTGAACAATGCTCCTGACAAGGAATGTCAGTATATGCCGCTGCTCAAATTCTCCTTCACTGCTGAACATGTCACACATATTTGTAGCTACTTAGGTGCACCTTGACTGACACTTGCTTAGCTAGCCATATAAGAGCAGTAATTATGCACAACTTTGAGCCTCTCTAACCTGCGATAGCTTTTGATGTGTGACTTTGCAGCCCCTTGGGACGGCTGCAAACTCACAGGGGAGCCTCAGAGCTGACAGTCCAACTAGCTGAAACTCAGCAAGCGATCACAGCTCGCCATTCCCTCTGGATGTTCAAAACCCCTCTTTGTATTCTGGTACGCATTGATCCTGGAACCCGCATCGGCCAGGCTTTTGGTGTATCTACCTATCACGCTTTAGCTACTCAACAACCAGTCTCTCACCACGCAACCAACAGTCCCATTGATTCACAGCGCCCACCCAAACTCCCAGACCCTTTTCTTGATAAAATTGTCTCAACCAGAGATATGCCATCCCTGCTACACCTATTCCTATTCCACAGCTCCTTGGCTCTGGCTCGGTCTTAGCGCACACCTTTCAGGAAATTGTGCTCGTCCCACAGGGAATCTGCAGCCCCCTAGGCGGCGCCTTGCGCAAGGGTGAGGCCAAGGGAGTGCCTTTGAGACATCCTCCGCATGCCATGGAATATTTAGAGCCCCCTAGGCTGCGCCTTGAATAGAAGTGGGGCCACGTGAGGCCTCCTGCGCATGCCATAGGGCGCAGCCCCCTAGGCCGCGCCCTGCGCAGGGATGAAGCCGCGTGAGGCCTCCTGTGCACGCCATAAGGTATTTGCAGCCCCCTAGGCGGCGCCCTGCGCAGGGGTGAGGCCGAGGGAGTCGCGCAGAGCGCGCAGGCCCTCAACGCACTGTCGCCCCAGAGTGGGCACAGCCATGACATCCATCAGAGCCGCGTCCAGTCCCATGGCCGACACAAGCGCGGCCGCGCGCGCCGTCACGGCGTTGTCATCCTCCATCATCGTCAGCAGCATCAGCTGGATCTCCCTCGACGCCCCCAGCTCGTGCGCCGTCATAAAGCCTGCATGCAAAGGTGGGTGGGAAATTCAATGCCTGTTTGGATGGAGCCTAGAATACAGGTAGCCCTATATGCTGAAGGCTGATATGCAGATAGGGATGCACAAGGGGATACCAGCAGCACTCAAATGCAGGAAGTTGGGAGAAGCAAAGTATGATTCCCTGCAATCAGATGTTTCGATTTTGTGCATGTGCAGCGAGTTGATGGTCATGCTGTTGTCTTACCACTAAACAACATGCTTTTTAACCAAGGCCAAGTCTGAGCGCCATGCAAGTTTGACAGAATGGGAAGGACGTGGCACAGAAACACGAGCAAGGTCGAGAGCCACGCATGGCTAGGCAATGGGAAGGGATGTGAGACGCACGTCGATGGCTGTTGAGGAGGACGTCCTGCGAGCGCGCCAGGTGCTGGGGGATGACGTAGGCGCTCGCGTCGCCCTTCGCGCCGGCCTGCAGTGGAGGCAGCCCGGGCGCGCCCGCCGGCACAGCAGCCGCCATGTACTGCTGCAGCCCCTGCGCCTGTGAGCAGGACAGGGCTAAGCCAGCGGTGGGGAAAGTCAGCAATGACATGAACGATGACTTACAAGGACCGGCAGCCCTGGCCAAGTGCACCCATGTGCATACAGAAAGGTCCAACATCACCCACTGCCATGCTCAAGTGTTGCATTGGGACGGCAAGCGTTCTTGCACGGATTTGTGGGCACATGGGCCAGGCCTTCCTTCTCCACCGAGAGCTCTTCTCTTGCAGCTGTATATGTCAAGCGCGCTGACAAGGGGCCCGCGCCGCACTCGGATTGGCCCTCGACAGGCACAGAATAGAAGACATGGTTTCTTCCGAGATTGCCGACAAGCCGAAGAGGAGGTTACAGCATTTACCTTACAACGTGTGTTCAATGGAAGAAAATTTGGAGCAGATGTCGCAGAGTACAGCCCACTCACCGTGGGGGGCGTGGACGCGGTGGTCTCGGAGTTGTTGGAGTCGCCGGGGGAGGGTCGCTGGAAGCTCTCGCCCGCGTCTGCCGGCGGCTTCCCGGCAGCTGCCGCGGCGGCGCCTGGGAACGCCCTCGGGGACGGCTGCTGCCCCCGGAGGGCCCCCCGCTGCTGCAGCTGGGGCTGCGGCGGGGGGTGCTGGCGCGCGTGGCGCTGCGCCTGGCGGTGGGCATCCTCAACGGATCGCAGGCCGGCTTCGTGCTGCTTGAGGGAGGGCGCCTGGAACGCATTGGTGCGCACCGCGGCGACCATCTCAAGCCGCATCGCAAACAGCCTGCGCCAGAGAGCCCAGGGAAAATCATTAGAAGTCATTGGAAAAGCCAAAGATTTGACTTTCCCACCCCGGGAAACGCCACATGGGCAGGTGACCAGCTTGTGGCAGGCGCAGCTGCAGACATGCAGAACTCCAGAAACTCAATACTCAGCAAACATGTGTCCCAAATAACCACCTGGGCCATGACTTGAGTAAACTAACATGCAGATGCAAACTAAAAGCAATAGTACGCATGCAGAAGGAATTATCTGACCCACTTGTTGCCAGACTGTCAAACAGGAGGACAGACAGCACCCTGTGCATGCGTACTACCGTCAAGCCTCTCACTTCTGAAGGATGGCAACAACAAAAATTAGTACTGTTGATAGGGAAGTCTTTGTTGTGATAGATCCAAAGTGTAAGGGTGCTCTGTACCTGGCCAGCTCGATGAATTGGAGGCCCTTGGAGAGGAGAGCTTTTTCAGAGGGGTTGATGGCGGCGGCTCTCTGGAAGCGGGCCTTGACAACCGCGTACAGCTGCTTGGCGTCGCGCTGCTGCAGCTCCCCCACAAACGCCTGATACTCATTCGCCAGCACGTGCTTCGGCTGCACCCATGTAGAGAACTGTAAGCATCACCTTGACGATAAAAACCAAGCATCTTATCGGGGTGCTCAACCTAATAACCACAGGTAGCCCTGCACATGGGCATCATCAAGAGCCAAGACCACCTCCATTATCGAAAGACAGCATTAAGAATCTATCGTGTGGGACAGGGCATGGGAATCTACATCTAATATCAAGGTCAAGACTACGCGTCACTCTCCACCACCGGCCTTCCTGATCACATTTTTCACTTCTAAAACACTTGGATGGGTTAGATATAGCTCCCCTTGAAAAAGGGTGCACGTGGGCCCGGAGAACAGCTACTCTTTTCCGCATTTGTGTCCTGCATTTCCAGGGTGTCATGAGAGGGCAGTGTGCACCTGCACGCCCTTGGCGGCGAGCGCGGCGGAGTCCTGCACAGCGGCGGCCCACTCGGCGCCGCGGCCCTGTGAGATCATGCGCTCCCCGAGGGCCGCCCAGCGCAGGAAGTGCACCTGCGCCTTGAGCGTCAGGATGACGCCCTCCGTGGTGGCGCTGCACATATCCCTCAGCTGCCGCGCGCATTCCTCTGGCTCTGCGCCGGCCGCCACCAGCGCCTCCAGCTGCCTCTCGTACTCCAGCCCCTTTTCCTGTGCCACATTGATAGCCACTTAAAGGTGGGTGCATTCATCAATATACCTCCAATAACCCCTAACACATTTTTTAAGTTGTTGCATGTGACAGTCTGACCAGCTATACAAGTGCGCACTTGCAAGGGAACGACGGGGTTCTTGACTGACTTCATCCATGCAAGGGGACAGCTGGCCACTCTGCTGACAAGAAGCAGGATGTATCCTTCAAACTTGCAATGTATATGATACAAACTGATGATCTCCTTCAGTGTAGTAGCGAGTGCACAGGCTGGGCCCGCTCACCACGAACATCTTGGCCAGGCGTTTCCTGGAGGCAACCTGCTTGCGCAGGTCGGCAGAGGACTCGCCGCCCTCCTGCGCCTGGCTCTCAATGCTGGCCCTCAATGCCAGCGCAAACGCCCGCGCAGCATCTGTTCCATGCATCCACCACACATCATCAGCACCTTCTGTCCATCCATGTGCTCGCCTTCGACATGGTCATAGTGGGTGACCAGAGGTGTTGTGTGCATGGGACAATATGGCACCTGACAGGTCGCTGGATGGATCTGTGCCTGCCGCGACGGCGGTCGCTGCAGGAGTTGATGCCTGACCTTTCTGTCTGCTTGCCGGCTTGCGCCTGCAATGGCAGAATGCACCATCAGCACGTATTCTGCATGTACTGATGAGGAATGGAAGCATGCTAACACAAAACCAAACCCTTGTACGGAGGCCCTGTCAGGAGATACAATGGTAAAAGGCGTACTCTGACAGTTGTGCCTGGTGGGAGCTGATTGTGGCGGGTGCGGCATGAGACGGCGTTTCAAGAGGAGCATTGCCAGTCTTTGGCGCCACCGCAGGCTTGTCCACCGGCAGAGGTGGAGCTTCCTACAGGACAACTTGACAATCAGCTCCGGTTTGCATTGCTCAGTACCGTTTGCTTGTGCAACAATGGCTGAATGTAACTCGGATGACGGGGGTACTGACCGGGGGCAGTGCAGCCGAGGCTTGCTGCACGAAGCCAGCAGCCTTGTCTGCATTTGGGCCGGAGGCTGGCGCCATGGCCTCAGACGGGGCAGCCGGCTCTGGCTTGCGAGCTTGAGAGGGCGCGGCCGGAGAGCTTCTGCGACCAGTCCTCTCCTGTTCAGCTGACTGCCTGTCTCGCCTGCGCTCTTGAGAGGTATCGCGGCTGCGGCGCTCGCTCTGGCGAGGCCTTTCGCGTGAAGGGCTGCAGCGCACCACAATCACCCATCAGTCCTCGTCTCAGTCCGGGCTTTTGCAACATGTCTTAACAGAGGAGAGTTTTCCAGCACCGCGACAAAGATAAACCCGCGTTGTCTGCCCTCTGCCCATGGGATAAGTTGAAAATTTTCAACACGCAGCCCGTGCATGGCAGCAGTGCGCCACATGTACAGCTCTTTACAATATGGACCTGTGCTTGAAGCACCAGGACGAGCGCACGAGAAAATGCTGACAGGAGGAATGACTTCACGCACCTGCGCGTGCGCCGCCCGGTGCGCGAACGGTCCCGCTCGCGCCGGCGCTCGTCCGCGGCGCGGCTTTGGCTGCGCGTGCGCGTGCGGGCCGGGGCCCGGCGGCTGGCGCTGCGATCCCGGCTGCGGCTGCGGCGGCTGTAATCGTATGACTGGCAACCGCTGCCGCGCTGCCTGACTTCCCTCCGGCGGCGTTCTTCCTGCCTCTCCTTCTCTCTTTGCCTCTCCCTTTCCCGCTCGATGCCCCTCTGACGGCGCTCCTCCTCGATGGAGAGCCCCCGATCCAACGTCCTGTCTCGCCGGCGGCAATTGTCCTCGGCCTGCCTTCCATCAGTCCGCTCCTTGCTTCGCTGCCTGCATGGGAGCAAATCACACGAGTGCTCATCACCTGATGTTTGGCTTTGTAGTTACGGAGTCATATCAGCAGAACTGCAGCTTGTTGATAAGCGCTGTGTGCCCACCTGCTGGAGTACTTCCAGTTGTGCATCTTGTAGTACTCATCACTGCGCCTGCACAAACGAACAAAAGAACCTTTAACACTTTCTTAGAAGGAGAGAGCACATACTTATTGCATGCTCTCGCCAAATTGCTGAGCATGCAACATACCACAGTGTCAGCCCACAAAGCAGCGGAAACTGCCTCATCCATGATCTGAAAGGATGACCCACCGTCGGAGCCGGTGATCCTCATCGTCTCGCCTCCTCTCACTGTCCTGGGCGTGAGGCCTCTGTCGATCCCTGCCGTCCCTGCTTGACCCCCGGGGATAACGCAACTCTGCCTCCGGTGTACGCCTGGATCCCCTTGCAATGCAATTTTCCCAATGTTAGCTGATGGACACTCACATGCACCTAGTGAGAATCCTCTGTGCACACTTTGGATGTCTGCGCTCATAATACAGCATGTGCAATGTGATGCAAAGCTCACCTTTCCCGCTCCCGCGCTTCGAGCGCGTCCTGAAGACCTCTCTCTCCCTTGATCTCGCCATCCTCTCTCACACTGTCGAGCCGATCCATGGCCACTTCACCTGTGATGCAACTCAGAACTGTCAGAATCTGGACATGCAGGTGGACATTTATGCATGAAGTCATTCATGCAATGCGGCTGAGATGCGAACACAGGAGTCCTCTCGTTCAATGTAATCAGAGGACCTGTACTGCAAAGGGGGTCTCACTGCAATCAACAGATCCTTCAATGAAACGGCAGCCCACCTGCAGGAGCAGGCTTTTGGCGCTTTGGAGACGGCCCGCAGACCTCCTGGGCGGCGCGCTTGCCCCCAGAGAGGGAGTCCTTGCTGGGGCTGCTCCTCTTGGGCCCACCCGGCAGCAGGGGCATGCCAGACAGGCTGCTGGAGTGGTCGCTGCTGGAGGTGTCACTGTCGGAGGAGGATGACTCGCTTGAGGATGAGCTGTCATCCGAGCTGCTGGAGGATGACGATGAGTCATCCCTGGAGCCGCTGCCGGCCGGCAGCGACTTGCCGAGGAGCTGCGCGGCGGCTCCGCCTGCTGCCGCCGGGGCGGCAGCTACGGCCGCATCTGCGACCTGTGGGCCGCCCTCAGACTGCGCATGCGCAGGTTTGGAGCCAGCCTTAGCTTCCGCAGATGCGCCCTCGCCTGACACTGCAGGCTGCTGCTGCTGAATGCTGGGAGCCGCATGTTGGACTGCAGCGGAGGTCCCGGCAGCCTCAGTAGGTTCGGCCACCTCCCCAACTGATAGTGCTGGGGGCCCACTGGGCTTCTCCAGAGGCACGGCCTGCTGCACGTCGTTGCAGCTTCCAGCAGGGGAAGGTGGGTCCTGGTTAGGCGGCGTGGTGGGCTCAGGATCGCACGCCTCTGGGGACAGGGCAGCAGCAGCGCCGAGCTGCTGACTGGAGCCTGACGGGGCGGCTGCCTCCTGTGCTGCAGCTGACTTGGGCCTGCCCACATCCTGCTCTGGGCCTCTTTGCCCCTCCTCGGCCAACTTGCTGGCCAGCAACCACTGATGGAAGTCCATCGGAGCCTCTGCGTCTGTGCGCGCCTGCTCTGCCTGGCTGGGCTCCGGCGCGTGCGCGGCTCTTGCTGCTGGGATATGTTCCCCTCCATCTTGCTCCAAAGGTCCCTGATGGCGTGCCTGCAATGCTGGCTTGGGCTGCGCCTGCAGTGGTGAGGATTGCCGCAACGCTGCAGGCGTGTGGTTGCCGTTGGTCCCAGGCCTTCCCATGTTGCGTGGCAAGGGTTCCGGGATCCTGAGCAGGGCCTCTGGCAGAGGCTGCAGGGGCTTCTTGAGCAGCTTCTTCGTCTTCTTGACAAGCGCATCTGCGCAGGCATGACAGCTGAGCCCCAGACATCATTGCAAGTAGGACTTGACAAGTAGTGGGATGCACAATACCTTGCAAGAAAATATTGTACTGGACAAATTCCTCATTGAACAAGCCAATATTTGAAGGCATGTCGAGCTGCCTCACCGATTTTGTTCACAAATTCTGGCAAAGGCGCAGAAGGTGGAGGAGTAGCTGCACAACAAGACATGGTATTTCAGCAAATCTGTTGAAATTCATACAAGCTTTGCAGGTAACTCAAGAGCGCATCATCGCCAATATCACGTTTCAAATATTGTCAGATGTGGAGCTTTGTACTCACCTGCTTTTGGCAAAGCAACTTGCTTCCCCCCGATCTTGATCCTGAACTTGGGCTTTGCTGTGGCGCTTCCAGCCAATTTAATGGCTGCCGCACCCTGATCGCTTAGATGATTACTCATCGGTTCTCGTGGGCCTGTCAAGCTCGTGTTCTGCATGTCCTGCCACTGTGTGTCTGGCCATGCATGTGCTGGCTTGGCTGCAGCCAGTGGCTTTTGCAGCATGATCCCACAGAAGCCTGCCATGCCGGCAGTGAGGACTCCCTGTCAACGTGACATTTCGCTTCAGTTGCGAGCAGCTACCCAAGTCCCACCACATTCCACTCCCTGAGGCAGCTCAGGTCTAGAAGCTTCGATGTGCAGGTTATTTTGTCTGACCAATAAAAAGGGATGGTGGTAATTGATATAACACATCAGGCAAGAACAATATGATGTGCAAAAGAGGTCGAAATGCCAGCACATTGTGCCTTGACCTTGGCAAGTCGAGGCAAAGATTTGAGCGAGAAGCGTGAAAGAGGCTACCTGAGCGGATGTGAGATGTCACATGCTCTGCAAATGTCCACTTGTCACCCCTGCACGCGGCAATCCAGCCTTGGAGGTCCTGTCAGGAGCACTTGCCCATGACAGGGCCTTTTGATAGGTGTCATACACCTCCTAGTGTCGTGATACAGCCTGTAAGCGTTAAAATAGGCCCCAATAATGAGTGATCACAACAAAATCACTGAAACCATCCCCCCGCCATACTAAGGAACCTTCTCGAAATTGCCTCGGTTACCATTCCAGCTCAGGCCAAGGTCCCCCTAATCGCCATTTTGTCACCAAATTCTCAAGCTTTGAAGTAAAAAGACCACTTGCATTGCTACATACAATGGCATCGAAGCTCCTCTTCAACACTCCCCACAAGATGGCCTTTAGAGAAGAAGCTGGGGGCAGTAAGAGGAACAAAAAAAACCTGGTGAGCCTCAGGGAATCCAGGGCATGGCCAAAGCTACCGATGAAGTAGCAACATATTCAGATCAATGAATAGCACTTTTGCATCCATGATCTTTGCTGTCCCAAAGCCAGCAGGGTATCACAAGCGGGACAGTGGTGTCCACGCTCCATGAGTCCTATCGAAACACCTTTCCGAGGCAAACGCCATGGCACAGAGCTTTCATTACCTCAAGTGGGCAGCCAGTACAGCAGATTCCACACAAATCCTGCTGCCCCTGGCCACAAGCTTGTGTCCTACTTTACGAGTCCTCGGTTACTTATTTCACCTATTGCAAAGTTCCTGGCTCCTGTTGCGCACTGCCCTGCGATTTGAGTACACTGCGACTGCTTAGGTTTGTGGCAGGGCACTTGCTTGTTCCCATGGACACTGCTGAGCTGAGGAATCCCTGCAGATCTGTCACAGGTTCTTTTCTGACAGCCTGATCTGGCTAGTGCCTGAGCGGGCTGCCCGACCTGGGCAGGCATTTTGCTTAGCCTTGGGTTTTCATAGACCAGCACCTGAACGTCTGCTGATCATCACCGTGAGTTACTGCAGAATGTAAAGACAATGGCCAACTAAGCTAAGGTTGTGAATTTTCATTATGAGCGGGTGTACATGCATCCACCAAGGTTGCTTCCAAGCACTGCCAGTGACTAAGTCAATGTCGGGCCGATCATTTTGCATTCATGCAGTATCATGACCCACTGCCACTTTTCATGTGATAAATATTACGGCCACTATGAAAATGGCGCGCTTGGATGATTCAGCTGTCCACAAAATTGTGCACATGAGGCCTCGAGCTCAATAGCATGTCACGGTGCCGCACCTGCGGCATGGTTGCGATATCAATCAATTTTCAATACTGCATGTGCACTTTCTGGCAGGTTGCAGCTGCCCGCACTGACTTGGAATGCGGTGACAAACAGTCTTTGATATGGCTTGGTGGCGATGGTTAATGATTATTGGCTTCATGCATCACAGAACATCATGTATGATGCAGCTTGAACCCTGACTCTGCTCAAGCCAATGTTGCTGCAGCTGATCAGCCTTACGAGAGCAGGCCAAGATTGCATCTGATCAGACGAAGGCTTGAATAAACTTCCACAAGCTTCAAGGCAGGAAATCATGTTTACACCACTTCCAGACTCATAACTCTGATGAATGCCAGCCGAACAATCTTGCCCTTATTCCTGCATGCTGCACAAATGTAGTTGCAATTCAATTTGCATCTCTCTGGTTCTTCCTCAGGACGCACTGTCTGTCAAATATAAATGACTCACATCATTTCACTCAACCTCACATCAGCTCACAGCACCTACATCCAAGATGCACCCCCAATCAATATTATCATCAAGCTCTCATCTAAACACAATAGCGAAACAATTTAGCCATATTGTACAACATCCATCCAATCAGGCTTCGAGTCAGTGGATATTGGCCACACGTACAGATTGTAATGGCAAATGAACAGTTCTTCTCTGCATTCCCAAAAAAATTCGAATATGTTCCAGCTGCTTAGTAGGTCCTGTCCTCGTCGATTGCCTTGTCACCATACTCGCCGTTGAAGATAGCTGCCACAAGGAAGAATGAGATGAATGCCACCAGCAGAACAGATGCCTGGCCCAATGGGATACCTGTGCACAGATAGAAATCCAGTAAATATATCGGTTCGAGTCAGCTTCACAGGATCAATCCTGTGTGAACATTTCACAAAAGCACATGCACATCGTTCATCACATGTTCATTGTGCAGCACACGTCATGCTATGCCATGCAGCGTAGACCTGCATGTCAGCACAAGACTAATTGAAGAGCAAAGTGTAAAAGTGGTGCACCTGTCTCCAGGCCAAACTGTTTCAAGGGGCCGAAGCCTGTGACTTTCTCGCCAATGACAGCTGCCAGGAATCCCAGCTGCGCTGTCCGGCCTGCAACACACCAGATGCCAGGTAAAAATGCAAGTTCTCTGTGTTCTTGACAATATATGCGCAAGTGTACCACTGCTGTTGGGAATTGCTGGCAGTGATTCATTGCTCCTGCAAGAGATACTTTGGACTGATACTTCTGGCTACAAAGAGCTGTCATGGGTTTGATCATAATAGAATGATGAGGAGCTAAGGAGGTGTGCACTCACCAACCAAGAGCTCGTTCTTCTTTGAGAAGCCAAACTCAGTCGCGCCAAACATGTCGCCCGGGTTGCTGACTGCATTAATCTGCGGCTTCTGAGTGGGACCTGCATCATATGAAAAGTATCATATTCAGGCACAGGCACTCCACAGTGGTACCACAATGACCCCCTCAGATCTTACTGATACATAAAACCAGCGCACCAGCATCTGTATTGCATGCAAGACATTCATCCTCACTCCAGATGGGGAGGGAATTTGATTTACGGACCTGCACCGCGCTTCTTAACATCGCGCTGGTTTGCAGCAGAGAAGGTGGGGGACTTGGGGTTCAGGCCGCCAATGAATGAGTAGGCGACGGTCCCCAGCACCAGCAGGTCGACTGCATAGGAAGGCAGGCCGAGCTCCAGCTGCAGCTGGCCAAGCGGGCCTAGTCCTGTTGAGATCTAGCACACACAAGCAGAAGTTGCTCAATAATAGGTTTAGTAGAATTATTGGTCTGCATGCCAATCTATTTGCAAAGTACCGACAAACACAAGTACAGCACTACATAGGTTGAATTGAGGCCAGCAATCACACAAGAATTTGCTCTTTACTCGTGTTGGATCAATGAAAATATAGCTTAGTAAGAAGAGGCCGTCGACTGGTTCCTGGCTCACCTCTCCAAGGAGAGCTGAAGCGAATCCCAACATGGCAAGACGACCCTGGTAAATCATTTTATTGTTAAAAGTACTCTTCAATGATTGCTTAATCACGGTTTTGCAAATCTAACTCCAAAAACAGGATTTGCATTCCAGGTACCCGCAGTCGGATGCCGACAAGAGTCTCACCACAAACAATTCGCGGCGCCTGGTGAATGCGGGCTGAATGGGGTCGACCTCAAATGCTCCCTTGTCGTAGCCAGTCTTGCGGCCCTAATCAAAACAAAGAGACAATAACCTTTCTAAGTCTGGCGTTGAGACCACATGCATGGAGCACTGCCTTCTGTGCAGGCTCCTCAACAAGTCGACATCTTTATGGTGCTTCCGCTCCAATAAGACCCTTTTAAACAGATAGATATGACAAAACGTTGAAGACAGGCTCCCTCCAGGATTGATGATATTTCAGCCAGTGATGGTTTCCGTGATCAGCAGCCAGATGCCTCGGTCGCACCTTGTCCTCCTTGTTCCTTGTGAAGAGTGCCTGAGGGGTAATCTGGCGAGCGGATTGTCTGAACTTAATCACAGGTGCAAGTGCTGTGCGAGATCCAGTGAAGGAGCTGCGACCCAAACTGGACGCAACCCTCGACACTTCTTGGACGCGCTGCGTGCTGCTGGACAATGCGAAAGCCATGGTGAATCGCTTAATTTCACTGCGAATCGATTGTAAATTAGCTTCAAGATGTTTGATTATAGGGCTCTGCTCTCTTCGACCGTTTTGCCCAAAATAGAGGTGAGACGTGGTGACATGTCTTGTGGCCATTAAATTTTCCACCCTGGGAAGCTGCCCGATATGCAACTTCCCATGCACCTGGAAGGAGAGCTGATCCTTCTGAAATTCAGTCCCATCATAGACATAGACATAGAAAGGACTTTGGCTTTGAATATTGGCATAATGTACCAAAATTGATCCGAGCACCAGCGTGGTGACCTGTTTACACATATGCCACACAGGAGAATTGGTCAGTTGCCACAGCTTCTAGAAGATCTTCTGCATTCGCCCACACCAGAACACGCAGTCATTTACAAAAATAGATATACAGCAAATACAAATTCCCAGATGTTTGCAATTGCTCTAATTTGTCCCAGAGTTTGGCATTCCAACCGTTGACCGCTGCGCAGCCGTCCTTTGGGTCCTCTCCTTTGACTAGTTATAGTCTCTATGGTCTCTCTGCCCTCTGATCTTGGATTTGTCTAATGTCACGCCCGCACATGTTTTTGCAGTCCTTGTGGAGTGGCAGTGTATTGTGCTAAGGTCTTTGTTGAGGTCCAGCAAATGCTGGGCCTGCGGGCACGGGCAGAGCAATGCCTGCATTTGCTGGCCTGGGAATGGGCACTTTGGGCTCGCCAATGCGGAAGCGCTTCAGGAAATTCAGGAGCACCTCGGCAGTGCGCGCCGCTTCATCCTCATGGATTGCATGCCCCGCCTGCCACGCCAGTCAGAAGCAGCATCTCAGGATTGTTATTATTATTACACGCAATTCTGCCAGAGGCAAGGTGTGTCTATAGACAAGCATCTCAGGATGAGGCGCTGACATAGCACTAAAACATGTGGAGTATACTATGAGAAAGTGGAAAAGAAGACATCAAAACAGGGTGAGCGCGAGGGAGTGAGGAAAAAGGGCTGCCTCGCAGTGTGTACATCAGATGGAAGCTTTGCAAAATTGTGCTTCAGAAGGACCATCAGAGGCAGTGCAGACACCTGCTGCAGCTCTGACAGATGAAACACCACAGGAATGCGACAACGCATTAGCAACTCATCAAACTTCTTCTCTGCATCGTGCATGTACACTAGCGCACAGATTTAGCCTCTGTGGTGGCAAGAAGTTGTACCTGCGGTAGGAGCACCATTTGGAAGCGCCCCTGCATCTGACCGATGGTGAGTGTGCGGTCCAGGCGGTCAGTGCCGGCCAGCATCAGCACCTTTGGTGCCTTTTCACCAAGGAAGGCATCGCTGAGTCCTTCGTACCATCCCTGCCTACAACACATGCACATACCGCATGAGTCCCTTGATCCTCATATCACGAGGAGCAACCACCACTTGATGTCATCTGCAAAAGGGCCTGACAATCTGCAGCAATCCCAAGAATGTGACACTTTTCAGATGTGTCCAAGCAACGCCATATCACAAATAAAAACTCTCCATTGCACATCAGTGAAGGGTCGCCCTGTGACCTGCAAAAGGACATTTGAAGATTGCACTATAATAACAGCTCACCAGAAGGGTTGGCTGTTCTCCAGGGCAGTGCGCCATACCCATCGGCCACGATCTACAGCCACCTCCTTCCTCAGCATTGATGGCAGAGACACGGCAGCCGCCTCTGCATTCTTGCAGGTGCCTGTCAAAGCAGACGCTCGCTTAGTCACCTTTGCTAATCCTTTCCTGCCACATGACCCACCACATTTCATCATCTGGTATACGCCCTTCAACTTCATGAAGACAGTCTACCTCCTCACTGTCTGTGCAATATTCTCTACTTTCCTACTGTCTTGTTCCTGCTGTCAAATGGGTATGGGCCGAGGCAGGGCACCAAGGCAGCTTCTTAAGGGTGCGGCTGAGGGATTCACCAGAGTGCTTGGCCCATTCAAAGGCCACCTGCAGCGATGGGAATGAGGGCGGCCGGTTGCTAAGGATGGCTGACATGTGCGGTAGTGATGCCAGCGCTGTCCCTTCCACCACATCAATCACCACCAGCCCTTCCAATGAAGGTATCGCCTGTGCACACACCGCCATCACATGATCAGACAGGGCTGCTGCACATCACAATTTGGAAAAGAGGTATGCAGACATCGGCGCAGTGCAAGCGCTAGAGAGATAAAACGAAGGGCTGCTTTGCGAGTGCAATTTTCCAGCAACAATAGAATGGTCCCTCGGCCCAGGAGCGCTAAGTTGCTCAACATGTCCAAGTGTTGTTTGCATATCTCTTTCTCTCAAAGCCATCCCTGTTACAAGATTCCCTTGCACGACGGCAAGGCACTGCTGTGTTGCAGTGTCCAGTAAAGAGGTTATGCAGGTGATAACGGTAAAATGGCAGATGCTGACCTTGAGAGATGCGGCCCACGTGGCAATGGCGCCCCCCATGCTGTGGCCCACTATCACAGTGGGTGCCCTCTCTTCCCCCAGCACTGCTTCCCACACTGCCACAGCGTCCTGCATCATCACGGTGTACAATGTTCAAATCCTTTGATGCTTTGTTCCAACACACGAAACTGAAAAATCACATCATGGCAAGCTTTTGCAAATTCAGAAGGGCTGATGGTACCTTGGACAAGGTGTCTGAGGACAAATCCTGGTCGTCATCTGTGACTGTTTCCCCGTGCCCTCTCATGTCCAGCGCAACCAATCGATACCTGCCAGCATTGCACCAAAGGAAATTCCAAAATCTACTTCCGTCACTATGTGGTACAGAGCCTGAGCTCCGTTAGGTTCTCAGCAGCAACCATCTGGCTGCTGCAGAGACATCCCAACAGTTGCATTAGAACAGAGTGGGAACACATCTTCCTGTAATGCTCACCTGTCCTTTACAGCTGCTGCTACTAGCGCCCAGGTGAGGCCGGTGTATCCGCAGCCATGCAAACAGAATAGTACTGCCCCCTTGCTCCCAGCCATATATACCCTGGTGCAAAGAAGTCACAGAACAGACATGCATGCATGCTCGTGTCGTCCTGTCCAAAGTCCAGTGTTCAGCAAGGGTGGCAGCCCACCTGAATGTTCCTCCGCGCCCTTCAAGCCGCAAATCTCTCTTTTCATCAAAGTACTGATCCCATGTACCGATTTGTGGCTCAACAGCCTCTATCACAGAGGATGGGATGCCATCAAGCTCATCTGCGTTCTGGCCGCTGGTTGACACACCATCTGGAATGGTACCTGGGACAAGAGCAAGCACTTCTTTGAGCATTGGATCCGCCTCAGGTTATTTGCAATTCCTGATCATGAGTTTGATCAAGCAGTCAGCTGTACCAACTCCACTTACTAAGGGGACCAAAGAGGCTATCTGATGATCTTGCTTGAGCGGATGTCATCAGCGCCTGTCTCCTCAAAGCCGAAGCTCCTGTGCCAGTTGGAGGCCTGGCGGACGTGCGGGGAGGAGGTGGTGGCATGGACCCATGCGGCATGCTCATGTTGACAAATATATAATGTAGACGGTGACGAGCCAGAAATTGTTATTTAGATTCCTCTACAAAGCATTCTTGAAATTACAAGATTGCCCTCTAGTACTTATAATAGGTATATGAGGCATCACAGAAAAACAATTGTCCCATCGCCCTGCATGATCCTTGCCATCATCTGGTGTTAGGTCGTAGACACCCATCTCAACAGAACAGCAAGTAGGTTTAGTTTGCTTATACTTGGATTCGACCTGAGGGATCACAACGAGAAGAAAGCGGAGAGTACGAGTCAGGAAGTAAATTTGGAACGCCGCAGGTGCGCTGCGTAGGATCTTTCCCCGTTACCACACTAGCCTCTTCAGAAGCGCGAGTGTTGGGTGAGAATTTGAGAAACCCCGTTCCAAAGGGCACAGTTAAGGCAGACAGCCCTACAGTGGGCACCAAAGAAGCCGGGTTGTTGGCATACCGTGTGTAGCGGGGTTGCAGGAAAGGCTGCTTCAAGATGGGGTTGGCTTTCACAAAGTTGTTTGCCCGCCTCTTCTCCAAGAAGGAGATGCGCATTCTCATGGTAGGAGTTCTTCCGAAGCATGGCTTGCAATTTTCCATTGCATGTAGGAATAAATCTGACTTGATGCTTGTGTCTGCAGGTGGGACTCGATGCTGCTGGTAAGACAACCATCCTGTATAAGCTGAAACTGGGAGAGATCGTCACCACCATTCCCACCATTGGTGAGTTCCAACTCTTTTTGGAATTATGGTGTGCTTTCTGCATTTCTTAGGCTCTGAGGTTCGCACAAGGTGTATTGTCCCTCTTTTTGGTGATCACCTTTCCTTGGCTCAAGCACGCACTGCCTGCTTGTGGCAGGCTTCAATGTGGAGACCGTGGAGTACAAGAACATCAGTTTCACTGTCTGGGATGTGGGTGGCCAGGACAAGGTGGGTGGCTGTGAGATTGCATATTTTGCTGCTTCCTCTAATGCTGGACTCGTTCAACCAGAACGACGCATAACGCAGCATGTGCATGCATTTGCAGATCCGGCCGTTATGGAGGCATTACTTCCAGAACACCCAGGGACTCATCTTCGTGGTGGACAGCAACGATCGTGACCGTATTGGCGAGGCTCGTGATGAGCTGCACCGTATGCTCAACGAGGTGTGCTGCACAATTGGTCTTCTGCCTCTGCTGTTGCTGCACGGGATGTGTGCGGCCGAGCAAATGCTCTCTGATCTTCGTGTCGGCGTTTGCGGGCTTGACAGTACCAGAAGAGACCGGACTCGTGCGTTTGGGCGGTAAATCAGCCTTGTTTGGGGTTGCAGGACGAGCTGCGCGACGCAGTCCTGCTGGTGTTTGCCAACAAGCAGGATCTGCCAAACGCCATGAACGCTGCTGAGATCACCGACAAGTTGGGCCTGCACTCGCTGCGCCAGCGTCACTGGTGCGTTTTCCTGGCACACGTCCCCGATTGTACTGGGCTGCAGACTGCCTTGTAGGCTCATATCTGGCTGGCAATGTTGAGCATTGTCGTTTTCTTATGATGTCTTTACCTCGTGTAATTCTTGATCCAAGCATAAGGCCCTTGCCTGTTTACTGCTGCAACAAAGTTTGTTCAGTGATCTTAGTGACAGTGATGCAGCTTGCTCTCTGTCAGGATGTGATGGACAAGAAGATTCATTGCATTGCCTTCACTTACTGTGCCAATTTGACTGACAAGTGCCTTGGCTATCCAGGTACATCCAGAGCACATGCGCAACTTCTGGAGAGGGTCTGTACGAGGGTCTGGACTGGCTCTCAAGCAACATCGCCAACAAGGGGTGATGCACCTGCCGTAAAGATGCATTGATCTCTCCATCGGAAGGTCTCCTGTTTGTTCCATCTAGAGATTCCCAATGTAGCAGCAGGTGCTGAGACAATGACTGTGCCTCTGCAGATGAATGGCGTAGAGGGGGCTTGCCTGGATCTTCTCGGGGTGAAATGACCAGGAGGCGCCTGTTGTGTCCCCATGGGAGGGGTTTGTGGGATCTGAGTTGGGGGCACTGTGTGTAACACTGCTGCTCACACAGCTTTTGGCAAGGTTTTCACCTCCGTGGTGCAGAGGGACCCAGAAATACATGCGATGGGGTGGTACCTTGTTCATGGGGGTTTTTCTGCTGTGCGGATCTGCGCCTTGGATAAGGGACTGTTTGTCTTGAGTGTCAAAGAGCATCACATGGCTGTCGGTTGTTGGGATGGAGTCTGTGGCCGGACTCATCAGTCGCGTGCGTAAACCCTCGAACAATTGCACAATAAGCAGCTTCACTGTATCGCACGCTGACCTCACTGCTGGACAGACTGGCCGCAGCTGATTAGGTGTGCCTGCCTCTGTTTGCCCGGATGTGTTTAAGAGGAAATCATGTCTTTCCTTCCCTTCTTCAGTGCCTGATGCGCAACTCATGCAAACTGCTGGATCCCATATGCGGGGAAGCCCATGCACGACGATCTCATATATATTGGCTACCGAGTTGCATGAGAAGTGTGCGGAGACATATGCATATGCATGTGCACGAGGATCAAGTGTCACTATCTGCGAGTGCAATGCAAGACATCAGCAGCGGAATTTGAGAAGCAATATCGAAAAGCATTGTTTAAATGCTTTACACTATAGAAGGGGCGCCAGTCAAAGCATCTGCAGCAGCGGCTAATAATCCACGGGTCAGCTTACCGCCATCAAAATTCTTCATCCACCAGAAGGTCTTATCAATTTCATGCAGACAACTCATATGATGCATCTTCTCAGCCCTGTGACGTAACTTGTAGTGTTGCAAGTCAGAAATTCTGCTCAGTCTCTGAAACTCTGCAGACGACAATTTGCGCTCTCAAACATGCAGTGCACTTCTGTATCAACTGATACTCAGTAATAATCTTCATCTATCATACAGTTCTCCAAATAAGGGTGCAAGTACATCACTCGCGTTCCCATAGCTCTACTCCTCATGCACACCACTCATTTTCCCAAAAGCACATCCTCAGCCTCGTCCCCTGCAGCAAAACGAAAGTTATGCCATGAGTCACCTTACAGCCCAACACCACCAGTGGGTCATCATTGAGTACTCCACGCTGACTGCACATTTACAGGAAAAGCCCACGGCACACGAGTAGCTGCTCGCGCCACACATCAATGATCAATGGCCATTGTGGTCATTCCAGCCAAGTGCAAGCAGAGCTAGCGCGCAAGGTCATTAGCTAACGAATGGCGACCATACCTGCAACGAGCTTGTCTGCTTGTGGGCCTCTGGTAGCCGCACCCACAAGGTCCACAAACTGCTTGGCAACCACGCCCGCCTTGTAGGTGAAAAATCCCAGGAGCATTGGCAGCAGCTCCAGATCTACCCCTGTCCTCTCATAGGCCCCCAGCCCATGCCACCTGCACAAACACATGAGCTCAGTTTGCTGGCTGCTTCCCCTCCGATCCCATGCAATCCAATTGCTGATAGCCGCCTCGTTATGTGTGTCTCAGCTCCGCCCAGCCCAGCTCACACTGGGTATCACACTCAAGTCTCAACTTGGGGACTTGTGCACAGAAGTAAGAATTCGAAAGCAAGGTCTGATGCGACACTTGGACGCTCAGAGAGCAGCTGATCAGATCAAGAATGTGATGGAGCACAGTCAAGTGTTGGTGCTGCAGATGATACGCGCCTTCATTGAGTAGTACTAAACACAGAATTGCATGTCTGCACGTGCCTGTTGTAGGCGAGAGCCAGGATGACTGGGATGAGCAGCCGGGCCTGGCCGCCGGCAGCTCCCAGGAAGCTAGCGCCCATCCCATCCACGCTCCTGTTCAGCAGCCGCAGGTACATCAGCCCACCCACCGCTCCGAGGCCGTAGCTCGCTGCAGTGTCCTGCAAACAAACACAGATGTGGGCCTTTGGCTTACATGCCTCTGCAAGGGATTGGCGCCTCTTCACTGGGACAGCTAGGCCCTCATTCGATCCTCTCAATGCTTGAAATTTCCAGAGCACAGCAGTTTTCGTTGCCTCATCTGGCAAATCAAAACGCCTTGGTCGGCCGGGGCAGCTGGTGCATGATGCTGCTCATAATGTGGCGCCGCGCCTGACTCACAATTGGCAGAGCTGCTCCCTGGTGTCCCAAAGACTCATTTGCAGCAAGGGAGCTCGCCCATGCGCTATAAGTGAGTCGTGTGTCCTGAACACAAACTTTGCAAAAGAGAAGCTGTGGGAAAGCTGGCCTACAAGCTGTAAGCACATTGACTCTCCTGGACGTATTTGTTTTCAGCAGATGCGCGATGTCCTCCTGCCAAGATCAGGGTCTGCCGCCCGTGTTTTGCGTGTGCACCTCGAATGTAAACACTGGATGTACCCCTGCGCGTACCCGGCTGTAGAAGGTGAAGGCAGCTGCGAAGCACAGCGCGGTGGTGCCCAGGCTCCAGCGGAAGAGCCCCTGCTTCAGCGCCTCGTATGCTATCCTCTCCGCCTCTGCTCGAGCCGCCTGAGCCGCCACCTCATCGGGCGCTGTTGACGCCGTTGAGACCACCTGCACAGAGCAGCTTCCAACTGTTGCTACTCATACGAGTGTAACGTAGTTCACTGGACCTTATGGGACCAGAGCACTCAGTGCCGAATGCAACACTGTTGCTTGGATGTACTGCACCTCTCTGGTTGCAGAAATCCACTCTGCCAGTCAGAAAGCCATTGACATCCCAGAAAGGAATCCAGCAGGTCCCTGTGTCCTTAGAGCAGGTGATCTCCTCGTTTCCCAGGTGCCATTCTTCATGGCGAGCATGACATTCAACAGCTCCAGTTTGGATAGTACATCAACCAAGGGTTGCAGGTTTTATTTGTCACCTTCTTGCTGAATCTGCCAGAGCGCTCCCATCGCCGGGACTCCCCCTGTGTGGGCGCCACGTTCTCAAAGCCCGCCTTCTGCCGGCCCCTCTCGTACAGAATGCGCCGCTGCGCTGCCACACTCGCAGCCGCCGATGTGCCTATGTCAGTGCCACAATTGCTTTCATCAGTGCTCTCCGAGAGATAGACTCAAACCTGTTTGAGCAGTCTGAGACTCCACCTTGACATGTTCCAGGACCTCCAAAGGGTGATTGTATGTCTGATCCACATTCCATTATTTCACGTCAAAAACGGCTCTTTTTCTCTGGCGTTTGTGCTGTCATGCATGCATCTACTGTCTCATTGATCCACAGGTGCCACCTGAAGCACGCTGCGCACGCTGCGTGGGAGTCTGCTAGATAACGCTTGGGAGCATCCGGCGGCTTGTGTTGTTTGGCGAGTCTGAGAGCCCACCTGATCGTGAAGATGGGGTCGCCTGCTGTGAAGGCTCCTGTGATTTCCTTGGCCGCAGCTGTTCGCTGAGGTCCACATCCATGCTGCAATGGCATACTCACAGCATGAATACATCTGAATCATACTAGAGAGCTTATCGACAGCATGCTCACCACAAAGAGAGTGACCTGACTGACACTGCGCAATGCAGACAAACCACAGTAAAGCAGAGTCCCAGATATTCCATTGCGAAGGCATGATGCAACACATACCTATTCAAATCAGCAACGCGGCTGAAGCTGAGGCCTCCAGCACGAGCCTCCTCCTCCTCCTCTGCAGCCCTTTTTTTGGCTTCCTTTGTAGAAATCTCCAGATCCAGCTGCAGGAATTGATCCAGAAATAAAGGCAACGATCTGAGAGCACTGTGAGGCTGTTTCCAGGGGAAGCGATTTGCAGCAGAGCATATTGGATGCAATTGCCGTGAAAATTGGGGCCTGCAATCCCTCACCTGGTCTTTCCACTTGGTGTTCCAGATGAAATCAGAGGTGTATCTGCCGCCTCTCTTTGTGTAGTCGGCCTGCTCAACGCCCCCAAGTGGAGAGTACACTTCAGCTGCACTCAGCACATGAGCACATCACAGCACAGCATTGGCAATGGAGAATAAAGACACTACCATGTGGGCCATCAGCAGGACCAAAGCTTGTTCTCTCGTTATGACAGTATCACGTGCTGTACTTTAGCCTCATCCTGAGTTTGTGATGGTCTCACAAGACACAAGCTTGCCTTGTACAAACCATGAAAATAGGTTTGCATCACAACACGAAACCTTTGGTGAGAGAGTGCAGATAACGAGCAAGTCCGGGAATAACATCGGCAGCTTGGATTACAGCGGCTGCGACGTACCGTGTGGATCTGCGTCGGCAAAGTACCCACTTTTCGGTGTATTCCTTGCCTGTAGGTGGGTTTGTGACCTGCCGGGACAACGCCCTGACCCGAAAAACAATTCTGTTCTTCCAAAGTGAATGTGAGAACAAGGCATTTCAAGGCAAGCTGCTGCACTGGGTGTCCTCATCATTGTTGACTGATGTTCAATCACAGAATATGAGGTTGTGAGGACGCAGATTCTACAAAATGGTGCAGAATGCTGGAAAGAGGATCACATGACGTCAGATGACGTGCACGTGGCAATATAGCCGTTCTTAAATTGGCAACTGTCCCCTTTCCATGCAGGATTGCCCCACACCCGGGCAAAATTGTTGAGTTGGAAAGGTGCAGAAGGCCGATAATATACCACTGGGAGATTTTGCTTGTGTTCAGGTCAATTGCGTCTTTTGCGTCGTGCACCGACTCCTTGTTCAGCTTCTAATCTATTTTTGTGGAGTTTACTAGAAGATACCAGCTTGATACAACAGACACCAATGGACGTTGAGGAAGAGGAATTGCATTCCTTATACTTGTGGGTACGTCCAGGATCGCCTGAAGGTGTTACTGAACACTGCGCCAAGACTGACCTAAACAATGGCATGTGCGGTGTGGCAGGTAGACGAAATCCCCCTTTCTCGCCCGAAGAGAAACATCGCAAGGGACTTCGCAGACGGAGGTATTTCTCCACGTCTGTGCTTGCTATGTAAAGCAAATATTCTTGCAAATATGCTGGTAGTCTTGGACATCTACTAAGATTGTGCCTCTGCTCACAGTTCTAGTTGCTGAGCTTGTGCACCATTACTTCCCAAGACTGGTGGAGCTTCATAACTACAGGTACGTGCAATTGGCGAGCCAGGCTTCCCACTACCTAAGCACTGCTTACCATCTTTCTATATACCTAAGCTTGGACAGCTTTTGCTGCATGAGAAGGCATTTTGTGACGCCACATACTCCAATTGTGAGTCCTGGTATTAATCGCACTTTCTCGTTGTGGGCGCAGTGGCGCGCATGGGCTGGCCCAGAAGATGTATAACTGGTGCACCCTCAACCAGAAGGTCTTCAAGCGCCTTGGCTTTGTTGTAGCCAAGAGCGAGTGCCAGGCATGCGCCAGCTGTCAGCCCGGCGCCATAGAACGAGTTCTGAAGCTGGTCAGATCGCGACTCTCAAGATTCGCTGAGGGACCCGGGTGTCTGCTATTGGACTCTACGGTAGGACATCCGGATCCTCTATTTCCCATCCTCTTATACAAATCCTCCATGCTTGCCTCTGCTAAGAGGAGCGGTGACCATGTATCACTGAAGTCTTCACCTGTGAAAACCATACAGGCGCACAGCAATGGTGCGTGTTCCATGAGAGCGTCTGTGGAGGACTTTCACGATGCAGACATGGGTTCAGCAGCAGAGCAGCACGTAGATCTTTATCTGCAGGATAACAGCAGGGCAGGCGAAGCTCCTGCAGGACCCATCGATGACGCCCTGGCTGAAAAGGAAGTCAAGATCAAGAACTTGACATCTGCCAATGAGGTACCATATCCGCCTTCGGCCTGTCGCATGTGTAATTCTCTGGTCTTGAGTAACCAGATGACCTCTAGGTGGGGTTGCCAGTGCCAGTTATGAGTGCTGCAGCTGAGACTGCTTGATCGGTGCACATGTCAGAATTGACTGTAATCTACAGAGGTCATGTGCGTTCTGCAGGTGCTGGAAACAAAGGTCAGGAAGCTGGAGCAGCTGGTGAGCTTGAAAGACATCAAAATAAAGACGCTACTTGCAAAGATGAATGCTGCTGGACTATTTTGACCAACCAACGAGCAAAAGGAGAAACAACTTGGTTCAACAAGTCTTTCTTGTTCATAGCTCGGCACATGCAAACGGATTGCAAAGTATTTACTCAGTGACCAAACTGCACCTTTCCTGTATATGTTAGTCCATGCATCATTGCCTACTGTTCGTTTCAAACTGACAGCTTTTTGCAACTGATTGGTGAGCTGAATTGATTTCCAGCATTAAGAAGCGCTGCAGGCACATGCGCATGTGCATAGTGTTTTGCTTACTTGCAATTGCTGCAATAGCGCAACTTGCTTTATTAATATCACGAAAGCATTTGATCAACATCACTTGTAAGATTTGCAAGTCGTTTCACCGGTCCCACTGTCACACTTGACATATCCAAAAGAATAACCTGCAGAGATGCCCCATGTGCAATGGAAACCCTCACTGGGAAAATGTCTGTAAGTAATCGCTGTGAGCCATCGCTGCGCCGGACCAATCCGGTACCAGAGCAAAAGAAAACGATCATGGAATACCCAGCGTAGTTGCCATGAGATTTACGGAAGTCTAGGTGGCTGCGACAGTAATCTTGATTCCAGGAGTCCCAATTGCTGCTTTGGGCTGGGTGGCTCCTGGCACTGCCGCTGCTCCTGCGGCTGGTGTGGCTGGCTCAGCTGGCTTCTGCTGCTCCACCAGCACTTTGCGGCTCTCATCATAGTACTGCAAATGCACCAATTTCAGCTCAGCCTAGCAAAAGCAACGAAACATGCAGGTTGCAATCTGAATGAACACCTCTCTCGCTCAGGAATAAATAAGTAGAAACTTTATTTAAACCAACCTCTGCTTAACCTCAGCAACAAAATTAATTCCACCTTGAGGATTTGCACGGTGGAGAGCAACTGGTAATACTAAACCCAGTGATTGGCAGCAGGAGAATTTGCAATATTGTACGCATGCACAGCAATCAGGTCAGCATCAGGACACACTAGGAAATTGCAGGATGGCATGTTGCACAGGAATTGCGGCACAAGAAGGAGACACGTGCCCACGTGTTCAAATTGCACCAAACATAAAGATGTTGCATGCAGCGCACCTGATTGGGGTGGTTGATGCCCTCGTCGCAGATGCAGGAGTGGCGCCCCTCGAACTCGGCCATGCATGCCAGCTGGAAGTGCCCGGCCCTGGCCTTGGCCACAACTTCCTCCACGCTGCGCTGCGGCAGCCGCATCGCGCGCAGCTGCTCTGCCAGATCCGCCGGACTCAGCGTCTTGTAGGGGCACCCGAACGCCTCGTTCTGCCAGCGCACATCCCCCGTAAGCCAGTTTATATAAAAGTGGAGGACGTCACATCCACATGGATCAGATCAGGCTCCCTGTGGAGTCATAGAGTAATCTCGAATTTGCCCTGGAATCACATAAATGGCATCAGAAGCTGGGCAAGTCTCCAGGATATCATAGCTGGTCCTGCTGCATAGTGATCATGCCTTGCAGTTCCTACATGAGTCTCAGCATGCTAGCTATGCAAAAGCAGAGCTGCTATTTAACAAAAGTCAAGAACCCTTTTGGCTATCAGCTGAAGGAGAAGTTGAGATGTCAAAACAAGGAAGTCACTGTCAGGAAGTGATGCCTGCAAGATGGGAGCATGTGGGGCAGACCTTGGGAACTGGGATGCTGATAATCTTCTTGCAGGAGTAGGGAGTGTAGTCGGTGCGCTTCCCCTCCTTGGCATAGTTGTAGCGCACATTGTACGCGTACTCCTTGTCAAATTTCTCGCCTTGGACCTTGGGTGCAAATTCCGCGCGCCAGAACTTCATGGCCTCCTCCAGGGGCAGCCCAATGCCCTGCCCACACCCATCCGTTACTAAACTACATAATCATTACGTGATCGGCAAAGTCAGAGCAAGAGGCCCTCTCGCATGCACACAGGGTGTCAGCAGCCACAGCTGCGGGGCATGAAACGTCCGGAGGCTAACACTGTGCATGCAACGTATCAGCCTTGCCAATCCAGGAGCAGTCAAAGACATGCCTGATTCTGGATGAGCTGGATGCTGAAGATCTGGCACACCAACGCTCTCTACCTCACAGCTGCTCCATGAAAGCAGGGCAGGCTTGATGTGTGGGTACAGTCAGTGGTTAACAGAAGGGGAAGGTGTGTCCAGTGGGCAGACCTTGAGGAAGAGGCCCAGCTCCAGTCGGCCGAAGTGCTTCAGGTGGGAGTCTGCGTGCAGGCGGCTGTGCATGTTCTGCGCAAAAGGCAAGCGCAAATTGAGTAGACTCATTCAAAAGCCAGTACAGACCCACAGAGCATCAATTGACTCCAGATTGTCCCATGCACCAAGCAAGGCTAGGTTTCTGACAAGGGTGGGTGAGCGGCAGGCACCTGCATGCAGAGAGGGAAGGACTGCTTGGCCAGCGCTGGTAGCTGTGCTGCAGTCACCACCTCCTGGGGTCCCTTCTCCCCATCGCCATAGTCAGGGCCCAGGTACCTGGTGGAATCAAGGAGAATCCTGAGTCGCTATGCATGCAACATACATGTATCTTGACGTGTCTTTGATTGCAAAGTACTGTCGACGAGCGCTATGAGCGCCATGCTCCTGACAAACTTAGTTTATTGTTTGGCAGAATTAATGGTGCATGGGGGCCGGTCTAGCAGAAAGTGGTAGTGCAGGCCACAGTTTTATCCATGGTATTCACACAAATCCAGGACATTAGCTTCAGACGCAGACAGGAAGCATACTTTGGATGCGCACCTCTCGGACAGCGACAGAACAACGGGCGTGAGCCGCTCGGCTTCCTCGTCGGCGATGCTGGCCGCCCAACGGCGCGCGGTGAGCGCGAGCGAATGGCTCAGCCCGGCGCGGAAGTGGCCCACCACGAGCGAGGCCACCTCGTGCCGCGACACGTACGCAGCGCCGCCGCGCAGCAGCACTCGCCGCGACGCCACCAGATCCGGCACCTGCTCGAACGGCACCTGCGGCGTCCCCCAACCAGTCAGCGACCTGTGACTATGAGTAACGCCATCATTGATAAACAAGCTGTCACGAGATAAGAGGCAAGTTATGACTGCAGATAAGCTGTACTTGCAGGGCGCGTCACAAATGAATCAATTCCGTATCAATTTTACGTCCCGAGCAAGACCCAAGCAACATTAGCGACATCTGCTCCCGCTAGACCACATATCGAAGGGTGACACACCCTCTTATGTACATTTATGTCAAAGGCAGGAAGAATGCTCCTGCCAACCAGGCATGCTGGGACGCTCCCTGCATTTGATGCAGTCCTTCTGGACTGCTTGAAGAGATCACAGGCACCAGTATGTGGTAAAGCTTTTCAGCAACAGTATAAATGACACCAAAAATAAATATATTGAGGGGTCCTTGCCTTGAAGAAGGTGTCCTTGGAGGTGGGCTGCTTGATCTCGGCGGCAAAGGCGAAGTTGCCGACAGACTCCTGCACCTTGACCAGATCGGCCTTCAGGCCCTGGTACTCCTCTCCGGCCAGCGCCTCATATGCAAAGCTGTGCCGCCTCATGAACTCAACCTGCACCCGAGATTGAGTGTTCATGACTTTCACGTGCCCGGCAACCTTGTTAGAGGCCATCACATGTCATGTAGCATCAGGTCCAATACACTCTCCACTGGAAGCCAAGTTGGGAAAAGCCTGATCACTGGGCCCTGCATTGCTTAATACATTGGAAGCTTAACTTTGACTGTGGTGCCAAGCCTCTTCGGCAATGCGCGTCAGAGACAGTGATGTATTGGAGATCATGTCCGTGGCAGCTCACCTGGCTCGTGGGCATCTCGTTCTTGAAGCGGCAGCGGAAGAGCTCACACTCATGCTGCAGGAACCAGCGGCGCAGGTCCTCTGTCCTGCAGTAAGCCAGCCGCAGCACAAAGTGCGAGACAGCATCTTTCCACCTGGTTTCCTCAGCTGTTGCGCATTTGAGATGCTTCTCTGCCAGCTGGATCACCAACCCCTACATGTGCACAGCTGTAAGGTCCCGCGTGTAGCATCCATGACGAATGGTTGCAAATACAAAGGCTAATAACATAATAGCGCTGCGATATATGTGCAGGAGAGATGCACCTGGAGCTGATCGCCCTTGAATCCCTTTGTCTTTGCGTCCTCAATACCCTTTAGCACTGCGAGTCACACAACATGTTGGTTGTCTTGTGTCTCGCGGAGGAGACGGGATATCTCAATTGTGAAATGGTTTTGCTCCCCAAGATTGTTGATGCTGCGCATTTGTGGTTCGCAACTCCATCGTGGAAAGTGGGGCATCTTGCTCTATAGAGTTGTCCCCTCTCGTTGATGTTACGCCAATCACTGTCGTGAGAACGCACTCACCTCTCAATCTATCTATTGCGAACCGCTCAAACTCTTCTATGCAGACCTCTCCACTGGGTGAGTCCTTGTATAGGCTGATACGTTGATGGGTCACATCCTCTGCAGGTACGTCGGCAGCAGGCTTGATGGTGCGGGCCTGCTGCCGTTCCAGCCATGCGCTCATTCTGTGTGCTTTTGGCTGATTGATGGCCTAAGTGAGCGTCTCAAGCTCTTGCCAAGGGAGTCCCTCAGCTGACTCGATTTCACAGGCACACACAATGCCTTCCCTAATAGCCTCGATGGAGCGTATTTACAAGCATTCAACACTCTGACTGTATATATGATGTTCAAGCCAGTCCAAAATGCTTCATTGATGCAAGAAGCAACATGATGTTGACACCTCAAGCGGAACTGGACATTCACGTTGCCTTCTACTTTGGCAATGGATATTAAGTTCTGTAGATGTAGGATTATCCTTGACGACAAAAACCAATGAGCATCAAACTTGGGAACTCCCATTTCGAAGTGCAAGATTGGAATTAGTCAGTGGCAACGTCATCGACCAGTGAAAGTCATCAAGAATTGTTGTTGGTGCGATCTCGGCTATTCTGAGGCTGATCGATCACGATTTGAAAGTGAGACTGTGCCAATAGCCCCTCTATCATGAGTCAGCTTGTGCAAGATCTCAAAACCTGGTACCACTCGCTAATTGCTAGAATTGCTGGACTGCTTTCGGTGAGCCTCTTGGCCGTTGGGCATCAGAAATATACAAGTTGCATAGTAAACATAAAAGTATGAAGCAGAGCAGACAGTTTCTGCTGTCTCGATGCGTGTATATTTTTGCCTTGACGCACTTCCAGTCAGCTTAGGTGTGCGTGAGATTGGACCCGAATGGACAGGTAGCTTGTACTGTGTTCTCAGAATCCCAGTAAAACTCTGGTGCTGTGCAGGGAGCTTCGCCAGGCACCTTACAGTTGACAGGCGTGTTGGGACTGGCAGCCTTGCTGTATGGGTATTATGCTCTGAGAGGGCCTCCCAAACCAAATGCAGACGAGCAGAGGGCAGAGCACATCGCCAGAGCACCTGGTAACTCGGCAGCAGCTGCTCCATCGTCAGATAAGGCGCACAGAACTGGTGCACCTAGCTCAGCAACAGCACCATCCACGCAGGTGTCAGGGACTCGTCATCGTTAGCTTTGACTGATTCATCGTGTTGATGATGTACACTTGATGACGATGACACCTGTTTGTTTGCTTCTTTTCTTCTGCCAACCTGTTATTGAGGTCCGATTTGTTACAGGTGCAAGGAGAGGAGAGGGGTTTGGCGTGGGCCGTGAGATCTCAGCTGTCAGGCATCCGCAGTGTGACAGTCTCGGCGCCTGGAGTTCTGCTGGAAGAGTGGACGCCCACTGATTTGGAGGTCTGTGTCATGCCATTACAGGGCCGCCATTTAGACCCCCAAGTCGCCATCTTCACAGCGTATAAAATTCTTGGTGCCAATAGCAAAGATCATTACACGGTGGCGCATTCACATGCCAATCAAGGTGATGAAGTAAAACACAACGCATGACCATCACATACCTTCTTCAAACTCTCCCGCATGTGGTGCAGGAATCAGCGGTGCTGCGGGAAGATGCAGCGGCTGTCTTGCGGGAAATGCTAAAAACGGCGAACGTCTATGTGTTGGCCCATGTGATAGATGACATAGGCGAGGCGACAGTGAGGGGGGCGCTGGAGGCGGGGGGTCTGGTGGGCCCAAGTGTTGGGCAGATCCCTCCCCACAGAGTGCTCTTCTGCTCGACGCTAGAGGGCAAGGTGTCCATCGTGAGGCAGCTCGAGCCGGAACTCCATATTGACGGTCACCCTCAGACGGTGCGATTCCTGTCATTTCCCAGGCTTTGGTTGATCGGCAATATTTGCAGTACCTCAGAGGCGTGACCTATCTGCCATGCACCAGCTTGACATCTAGACAGCTTGCATGCGACTCCCTCAGGAACAATGACCCAGACTTGATCATTGATAAGTGTTGTAGGGCTTTTCTTTCGGTGCTATTTTAAAGTGTATTTCTGAGTATGCGGCAGTTCCAAGAAAAAGATTTTTGCTGTGCAGATTGAGGCCCTGAAGCGCTTCATGCCACAGCTGCTTCATGTGAGGCATCCCAAAGCTGAGGCGGCCGGGGTGGGGTCTCCCAATGTAGGTTCAGCTGGCAGCTTGATTGAAGTCTTCATGACCAGCTGACATGGCATCCTGAAGTGTACATTATGGCCATGAACACTTGAAGCTCCGAGGAGTTTTCAAGCTTGAGTTGACGTCAACGTCGACGTGAGGTTGGCCCGTGCCGGGCACCATAAAATAGCATGCTGATGTTGGACCAGGCAATATGCCTTCAAAACTTCTTATATTGAACAAGTGCACCTGGTCTTTGAGTGGTGCTGTTGCCTCTTGCTTGTCTGCCTCTGCTCATGTAACCATGACTACAGCATGACTGCCCCTCAGACCAACTTGGCAAGAATCCAAAGATTGGAAGCATACATGCTCTACAGTTAATGCGATCACAATTTGGCGATCACGAAAAGGCATATCACAAATAGGCTTCCCATGAGCTGTCGTTGCCAGTGTGCAAGAACAAGAACAATAACAAGCCCTTCACAACGGCATGCCATGATTTTCGTGATTCACAGAAGGCGTTGGGCGCACTTTCTATCAGCAAAAAAACACGCTACATAATTGCATTCTCGTACGATATCATATTTTGACCGTACAGTGCGCGTGCATGTCCTGATCCAGGGGGCCAGGGATGGCAGAAGCACCTCACCATCTGGCTATTCGTGAGCAGCTCAATGAGCAGCGTGAAGCCTTAGCCGATTTGGATGCATTGCTTCAATCCTCTGAGGACGACAATGGAGAGATCCAAGAGGTTCACACCTTCTGCCCAATACCCTGCAATGCAAAAATGGGAGTTGTGCAGTGTGCAGTAACCTTTCCTATGACATGACTTGCATACGGGATACACAGGTGAGGGATCAGCTCTATGAAGCTGTACAAGAGCTCGAAGCAATGCTCGCTGATGCAGATGCCCCAGCCCAGGAGCCAGATCTGGAAGGAGCCGAGGAAGAAGCCAGCCATGCTGGTCTTGGCTTCAGGTAAGACCTGTTAGATGCACTTGAAGCTCATTGCTAGAAGCTCACAATGCGCGCATCTCATGCTTCAGGAGGTGTGCATCACTTACCGCAAGCATAGATAGGTCCTGACAAGCAGGCTGTGCTGCAGAGATGCATCCGTAGGGGCAAGTAATGATGGCAGCGATGAGGATGAGGAGTACGACGAAGAAGAGGAAGAGGAGGACATTGGGGACGCAGCAGAAGAAACAGCATCTGACAGCGCTGTGCCTTCAAGAGCCACTCTTGCCATGGCAGCGGATGCAGAAGCAGTCGCTCAGGTCACACCTCATCTCAGACACTCCCTAACTCACCATCCCACAGAGGAATGTATATTTGAGTTAATTTGCCCCATGCAATTTGGCAGCGCTGTCCTTAGAGTCTGCCGACATGCAGATTCAGAAATAAGAAGCAGATCACTTCTGATGATGCATGCCTCAACAGAGACACAAGAAATTAATAAGATTTCGTGCAGGCGGCGCGAGCCGGGCCCCAGACAGAGACAATCCATTTTGCGACGTGGGAGGCGCACACAAGGGGTGTCGGATCGAAGCTCATGGCTGCCATGGGGTATCGGAAGGGGACAGGCCTGGGATTGCGCAGAGACGGCAGCGCTGCACCCATCGAGGTGCGCATGTGATGCAGTCATATGCCTTTCCACATATATCCTCTTTCAACCTTTCAGCCTATCAACTGATGGAAGGTCTCAGACTGAGTAGAATTAAGTAGGTCGAGATAATGGATCCCTGGAACCCTCAGGGTCGGTGCAGTAGATGTGCAGTGCTGCCAGGTGCTTACATCAGTAGAACATCTTGGTCGAATGGCCTCGCGCCTGCTGCGGCCCCTCTTGTTGTTTTTTGGGCAGAGAGCATCGGTATGCTATTATGAGGCGCATTGAGCCCCCCCCCCCCGGTTGCATTGCCGCAATTAGACCTGATGGCTTGCGCTGTGCAGGTGCAAATGCTCAGGAAAGGGGCAGGCTTGGGCGTGGAGGCACTCAGCAGAAAGCTGAGGAAGAGCAGCCGCGGCGGCGAGCGCAGCAGGCGAAGGTACGCCGCTGTTCAGACTGGCACAAGCAAATTGAGAAAATCGTGCATGCAGCCGGAACTTGCTTAAACATATTTGAAGGCTCCAAGGCACCGTGAGCAGTCAGGCATGCTAGGGGGAAGTCCAGGTCTGGCATGGATCTTGGAGCTTGGATCGGGCATACAGCGCCATGTGCTTCTTTGCAATGGTGGCATGCTGACATGGTTGGAGGTGGGCAATCACAGGAAGCTGGCGGATGCGGCCCGGGCTGCCAGGGAGGCGGAGAGGGACTCTCAAACGCAGCTGGAAATTGAGGCAGGGCAGCCGGGCCTCTTTGCTTTCATCAACACCCGACTCACAAATGGACAGCAGCCTAGCGGGCAGGCTTCAGCAAACAGCGGAGGGTCAGCTGCGCACTGCTCTGATATCTGGCACACAGTTGCGGTTGCTGCACACTATCACAGGTTGTCCTGTGATGTGTGGTGGCAACTGAGGCATTTAATGTGCAGGAACAGCAAGGACAGCAGTACCAGCGGAAAGAAAGAAAAGACTGAGCACAAGCAGATGGACAGGAGGGCTCTTGCTGCACAGCAGGTGTGGCATTGCCAGCGCATTGAAAATTGATCGTGATACAAGTGTTACCATCTTTTGTGGGAAGACAGCCTTGTGCTTTTAGCCTTACAAGTGCAAAACGAAGTGCAGAACTTTCTCCGCTGTCACAGGATGAGGTTGCTGTTGTGCGGGACAAGCTGGCACGACTGAAGCAGATGGCTGCACGGAACGCCAACGATGGAGTCATCAGTGCTCAGGTACTTCCCCAGAGCGCCCCCTAATAAACTATATTGTGCTTTCAAATGCTTTAAATCCCACTGTACTATTCACTGGATTAGAAGAATATGCACTTGGCAGTGCTTATGGATTGGGCTGCAGGCTGTGTATAATGTGTGGCTGCAGGTGAAGCAGAAAATACAGGCTCTTGAGAAGGAGCTTGCAGCGGCAGAGGCAGTGTCACAGCATGCCCACAGAGCAGTGCATGCCAAGGAGAAAGAGAAGAAATGGCTAAAATTCTGAAAGGCATTGGGAAGTGGCGTTCGGAACAATTTTCACTGGAATGGCTGAGGCCCATTCACTTGGAATTCTTGTATAATGCTGTGCTCTACCTTATGTACAACAACACACAAATACCTAATTTGCATTACTATTCATAGGATAGTATAATATAGACGATTGCAGTGCTTGATGATGTAGAGCTTGGTACACAGAGTAGGATGGCAGGGCACCCGAGTAATCAAAATCCACTACTTTAGTGGATGTAAACGCTACTAATGTGGTGGATTATTGGCAATCAGGGGCCATGCCACCTGGTAACACATTCCATAGCATGCCATTTTGGTAATAAAAATTAGGCCTTTCGTCAGTAAGCATGGAGAATGATCAGTGATGTGTTTCTGTACCGAGCATGTCACTTATTATTGCTAGGATCCCGTGTTACAAGTGTGGCAGTGACAAGGAGAAGCTTCATCCGAACTGCGCAAGTTCAGAACGCTTGACTCGCTGTGTAGGTTGTGATTATATTATCAGATTCTATTCAGAAGGTCTGACAAAGGACGAATACGGCCACGACGCTGTTGCCGACTGGGTCTTCAAACAAGAGGCAAGGGTGCCATTGCAACGTTGCAATGCCGTGGACTCAGGGGTCAGATATTTCCATCAGAGCTGCCTTGGCCGAGATGAACCTTCAGCATTGTCCAGAGCTAATGGCTACTATTCTATTCGCGGGAAGATTGAGAGCGAAAAGTATCCAGAGCTCAGAAATATTACCCACAAATGCTGTGAGGACTGCGTCATTGCAGCCCAAACCAGGGGCAAGGATCTCAATGAGGATAAGTTGAATTTTATCATGCATCAAGGAGTGATTGGTAGGTCTCAATAAGCACTCCATCTTTGAAGGTTGGGAACACCTATGTTTTGAATCTCCCCATGACCTTGACACAGAGTAACTAACTCTGACTTTTGCGTTGCGTTCAGAGGCAGAGACCGGCGACTTGGAGAGGAAGAGAGCCGATAGGCGATCAAGCAAGATTCGAGGCATCATTGGTGGTCAGCAGGCTCGCCTCGAAGACAATGGGACGACTTCGACCGCCATCTTTGCAACGAGACACCTCAATCAGAAAGTCAGCTTCAGCAAGAGCGCCAGCAGATTGCTGGCAGCAGTGCCCAACCTGAACAGGACAGTGATGGCAGCCTCGTATCTCCAGGCCAGTGGACTTCAGGCAGGCCAGACAGCCCAAGGACAGGCGCAGAGGGGCGCCACAGCTGCAGCAGGCGGCATGCAGGGTCCCGCAGCCCCAGAGGCAGAAGCTGCAGGACCTTCGCAAGCGCCACAGCCAGGGATCAGCCGCAGGCAGCTCAGCGCTCAGGGAGCCGAGCAGGACATCGTCCAACGGTGGCTTGCGTTCAGCCTCAAGGCCTCATCCACCGTTGCAGAGCTGAAGCGGTTCCTGCTTGACAGAGGCCAGCGGCCAGTGATCTTCACCAGAAGCGCGCTGCTCGCCAGGGTGGAAGGGCTGCTTAGATTTGAGCATCCAGAAGGTAGCTATCCATGATGGCTGTAACGATCAGCGCCTACACATCTTATGCCTGGCAAATTAATAACATGTCCTCACCATTTCCTCTGGACATCTTATGCGCTGGCAGCTAATGGATGCTGTCATGCAGGTGGACTGGAGCCGAGTGCGGCGGCGGTTGAAGAGATCACAGCCGCTGTTGAGGCCGCAGCCCAACCGGCACGGCAAAGACCAGCAAGGCAGAAGGTGGGCATCTTGTTGAGGATCCTTATGTTTGCATGTGCTTTGTGAACGCCTCTCATCTGTCAAGCTGCTGGTGCAGTGAAAGCGAGTTTGGCTGAACACACTGATTGTAAGTTATTGTTGTTACAGGCGCCGAAGAAGTCACAGCTTCAGATGGAAGCGGCCAAGTCCATTGTTAACAAGGGTGAGTGGGCGCTCTCAGCTGGAAGCTCTGATCACCTGGTGACTGTTGCACACCCGAGAAGGCTTTAACTTCTGCAGATTTGATGGAAGGGAATGATAGCCAGTCAATTGAGGCGCTCACATGTTTGCAGGAGTGAGCAGCGGCCTGCCCGTGGTCAAACTCAAGCAGATTGACGAGTTGCTCTGGACCTTCGACAAGTGCCACTACCTGCCGCAGTTGGGGGAGAGCACTCCCTCGATTGGTGTCGCTCTCTGGGCCGTCACAAGCACGCTGCACCGCGACGGGGAGTTCCCAGCACGCAACTTGTCCCAGTTGGGTCGTGCTGCCAAGGCTCCTGTTGGTTTGGTGCGCGCTGTGCAGCCAGGCAGCGATGGCACCCAGCTGCATATGGAGATATGGTTCCTCGAGGCGCGCGTGCAGACAGATAGCCAGGGGGAGCCCGAGGCAGCGGTGGCAGGGGAAGGCGGTGGGGCACGCGCAGATGTGGAGGGACGGGGTGCAGGAGAGGCAGCCACCGGTGGGGGCGTGCAGGAAGGGCATGGGCGGGGTCGGGGCAGGAAGCGTGGCCGCCGCGGCACAGGCGGGGCGCGTGGCAGCAATCGGCCCAGAAGGGGCAGCCGAGGCAGGCTCAGGCGCCCAACCGCCAGAGCCGCAGAGTTTTGGGGTCCCCCCACTGAGGGCGACGAAGACGAGGTTGGGAACCTCTTCTCTGAGTCAGATGCGGATGACCAGCCAGCGCAGCAGCACAGTGACCCAGCAGAGCCAGAAGGGCAGGCAGAGGGTGTCCTGCCTGAGGCCAGCGAAGTGCCGCCGCAGCCCACAGCTTGTGCGAGCCAGTCGCCGTTGCACGGCTGCTTGCTGGCAGATGAGTCGCCGCAGCCTGTGCCAGTCCCCAACGTGCGGCTGAGCATGCAGGGGCATGCCGCATCGCCGGCCAAAATGGCTGTGCTGGTGATCGACTACCGGCACATTGCAGCGGCCCTCTGTCATCCAAAACGGCTGAAGGTGGCTCTCGGAGGCGCTGCCGGGAGCTCGCCCATGAACGTCGAAGAGGCTGCAACTGGTGTGGCGCTGGCAATGTTGCTGGCTGAGGAGCAGAATGCGGCGCGCGCCGGAGAAGGTGAGGAGCCATCATGGCTCTCTTTGTCCTGGCTTATATGATTCCACTCACAGTGAGTTTCTAAGTTATAATGCCATGCGAATCATACCCCGAAGGTTTATCGACAGGTAATTGTCAGCAATAAGCTGACGACAGGCATGTGTTGTCTAGGTGGGAGTGCTACGGCAGCGGAGCAGTCGCAGTCAGCCTTGGAGCAGTCACCGCTGTCTGGCGCCATGGTCTTCTTTGATCCTGCTCTGGAGCTCGCTGCCGATGAGGAGCCAGCTTCCTCCTACCGCTCTGCAGATGGCCCAGCAGGCATGTACAAAATCCTGCTCTGTCATTCCTGTGAACTTGTCAACTGACTGCTCTCATACGCTGGTGTAGTTGATTTGTTCATGTCTTGTCTCTCAATGCTGAAGTGTCTGCTTGCCCCTTTGCCTGAGCCATGCCTGTCTTTCACGCACCCTGCTCCACATGCTGTGCTTGCCCCTTTGCCTGAGTCATGCCTGTCACTCACGCACCCTGCTACATATGATGTGGTAGAGTGCCGCACCTAAGGGTCATCTGGGTAATACTAACAACAGGAATAAATTTGAGCTTGACATCCTAGCAAGACACTAGGGAAGATATTGCTTGAATGCGGTAATAATCGCGGATTGTAAGCAGCTGTGTGTTGGTGCGCGCAGGTCGACCGTCCCTGGAAGTTTCCTCCCCTGGGATCAACATGGAAGCTGCAATGGGTGTCATCGCAGGGCTGGCATGTCAGCTGAACCCCTCGCCGCAAGCCAGAGGCCATTCGAGCGCGCACAGTGACGTGCAGATTCTGCCAGATGACACAGTCTATGTCCTAACAGATGACAGGAGGATAGTGGGGACGGCAGAGGTGGTGCATATTGGGCCTGGCACACGGTTCCACGGTGCTGAGCTTGAGGGGTTTGGTGTTATTTGCGGGCTCACCATCACAGACGCAACTGGGGCTGGACACCAGAAGGCATGGTTGAGCGACACAGATGAAGTCAGAGCAGGCAGAACACCCTTGGAAGCAATTGGGGGCAATCAGATGGTGGCAGTTCCCGAGAGGTGCCTTCGCTTTCTGAGGCGCCCACCGGCGGCTGGAGAGTGACTTGCAATGTGATCTTTGCACTTTCAAGCTAAGTCAGTTTCAAGCTTAGTCAGAATTGGCGTGTGAGCATGACGCAAATGTAGCATCAATTTTTTTTATGTCCTAAATTTGATATTGCAATGAGGACTGTAGTAGGTTGTGACCAAGTCTGCCTCACTACAAGGCGTTGCACATCCATGCGCTCTACGCAACTAATATTAGTCACTCACTTGTCCCTCTCTGCACATGTGCGCAACAATCATGACGGTAACCAGATATCATGCATGTAACAATCTGTAAGGTAATTCTGCTCCCGGTTGCCTCACATGCTCAACCTTCGAATCTGAAGTGGCCAGTGGGATGGAGCACTTCAAGCCTTGTTGCTCCAATTGGTCAAATATATGCATTATTCTTTTTTATCTGATAATTCTTGCAAAGCAGAATTAAAGCCACTGCAAATATTAAGGCTTGAAACTCGAATTCACAATGTGGAGATAAAGTCCATGCAATGGGTGACTCGTTAAACATTAATTGAAGCTGAAGGGCTAATTGGCTTCTGATAAATATTTTAATATCATGGTCATTTATTTGGATGGTCCAAACAAGCTGTCGACATGAGAATGATCACTCACAGGCTTGCATGGACACTAAAGTCCCCCCAGGTTTTGGTAGAAAGTGAAGCCAATGACGGTACTGCAACATGCTCAGCCTATAGGTAGCTAACCAGATATTTACTATAATTACACCTTGAGGATCTGGTCCAGAGTCACATGCATGCCATATGGGCGCATGTTGCCGACTGTTGACATGACCTCTCCAAGAGTCATCAAAAAATCACATTATGACAGACATATCTTCTTAGAACCAATACAA